TTACCATAATTCATAGTTCCTAATGTTAAATACCATACTGCACTCATTGATATGGTTTTGAAGGACAGTCAGTCTTCTATTGTGTCATCTCAAACGTAGGGTGTGAAATAAGTTCAACATACATATTAGAGGGCACTGCTGACCAATCACACAGGTGTGGAAAGAATGGTAATGAGTAACTGCCATTAGAGCTCGAAGTGAAAACATTGGCTGCATTACAAGGTTTTAAAACACTGTTTGGCCATCCCATCAAATGCTTTTCAAGGATAAGCCTGTTTGGTATTTTTAACCTCCACATTAAGTACATACACTATCGCATTACTAACAGGTAAAGCGAGGTCAAAGGCTTTTGTGGAGAATGAACAACAAAATACAACTGGATATTGAACATAATGCGCCTGAGCCAGCGTCTGTGTCGAGTTGGAGTCAAGATATTATCATCATCATCATCATCATTGTTGTACGCTTGTCTTGCAAAGCCAAACCGTCTCTGGGGCCCCCAGAGATCACTGTCATGTCCAGTTAGGGGGCACTCGTCGACGGTGCGCGACATCGTCTGTCTCTGACCACAACCACAGAGTGGTTTGTGGTCACGTTGGCCTCAGGTGTAGAGGTTGGTAGACCGTGGCACGGCAGCTTGAAGCCAGGAAGACGACGAACGGTGGTGGAGTCGGCACTGAGAGTGGTTCTTAATGCCTTGTGTGGACCATTCATCACGCCACCTTGATTCCAGGGGCGAATCCCAGTGTGGCTTGTTTGTCCACCCGGGTTGTCTCGATGAAAAGCGAGCCCCGTGGAGGGTTGAATGTGTCCGTGTGTAGAGGGAGACGTGCATTTGTAACAATCTTCTCCGTCATCTTGGCTGTTGCCTCCTCACGACGAATGCCAAGGGGAAGCGATGTTGCTCAGCGCCGGCAGCCAATGCGGTGGCGTGGGTCGTAGCTTCGTCCCTGTGACGATCATCGTGGTTGAATAACGTTGGACATCAACCAGCTTTGTGTGCGACGACCTAGCACCATATTGGTGTCGCTATTCAACCGCACGTTACTCGGTGATTGAATAGCGGAGTGCAATAGCAGCTGTGCGAAACGACTGCCCGCCACCTGCACCCCAGGTTGCGTTTTTTGAGGAGGTTGTTCCTTATGCTGATGTTGGCTGCCATCTTCTTCAAGTGATTGTGGAACGTCAAGAGACCTGTTCTGGCATGCCAGCATTCAGGGCATTCTCAAGCTCTGAATGTGCATGCCTGTGTGCCGCAGCAAATGTCCTCGATTATATTTTAACATTCGTGACTGGGTGGCAGGGTGGGTGGTGTAAAAGTGGACCACAGTCGACATAGGCACAAAGCCTGTTGGTGTGCCGTTAACTTGCCGTTTCCACGTGCTTCCTCTGTCGCTGTTAAGTGGTGTCAACTGCCCACCGTGGCAAGATAGGAAACATTGGATCAGCATTCTCATTGCGCTCCCTATCAGAACCCGATCCAGCCGAGCATTCAGAAAATCTCGGTCACTTGCCAAACCGATAACCCTGGTGGAGTGCCACTAGAATTTCGAGCTATTGGGCTGCCACTACAAGTTCTTCAACTCAACATTTTCTGATATCTGCCAAGCACAGCCTTTACAGCGGCATTAATTTCACTCTCAATTTGATTCCTTGCCATGATTTGGGATCATGATTTGATTCCAGAGTAGATTTGTTTTCTTTTGTTCTGTCTACACTGCCCACCTCTGGTGTGTCTAATCTTCTTTTTACTACAAGATCTCATTTGTAATGTCTCATCCATCCATTACCATCAGCCATGCTCTATCAACTGCTAGATTGGGATTTACCAAGTAATTACTATCTCTAAAGATGACCATGATGCAACAATCTTTTCCTTACACGCAAACTTATTTCATGGTTCTACATATATTCTCTTCTTTGGTTTCCACTGTCATTTGTCTGAACTACTGACCTTCATCCCTTCGAATAATACTATATCATGCCCAGACCCACTTAATTTCTTAACGAGCAATACGATGTTCTATGATTTGTGTTTGTTTATTGATCCAAGCATTTTTAGTTGTCAGTGTAATTCCAAACATGCACAGTCCTTTGTTCTTTGTGCACTTTTTAATTCGCATAAAGGGAAAAAACTTCAAACTTGCATATGGTAAATGGAACACAAATTATTATTTTGGGTACGATTTAATGGCTGTTTCTTGAACATGAAATTAAAATACAATCATCGAATTGTTACATGCCTTTTGAAAACCATCTGTCAAATCCCACAAGCAAAAGATGGCGTGAAATTAGCATATTAAAAGAAAAGGCCACTGAAAAGGAGGTTTAATAAGCTACCACATCAGCTGTGGCACACACATGTCATCCAGTGCTTCAGAGATACAGTATTGTTAAATCCACGTACAGATGTGTGAAACTTTCACACCCTCTGCACTGCGTGGTCAGACGGCATAAAAGGTTAATGGGCCCATTTAAACAGACCTTTTTAGTGTTATCTCACATATAAAACACTTGTAAGCTATGAATTGGCCATACACCTCAAGGTATGACCCTCCTGAAAAAATATTCCCGTTAATTATAACCCAATTAGAGCTAATTGAGACCATAAACATCCCTTTTTTGGAAGATCTGGGTTTAATGGTAACATTGTACTGGAGGTATAGAAAACAGCAAATCCCAACACAATACACAAAATAGCAATATTTACATGATTTATAGCCATTTGTCAATCCACTGCCAGATGAAGCCCTCACACCATGCCTTGTCAGTCATGGGGGTTGTTTGACCATACTTCACACTGGTCAGTGAGCGTTGGTGAATTGGTGGGGTTAGGCGGCTGTACTATGAAATAGCTATTGAACAATAAACCTCACTAAATGTAACAAAATACAAAACATATCATTGAATATAAAATATGATACAAATATAAAAAATATAATTTCTTAGAAAATCAGTGCTTAATTTCAGCTGGAGCAGCCCGGAACACTGGTCCAGCTATTATTTTGGCACACCACATCCATTTCTCCTTAGTTTGTACTTAAACATTTATAAATACCTATTCATACGATTATAGGGATAAAGGATACACCAGTATGGATAATGGGTAAGAGTATCTGTTACTTTACTGTTTCTTACGCCAAACTTTACAGAAAATATTAAGTTAGAAATGACGTCCTGATTATGAATATTTACAAAATACAGAAACCTTGAACGTCTCAAAAGCTGTCCTGGATGAATATGAAATGGGTATTTGATCCTTATAGCGGTACCCCAGGGTACCAAATAATATTAAATGTCCGAGATAATGAAATATTTTATTTCTGGGACACTATTGTTTCCCAGATGTGTGTACTGAACTCCGCGACTTGGGTACCACTCAATCCGACATCGGTGCCACTCCGCGATGTCGAAACGCAGCGAGGACGATTGCGCTGAAACCCTGAACGCTCGCACGCACCACAGTGCATCGTGTACAGCTCGTCGAGATGAGCTGATTGATGCATCGTCGACCATCAACAGACTAAATAAGTAATATTAAAAAAACACTTTTTTTTAAACACGCTTTAATGAAATGTACCGTACGAATAATGGAAGAACTCCACGACTCCAGGAAGTGGCCCCGAAGCTTGCCATAAGGTAAGGGGCCTTGGTGATTTACAGCCAACGTGAGTTGAACGTGGACAATTAGACCCAAGCCGAAACATAACATATAAAAAATAATGTTTAATTTTTTTTATAGTTAATGATAGAATATAGTATTGTCATCAGTATGACATAAGTATCCAAGTTTGCAGTCGATACCACATTGGGAAGTGGGTAAAAATTGAGTTACAATATTTGAGGATACAACAACCGACAGAGTGAGTTTAAATAAAAAAGCATATACTGTAATAATAAAAAGCGTGTAATAATAAAAATGATGAAAAGCATGCAATAATAAAATAATGAAAAGCGTGCAATAATTAAAAAAAGCGTGTAACAATAATAAAAATGACTGCATCACGGACATTATGCGAGAGCCGGGGTACTAATGGAACCCCGGGGTATCGGCATAAGGTTCATTTGTAATACACTTCACTGTATAATTGTGCAATGGAAGCATTTCTCGAGGCTCAATATATTTTTTTCACGAAGCCCCATGCATTGTAATGTTTTGGCAATTCCATTCACAAGAGTTTTGGATGTCGGAGAAAACAGAAGTAGCTGGAGAAACCCAAATACCGGACTGTATCCACAGTATCCACACAAATGGGTTAGAGAACCTACTTGCTGAGATGCTATCTCCAGGCTACCTTCAAAGTTCAACCCCGGCGGGTTTGGTAGTTGCATATATCCGCGATTGGCACTCATTTAAACACATTCCTGCGGAGGGAGCTGGTAAGTAACGTTGGGTTTCTTGGTCAATGGCCTGCAGGGTCAACGGCGGCGTGGTGTATTCCGCAAATATGCCCGACTGTGAGGGCGGGCACAAGTCGGCGTGAGTAGGTTAAACGTTGAGTTTTATAAGGGCACCACAGGGTGACCAGCCCCTCCCCACCCACCCACCCAGCCCCACCCCTCCCCACCCAGCCCCTTTCCACCCTCCCCACCCAGCCCCCCCTCCCACCCCCCACCCAGCCCCACTCTCCCGACCCAGCCCCTCCCCACCCAGGCCCTCCCCACCCTCCCCACCCAGCCCCACCCCACCCAGCCCCACCCTCCCCACCCAACCCCTCCCCACCCTCCCCACGCAGCCCCTCCCAGCCCCACCCTCCTCACCCAGCCCCTCCCCAGCCCCACCCAGCCCCTCCCCACCCAGCCCCTCCCTGCACGACGGACACAACAATCCCCTTGTGGGCTTGTGTAACCAGTCTAAATATTCTGATGATTCAGAATTTTGTGCAAGTCACGACCCTGGCCCGAGCAGCATCAGCAGCAGCAGCGGCCCCCAGTAGGGGGCGACCAGTGCACCAGCCCCGCCCCCCTCGGTCCCCTCGACAAAACCACAGAAACTTCCACTGGTCACAAACGCCTCCCAGGCAGAAATCGTCTCTCTATTCGCCTATAACGTCCACGTAAGCGGCGCTCCGAGGATATTTTGGTTGCGAGAAGCCGGCGTTTGGTGGTGCTGCTGGTGGTTGTTGTTGGTGCTGCGACTGCGGCTGCAGGGAATGGTTTGAGGCAGAGAATCTCGCTCCGTCTCCCGTTAGCGAGGCCCCTGTCCCTCTGTCTGGTCGTCGAGGTGAGCACACAACACACGGCTGTGGTGGTGATGGTTGTTGTTGTGGTGGTGGTGTCCGCCAGCGAGGCTGTTCGTGATGTTGTTAATCGGATTTGTGGCTCGCGTTAGGGGGGGGGGGAGGTTGACGGGGAAGGGAATGGCCTCGGGCTTGCACGGGGCTCTGCCGCGGGACGCGCGCTGTCACCGGTAGGAGCCACCAGGAAAGAGACGGGGGCTGAGTCTGGGCCTAGCCCGTGTCGTTATCGGGACACCTTTCTCAGGCTGCAAACAATTGTTTATGCAGACATTACATATCAAGCATTGCCAGCACCGTGTACGTATATAATCGGGCTCGTGAGAAATGATTGTTTTCGTGCTTGCTCGTATAATGCACTTTAGCTACGTGTTAGAATGACGGCACGACCGAGGCGGTGCAGCTTACACGAGGCTTGATGATTTCGTCCTTAATCTTTTCTTTGCTTGCTTTAAACTCCAATCCAGTGCTGTCATTGCGATTCCAATGTGCGCCTCACCTCGGGTGCCGACTACACGCGAGGCACCAAACACACGAGGCAAAAACGAGACATCTTGAACGTGGTTGGTAGCTGTGCCTCGTCCGTACCGTCGGGAGGGACACGGTACAAACATAACAAACAACACGGAGGCGAAGGTGCGAACGAGACGAACCTCACAGACTACCACACACACAGACATGGGCAGTTTATTAACGAGAGAGGAACAGCGCAATGACATGGTGCTTACGTAAAATGCAACCGAGGCCGTAGGGGTATAATATTGGGCGGTACCAACTGTAGACGATAGGCAAATATACTTGTTTTTTACAGCCCAAACGAGACGATACAAAGACGGCGTAAAATAATCGATATTTTGAACGGTATCGTCAGCCCCAGTAATCTAATCAATAGGGTGAATACTTACACGCCCATGCAGTGGGGAACGCTGTTGTGCAGGGCGAAAGGGGGGGCTTCTAATATCTCGTCTGCTTGTGCAAATTGTGATGCGTTTGTGTAATGAATGATACATTTTGGAGAATGGATGTCAATCTGGGTTGTGGTATATCCCATCGTATAACTGCTATCTAAATACGATCATTGCAGTGCCTCCTTTGTAGGTTCCTCTTGCAGAGATAGAGCACGGGTACCGGTCTAGTCGATTTAAAAAATAATATGCTATGCCAATGAGTTTGGTTTTAATGTCAGAATACTCTTAATTAACGCAGTGTATTCCATTTATAGACGTGCGCTGTTGAAGGTGCTTAAAGCACGTGTGCTGTGTAAGTGAAATGCAATCGTTATTTTAAGAGACCAGGCCATTTTGAAAACGACACCCTTCATGAAACTGCTGTGTGCCCTGTGAACATACTCTATGATAAATAGATTTTAATGATTTTTACTGATTATTTTACTTTGAATTTTTCAGAAATCATGGATTGCAAATTTGTATGACTGCCAATAATGACTTCACAGCTGACATTTGAAACCTGAAACGACAATTGAAACATCACAAAAATAGTAGGTTTATCTTTTGTGCGTTTTAACTATTGTTTTAAATTCCCTAATGTGCTTTTGAAATTGGTAGTTCAGGAAATTTGTAATTTAGTATTTAGAATCTATTCAATATTGCTGTTTGAATGCTGCTGCTCCACTGACATTCAGGTGAGGTGAACTGCTATGGTATTTTAGTATTATGATTACTATGCCTAGAGGGATGGAAACTATTTTATATGACGTGCTACTGTTGAGCATTGATTCAAAGACAACACTTTATGTAAATGATGAAAAAGTGTGCAGGTAGGTAAACAACATAGGATATTTAACAACACAAAGGTGTGCTCACAAACAGCAAGAAGGACACATCTGTTCCTGCCTTGCATGTCATGTGACCACATTGCATGCCAAATACTCTTGGCCATGACTAAGCCACCAGCTCGAAAAAGCTCAATGTTTGGTCATGTTTAGGTAACATTTTAAACTATTTTTGAGGTTGTAGCTTGATAATATGGCCCCAAGAAACCGCTCCGATTTAACATTTTAATCACATAGACCACAGTGACCCAAATAAGTCAGCTGTGTACCTTTTTAACATCTTTTATAAAGACTGTAAACCTTACATAAGTAATGTTCTAGGAATTTCTCTATACATCATGGGCTGCCAGTTCTATGCTCATGTGGTCTATGACAAACAGTGTCATCTTACAGAACTTGATTAAGGAAGCTTGGCAGCTAACTGGAAAACTAAAGGCCTCAGGAGGACTATTACTTGCTGTCTTGCTAAAGTGTAGCCAAAAGGCAGTAACGTTAACCACCGAAGCACTTTTCTCCAATGTCATTTGAGGAAATTGTTAATTAAAATATAAAGTGAAACCCACATAGTGTGAAACATGTTACTTATTTGACCAGAGAATATTGGGCTGAAATGTGCTTGTACAGCCTCGTTTAAAAACACCTCAAAGATATTTTTTTTCAAATTATTTTATTCAACCTGGTAATGTCAATGTAAAACAGGACTTAATTTATTGATTTCTCTGTATCAACAATCAGTCGATCAGACTGATTTAAATTGTATTGAAGTATTTTTCTTTTCATGTATTAAACCACAACATATTCCCGTTGTAGCTGCAGGATCTGATAAAATATATAAATCGTTGAACATGATCTTTTGATGTATTATATACTTTTTTAACTATGTGAATGTGATATTTTCAAGTGCATAAATGTTGGAAATAGTTTTAGAAGTAAAAGTTATCGAGCCCGTGTTTTTTGCACATGTTACCCAATCAAAAATATCTGGTGGTGACAAAAGAGGGTGTTTTTAACGAGAGTCTTCATAATTCTGTGACGTATGGCAATGTATTGTTTGTAAAAGATGCATAGCTAATGATATGTGATGCTGTTGGCAGTGCAGTATTGATAAGATAATACAGTTGAAGATCCTCGAGATTTTTTGTTGTTGATTTGTCCACTTGGGGTATAAAGAAAAGTTAAAGATATCGAAGCATACCATTGCAATTGGACAATTATATGAATTGTGGAAATGTTTAAAATTGGTAGAATGGCTGCATTGAGACGAATAACGGTTACTTTAATTTAGGAATGTGGCTGATAAGAGACAACACGTGAGATTACTTTTATAGTTTTTTGTGAAATGTTTGTACCAAATAGGTATTCACGAAGTGCAAATTAAACTTACGTGTTATTGAATAGCTCTACCCACACTTAAGACTGACCGGTGATAATTGCTTAATTCGTACAAGCAACATTGCCTGTATTCACTTGATGTTTTCACAAACTTGCTCCTGTCCAATTTACAGTCATTCTACCCATTTGCAAACATTCCCATGATTCATATTACAAGCATCATCCTGCATGTTTATCCTTCAATTTATTTAACTTGTATTTACAACCTCTGAGGGTAAAAAAAATAACAACTCCGTGCTCTTCTAAGGGGCAGATGTGCAAGGGCACCACTCTCTGATCACAATACATCTACCATAGAGTGGCAAAATCCGGAAAAATAATATTTTAAATTTGCTTACCATTGTTATGCATCATTCACTGCACAGTTTCTAAATTCTAAGTCATCAATATGCCAAGTAAATAAGTTTACAATGTAATATTTTAAAGCAGAAAAATGCTCAGGCAAAATAAATATTGCAAAATACCTTTTTTTTTTAAAGAATGTCAGAGAAATTAAGAGTTGTCTTCGTATAATGTAGAAGGAGCAACTGGCTGGCTGGGCTACCGGAGCCGAGGCAGCACTAGGTTGTTCCAATACATCTTTTGGGTAAACAAAATACCACTGAATAATATTTTTCTATTACAGTACTGTAATAAATTCATGCGAACACAACACCTTTTTCATGACCTGGCCATGATCCTCTCCTTTCTCGCAACTCGTGCAGTCTCTTAAAGCCAACTGTCTCACAAAGAGCCCGCCATCGCGTCGTCACATCACAATACACCATAAAATATTTGTGGCATTGTGGAACAAGAAATGGGGGGAGAAAATATTTGAATCTGAAGCATGAGCCATGCCCCTAGGACAATTACAGTTACAGTAGCTGAATTAATTGTTTTGAGCATGTGTGGAAGCTTCCATCATAGCAATGATCACATCCTCATTTAAATAGTTTTTGCAAACCAACTCTTCAGGCAGAGTATATACAAGAAACATTGGATTCACTGGCAATCTCAAATATATGTTTTTTGTCTATTAACTGGAATGTACATGATAACCCGTTTTAAGTGTTGTCTTATAAATTAACCAGCTATTGAAAGTTTTACAAACAGCACATTGTAAAACTTGTTTTTGTTTTAGTTAAATTTCCATTGCCAGTTTTCGAAACTGACAAAAGTTATGGTGCTATGGGAATTCTGTTTAGCATTCTTTTTTTTAAGCCGAGTGTGCAAGAGTTGAACAATGCATTGCTTTATTCCAGAGCATGTTTGGTGCACTAAGCAAACTCCATTTTATACAGTCATATCCATTCAGAGAAGTAAAACATTGAATGTACCCTGATTAAGAATGTACTTGCATAACTGGTAGAGACATTGCTTGCATAACTGCACAGTTTTATATGAAAAACATTCTAGTAAAATGTATTGTATTTATTCTAGCAGTGGTACCCTGAATATCATTTATTGCTTTCTAGTAGATGAGCAAAAATCAAAATAAATACGTCCCACTTGAAGCCAAATAGTTAACACCTTAGTCTATACATCTTGACTTAAAGCCTTCGTGACTGCAGGAATTCATATTCTTTGGGTTTTTCGGCAAAGCCACGTAGATAGAAAAAAAGAATAACAATATCACGACGTTTCGATCGCAACACAAGCAATCGTCATCAGGTGAGCTGCTGAGGCAGAAAAAATATATGGCGGTAGAGCTGCTAAGGCAGGATGTTATAAAGGTTTGAGATGGGTGTAGCCCAAGGGTAAATGGGCAGGACTAGAGATTAAATTTGCATGTAAATGTAAGATCATGCAAATTTACATGCACATTTCTTACATTGACATGCTAATGTAACACAATGCAATGGCCACCCCCACAGCTTCGTTGTCGTGGGTATGGCTCAGTTCTCCGATATTACATTTACATGCAAATTTCATCTCTAGCCCCGCCCATTTACCCTTTGGCTACACCCATCTCAAACCTTTATAACACCCTGCCTTAGATTTCGATTTAAAGCTTTCGTGACTGGAGGGATTCATATTCTTGGTTCTGCTTGCGTTGTGGCCGAAACGTCGTGAGAATTTGATTATGTTTTATTTTCATTTTTTTATTATTTCCCTTCTACGTGACTTTACCGAAAGAACCAAGAATATGAATCCTGCCTTAGCTCTCCCGCCATATATTTTTACTGCCTTAGCAGCTCTCCCGCTATATTTTCTCACCTGACGACGATTGCTGTCTACGTGGCTTTACCTTATTGTATATGAAGTTGCTGCTGAGCACATGGTAGCAGAAGCTTATTTAGTCAGGTATTTAATGTGTTTTTTCCCCAACACGTTTCAAATGCCAGGCTGCAATACAGTCTATGCAGTTTTCATCAGACATTCCGAGTATCCTAACATTGCCCTGCCTGCCATATTAAAGGTACAGTATACCACTTTAGTTGGTGCTAGGATTATTCATTATTCTAATTAATGGTGGCTATAATTCATGGTGGTAATATAAGGACATCATGACTGTGTGCTTTGAGTTGAGGGCAAGTGCCCTCTAAGTACAGATCGTGATTTTTCTATTGTCTTTCATCTTGTAGCAAACTGAGGGTTGATGTTTGCATTTTACTTCTGTACTGGATAATTTGAGCAAAAGACTGAATCCTAAGGATTGTTTTATTTTGACCCTGTTGTACTCCAATTAGCAGCATTTTTCAGTGAAGATAAGATGGCGAATGTAATTCCTCCCGTGAAGCTGAAGTGGCTGGAACATCTCAATGGCTCTTGGGTACTTGAAGACAGCGAGTCCATCACCACACGAGAAGGGGCATCTGCCCTTTATGACCGACTCTTAGCTAATAAGGAAGTTGTTGCGCTACCACAACAGGTATTGTACCTTTTGGACGTTTCTTCAGAGAAAAGTGACTAATATTAAGCAATTATACGACACAATTTTTAAGAGTATTGTACCGAGTTTTGTCTCGGTTGGAAGGAGTCCGATGTACGCTTCTCGTTCTAACTAAACCAGCAGCATTTTGCAAGTTCATTATAGCTCTCTAGGTCATTTAGGTTAGAATATAATGGCACAAGTTTAAATGTGTCTTCTTATTTTTATGTATTCGTGTGTCTGATTAATTGTCTAAGGCAATGAGGTTAGCGAATGGCTATGGCTGACATCAGTGACGAGTGATATCTGAATCAGTGCTCAGTACCCTCCACCAGCCTGTGCTGTCCAGCGTGATGAAGTATGTTGACGCAATCTCTATGGATGACAATGCATAGGGGGGGTGTTAATCAGGCAGTGGATTGAGAAAGCTGTAAAGTATATTTTTATTCATTTAAAATCACAATCTTCCATTCGTATCTTCCATATTTCCATTTAAGTATTTTAGTTTTTGCAACTAGGGTATTCCCTTGCTTGTTTATCACCCAATGTTGAATACAATTAATATGATGGTGGTGGTGCTGCAGGTGATGAGGCTGAAAGGCCCCCAACTGCCAGACTTTGAGCGGGAGTCGCTGTCGAGTGAAGAGCAGGAACACTACCTGGGAGCACTGCTTGCCAGCCAACTGGCCCTCGCCAAGACTGTATGCTCAGACTCGCCCTTCGCCGCCACCCTGCGGCAGCGCCTCCTCGTACTGCAACGCATCTTCTATGCGCTCGCCAGCAAGTACCACGACCGGGGACGTGCCCGCCAGCAACAAGCGTCTGCTCCAGAGGGTGGCTCAGGCCCCGGTGATGCAGGGAGTGCAAGCGAGAGGCAACGATCAGGAACCGATGCGCTCATCGAGATGGGAGTGAAGACGGGCCTCAGTCTGCTGTTTGCGTTGCTGCGTCAGAGTTGGCACTTGCCTTCCCAGGCACCAGGTTATGATTTTTCCATTTCATAAAACATTTTGGAGTAAACAGCATTATTTTTAAGGTGTGTTTTTTTAGTCTGGCTAAAACTCATAAACATTTGAAACGCATGCATTGTTGTAAGATTGAAAACTATGTGGCTTGTTTTATTTCCTATACCACATTTTTTTTTTAAACAGCTTCCTGTTACCATTCGACAGTAGGAATCCAGAAGGAACATTGAAAGATCACATTTTTCTCAAATGCACTAACATGTGCAATCGAAACTTAATGCATACCAATCTTATCATAAAAAACAGGGGCTCTTCTGTCCTTGTGGAATCTGTCTTATGATATTTTTACAAAACGGAGTCCATTTTAGTGCATCATTGTGACCATGAAATTGAGTTTGTAGGTATGTATATCATTAAACTTCGACCATAGAGTTAATTAAAATATTTGTCTAATTGTACACATTGTTGACCTCTCTTTTTCACAGTCGCACTGCCAGGTCCAAACCCAAGTTTGTGCAATGATGTGCTAAGCACAGCAGTAGAAGTACTAGGGTCTCTACCACCCCTCTCCCTGGCCAATGAGAGCAAGCTCCCACCTATGGGGCTGGATTGCCTGGCTCAGGTGACTGCCTTTCTCAAGGGAGTTACAATGGCATCGTCGGGCGCTGACGTGCTTGGCCGCCGCCTGGCCTGTGAACTGCTGTTGGGGCTGGCAGCCCAACGGGGCTCCCTGCGCTATCTACTAGAGTGGATTGAGATGGCCTTGGCAGCCTCTGGAGGGAAAGTACCTGATGTTGACTCAACTATGGCCGCCACCACAACAGCTGCTACCACTTCCACAACTGCAGCTTCCACAGTCTCCTTGGAGCCTGCACATCAATCGATGAGTCTGGAGGGCATGATTGGATACGACTGCTTCATGAGTGTGCTCACACAAATGAGGCGCTCCATGGTGAGATTTGACTGCACAGTTAACCGGATTTGACAACATTGTTTAAAAGTTATTGTTGGAAACCTAATGCCCTTGATTGCATTTGTGTGTGTGTGTGTTCAGGGTACATCCTCTGAGCACAACCAGTGGAGAGAGCCCAAACGAACCCCTGATGGCCTCTGCTGTCTCTACCAGGCTGCAATGTGTTTGTTTGAGGAGGTAAGAAACATTTCCCGTCACTAAGCTCACTTGGCAGTGATACTTTTTCCAGTACAGCATCAACATTTAATTTGAAGAGGTTTGGTCTTTTTTAGGAAAACATTGCAAAGAATAAATAGTTTTATTAAAAGGTTTAGATTACCAGACACTTGTATATGGAAGAAAATACAATAATTTACCTTTTTGTATGCCTCCTTATGTACTTGTGCTATACATTATACATTGTGTTTATGCGCGTATAACTTTTCAATTTATTGTGGAGCCTACTAAGAAATGTCACTCCAATTCGCCTATTTATCCCTGTCAACTCTCGTAAATATTTATCTTTGCATCCCAGCTCAAGACACGTGTGAATTGGCATGAATGGAATTTGAGCAATATTAAAGTAATGGTCTGAAAAACTGAAACAATAATTGAAAATAAATAATTTTCTATGTCATGTAACTCTGCTCCTGCCAGGTGTGAAGGGTATGGGGTTTTCCCATTGTGGAACCTTGACAATTATAGGTCTTTGAGTAAGACTTGATTCGAATGTGTTGACTTAAAGCTTTCGTGACTGCAGGAATTGATATTCTTGGGACTTTTGGTAAAGTCACATAGATAGGTTCAAAGAAAATAATCAAAAATAACAGAAAACTACGACGTTTCGATCGCGTGTGTTGTATGGGCTTAGCAGGTTCTTTATTTTATAAAAAAAAAACATTTGACAAATCTTTATTTCGATTTAACTATGACAACGTTGTGGATTGGCTAATCTCAGCATTTTGCATGCAGGAAGCAGTGGCTGTAGTTGATTTCAGAGATTTAATCAAATATATTTTTCATATGAAGAGTTTCCATTAGCTTGCATGAGGAATTAAATGCTTTACAAATGTAAGACAGATTTTTCCACCAAAAATATGTTTTGTTACATTAAGATCATTTGTTAAACATATACCAAAGAACCACTAATTGTACTTCATTCGCAGCCGTACAAACAAGGATATGTGATCGCTGAAGCTATCACGTGTGATATTTTTGCCTTGGTATATTTTGATTCCCCTTGGAATTTTTTCCCCACCTCATAATGGATAATTCAGCTCCTAAATGCTGTTTTTAACGGAGATAATTTTCATGACAAACTGCAACATGAGCACAAATATAAAGGCTGAACCTAAATAGTTTGCCTACAGGGTTTCTCGAGCATTAAAGTGATTTATTTGACATCATTTGATGTCTGCAAAGGTAGAAATCACGTGATCGGCAGGTATTTCCTTGTTTATAAATGTGTCTAAATACGTTTTAGGTATGTCACCCATGCCCTTCAGCAGCCTATTTGTTTTATGTCTTGTTAAATAGATCTTGTGACAATAGATGTTGATATTGCAGCCAAAACCCTGGAACTGGGCTACTATGTAAAATGGGTCATTGCCATAAAGACCTTATCATGTTACTCATCTTCAGCAAATATTGTCTGTTTTGTCACTCGGAGCTTTGAAAGTGAAGTGCTGTGTCCAAACAAGATTTATTTTACAATTAAACAAGGTTCTGTTTCACCAACTAAAAATAAAATGTTAGTTTCGTCCATTAGCCTACGTGCATTCCAAATCGTTTGCAGTACAGCAATCCCTCGTCAACTGCGGGGTTAGGTTCCTGGAGAAGGCTGAGGTAGGCATATCCGCAGTTGCTAACGTACAGGGCCTATGGGAAATAGGGGTTAGGGGGGAACCACGACCGCGGTCAGACTCGTAATAGCTTAATTACGTTGCCTGTTTCTGCACTAAACACGAATAAAATATAGTACATTACACAATAACATAAAACACTAACGTTAAATTAGCTTTAAATCCATGACTATGACAACGATGATGAAGATGGTGGGGGAAGGGGTCGTTAGGAGGAAGGGCTCGGGCCCCCACCCTCCCTCTATTCCTCTGGGTCATCGGTGACAAATGAGGAGACAGGCGCAGTGGCACTGCTGGCTGGATCGGTGGTGGTCGTTATTTTCTTTAAAAAGGTTAGGATGTGTGGCTGCTGCATTTTTTTCGTCAGTCCCAGTACACCTCCCTGTGGCACGGGTGGCGTGGAGAACTGCGGCCCCGCGACATTTAAATTTGTGTTGCGGACCTGTGGTTGCCCGTGGATGCTCAAAATTTCTAGGCCGCGTTTTGTAAATTGGTATACAGATAATGCACCGTATGTACCGGTACATGAATTACGCGGTTGGTGAGGTGTTGCTGTATTTATTAAAGTAGGCTAACTTTGGATGAGGTCTGACCGGAGTCCCATTTGCAGAGTACGGCCTGTTCAATAAATTCTGCCTCATTGCCTGATATCATTGGCAAGGGACCTCCATAAATTCCAATGTTGTACATCAAAATTATACCAAATAAATTACACACTGATAGTGGATTGTGTGTAATAAAATAAATGGACAAGGATATGTTTTACCATGGAGTTCATGAATATATATCCGATATTGGGAAATTTTGGCAGCATTTGTTCAATAAGCTACCCTGATAGTGACTAGATGTGTCGTAAGCACACAGCATCTGCGTATATTTAAAACATCAACATTTCTTTAAAAAAGGCATTGTGGTCCTTCTTAGGTTACCGTCAAAATGTGAGCAAATGTTTGGCTTACAGGCATTAGTGCTCATGATAGAGAACTGTGGACCCAGTTTCATCCTTATTAGGACTCCTCAGCACATTCGTTACCAATGCTCACTGCTGCAAAAACTGCCTCTGGTAGCCATATTTGTGGAGTCTCCAATTCCACATTATGGGGCACATTAGCTTAGCTAATGCAAAACACACAATTGTGTGAAGAGCACACAGCCTCTACATGTGAACACTACTAGCATTGATAATTGGTTCTTTACCCTTCTATCTGGCAACAAAACTGACACCTTTTTGCAAGGAGTCATGTTTGCATAGACCGCAATGCCTGCAGTCATAATACAAACAAAAGAACATAACTCTGATAATGTGCACTGTCCTTGAAGTTGATTGGTCCACACCCGAGACAGCTTTCCTTCGAGCCTAGTCTCATATGGGTTGGACCAGATGACGCCGAAAGGCGCACAACTCAAGGACAATGCACCATCAGAGTATGAGAGCTCGGGGCAAGCATCTACACTATGGGGACCTCATTTGCCAGTAAAAATATGATGCAAACATGACTCCTTGCAAAAAGGTGTCAGTTTTGTTGCCAGATAGAAGGGTAAAGAACCAATTATCATATTTTTACTGGCAAATGAGGTCCCCATAGTGTAGATGCTTGCCCCGAGCTCTCATACTCTGATGGTGCATTGTCCTTGAGTTGTGCGCCTTTTGGCGTCATCTGGTCCAACCCATATGAGACTAGGCTCGAAGGAAAGCTGTCTCGGGTGTGGACCAATCAACTTCAAGGACAGTGCACATTATCAGAGTTATGTTCTTTTGTTTGTATTATGACTGCAGGTATTGCGGTCTATGCAAACATGACTCCTTGCATAAAGGTGTCAGTTTTGTTGCCAGATAGAAGGGTAAAGAACCAATTATCATATTTTTACTGGCAAATGAGGTCCCCATAGTGTAGATGCTTGCCCCGAGCTCTCATACTCTGATGGTGCATTGTCCTTGAGTTGTGCGCCTTTTGGCGTCATCTGGTCCAACCCATATGAGACTAGGCTCGAAGGAAAGCTGTCTCGGGTGTGGACCAATCAACTTCAAGGACAGTGCACATTATCAGAGTTATGTTCTTTTGTTTGTATTATGACTGCAGGTATTGCGGTCTATGCAAACATGACTCCTTGCAAAAAGGTGTCAGTTTTGTTGCCAGATAGAAGGGTAAAGAACCAATTATCATATTTTTACTGGCAAATGAGGTCCCCATAGTGTAGATGCTTGCCCCGAGCTCTCATACTCTGATGGTGCATTGTCCTTGAGTTGTGTGCCTTTTGGCGTCATCTGGTCCAACCCATATGAGACTAGGCTCGAAGGAAAGCTGTCTCGGGTGTGGACCAATCAACTTCAAGGACAGTGCACATTATCAGAGTTATGTTCTTTTGTTTGTAATATGACTGCAGGTATTGCGGTCTATGCAAACATGACTCCTTGCAAAAAGGTGTCAGTTTTGTTGCCAGATAGAAGGGTAAAGAACCAATTATCATATTTGTACTGGCAAATGAGGTCCCCATAGTGTAGATGCTTGCCCCGAGCTCTCATACTCTGATGGTGCATTGTCCTTGAGTTGTGCGCCTTTTGGCGTCATCTGGTCCAACCCATATGAGACTAGGCTCGAAGGAAAGCTGTCTCGGGTGTGGACCAATCAACTTCAAGGACAGTGCACATTATCAGAGTTATGTTCTTTTGTTTGTATTATGACTGCAGGTATTGCGGTCTATGCAAACATGACTCCTTGCAAAAAGGTGTCAGTTTTGTTGCCAGATAGAAGGGTAAAGAACCAATTATCATATTTTTACTGGCAAATGAGGTCCCCATAGTGTAGATGCTTGCCCCGAGCTCTCATACTCTGATGGTGCATTGTCCTTGAGTTGTGCGCCTTTTGGCGTCATCTGGTCCAACCCATATGAGACTAGGCTCGAAGGAAAGCTGTCTCGGGTGTGGACCAATCAACTTCAAGGACAGTGCACATTATCAGAGTTATGTTCTTTTGTTTGTATTATGACTGCAGGTATTGCGGTCTATGCAAACATGACTCCTTGCAAAAAGGTGTCAGTTTTGTTGCCAGATAGAAGGGTAAAGAACCAATTATCATATTTTTACTGGCAAATGAGGTCCCCATAGTGTAACTACTAGCATTTCTGCAAGAAGTGCATTGTGATCCTCTTGTCTGAGATTGCCATCAAAATGCATTTGAGCAAATCTAACTGATTGATAGGCAGCAGTGAGTCTTTGGGGTGAAATATATTTTAATACCTTCATAAGTAATGTATATTTGTCAGAATTATGTTATTTATTCCTTTAAATCTTGTAGCGAATTGATGTTTAGAACTTATCTTTAAATGCATTGAATAGTGCTCCTATACAGTGCCATGTGAATGTCATTCCATTAATAACTTGGCAAAGAGGTTGTTGCTATGTCTGAATCTGAACCGGTGTTGGTTGTCATCCAGCCAGAAAGTGTCAGGTGTCTGAAACTGGAATAATATTTAATTTAAAATGTAACACCTAAAATGTTTTTGTTGGTATGACTGCCATCATATGACAAGAGGTTGATGCTGTACAGGAGACCCTTGAATATCACGATATTCAAAACTTAAGCCTTGCCTAAATAATTGGGTTGGGTACATGGCTACCAAAAATGGAAGCATCACAATTTAAATAAGTACTGTACTGTATGCCAAATCAACTAAAAAATAAATATTTGAACTAAACATGTTAAAACCCTGATACAAAATACGTTCCGAGACAATAAATATAAATACTGAACTTACCGATGCAGATTATGCAAAGCGGGTGTGTATGTGTTTGTACGCGAGTGGGGAACGGTAGTGCTATGGTTAGCGTGCTGTGCTACGATCCCGGCAACCCGAGTTGGATTCCTGCTCAATCCCAACACATGTGACGATTATCTGAATTGGTCCTGGGCCTCCCCTAGATTAACTCGGCCTCAAATGAATACTTGGTGCGATGTGTAAACTTCGCCACTGGGGAAAAACAGGCAGCTGGGCGTGGTGCTGGCCACCCACTCCCCCTGTGTGCCGTGCCGGCCTTCATCGGTGCTCGCTAATAGCACTTGCCGCAACGGCCTATTAAGGCTATACGAGGGTCTTTGTCTTTGTCCGCAAGATGCTTGCACTGCAAAGGTTGAGGTGTGACTGACTGCCTCGGGTTCCTCACCCAACCCGCCCCACACCCTGATATCAGTCGATGATACAATATTTCTGGGTATAGTATACCAGTGAAAGGCCAAAACTAACTCCCCTGATGGCTAGGTTGAAACCGCAAGCATTAAACCCGTGATATTCAAGGGTATCCTGCACTATATTTTGTGACTGGTCTACAGGTTTGCCAAATGGCATCGGACTACACACGCTCCTGTGTGAATGCGGACGGGGGGCAGACCGGTGACAGCCCCGTTGTTTCGGAGACCAGCGAGGTGTACGTGTGGGGCAGCAACAGCAGCCACCAGCTTGCTGAAGGAGCCCAGGAGAAAATCTTGCAACCCAAGATGGCATCAGGCTTTGCCAATGCACAAACGGTACGGCCGAGTTGATTAATAATTCATCAACAATCCTATGAATATCGTGTTTGTTCAAAAGTGGCTTGCACACCATCTATTGGGGCCAGCAGTTGTCTCTGGAAATCAATTGTTAGAAAAATGCCATGTTCTTCAGAGAATCGATATTTTTACGGTGTTTTTTTAAATAAGAAAAGTGCCAGTTTTTTTTTTAAATTTGTCTAAAGGGGTTTTTAATGGATAATATTTGATTCATTTTCTACATGTGCCTGTCTAATAATGATTTGCTTGTCTTCATTCTATAACCTGAAAGGGCACATACTTGAAACTTGCCATATTTAATTGTTCTTCAATAACACAAACGGTTTTCTTTGGATGTGCTCGAAGTAAATACTTACAAGTAAAAAAATATATATTTAGCAACAGACCACGTGAACATCTCAGAAACAGCATTTTTAAATGTTCCTGTGCAACTTCGGTATATGTTGTATGTTACACTGCAGGGGTCCTAATGCTTAAATTAATGTCAGGCTTAATATAACAAAAATTCAACACATTTATCATTGTATCATTGTTCCTCCATCAGTGGTTCTTAACCTCTTTTGGTGTGGCAGGAACCATTTGAGACTACTGGTCTCTGACCCCCCCACCTCCCCCCAGCCCCACCATGGCACACCGATCTAACCTATAAATGAAAATGCGATGAACATTTCGGACTTGTTTCCTCTTGCTGCCACTCCCATCTTTCGTCTCGACCACTGGCCATCCCTTCTAGTGACATGTTCTGCCCAAGCTCACTTTTCTTATTCAATGTTTAACATCCCTTAATGTCTGCAATTTCACGGTAAAATAAAGTACCAAACTATTCTTGGAAAGTAGTTTATTACTCTTGAAAGGTGACACCTCTGTGCCAGTTATTGCCTGAAAGCAGTTTTGGTCAAAAGCCAACCATCATAGGTTGAAGCTTAAAACGGTGGCAGCTGCTGTCCGCGTTATTCAAAAGTTTAGAAAAAACATTGCATACAATCACGGTACTTGTTGCATACAGAACTGCACATGTTGGGATATCCCTCTTGATAATAAACTTCATATATGGCTCAATCTTGATTGAGTGTAGGATTTAGTGGAGTGGACACCATTAGCCTACTGGCTGCTGAGCCATTTTATTAATAATATCCCATGAACAGAATCCATGCCTCGGCCTGCACCTGCCTGGTAGACTTAAGAGCGTACCCCACTGGTTGAGAAACTCTGCAATAAATGATTATTTTACAAGGTCATATTTTCTAACTTGTTACTGTGTGTAATTTTGAATATTTTCTTTCCTGGGCAGATTGAAGCGGGTCAGTACTGCACATTCGTCATTGCAGTCGACGGGTCGGTGCGAGCCTGTGGAAAGGGCAGTTATGGACGTTTGGGATTGGGTGACTCCAACAACCAGTCGACACTCAAGAAGTTAACCTTTGAGCCTCAGCGCGCCGTCAAGAAGATCTCGTCATCCAGAGGCTCCGATGGTCATACACTGGCTGTAACCATGGAAGGAGAAGTGTTTAGCTGGGGTGATGGTGACTATGGAAAGCTGGGCCATGGCAATAGCTCAACGCAGAAGTACCCCAAGCTGATCCAAGGGCCACTGCAGGGCAAGGTTTGTCCTGTAATTATATTCCTGGCAAATGGATCTGAAAGGCTTAAAATATATAAGTTGTCATACATTGTATGTGTTCCTCTTAATCCATTTCGTGAATCATAGTAACAGTCCCAGAAGCATTACATTTTTGGGTTCGGCATATTTTTTTTATTTTAGCATGAATTATTTCCAGAGGATCCACAGTCGCTCCATCATCCCCATGGATTAAGACTTTTTGGACACCAGATGACACCCATTCAGTGTCATTACGACTGGAAACGAAGTGTCCACGGTGTGGCACCACTTCCCATAAGGCACATTAAGTTTTAGCTTCTATGGAGCAGTATATATTTGTGGAGCAATTTCCTGGTTCAAAAATCAACAGAGCAGTTGACATTGCTTTTTATTTAGTTGCCTTCAATAAGTAATTGCTGCGTGGTGCTTATTGCAGCAATTATCTGTGCCTCCACTGCACCATTGATGTGAAATAAATTGTGGCTAATGCTTGTTCCATGCCTGAACTGTGGCATGAAGCTTTACGCTGACTGCTTCTTACTCGGCTTGGTCATCGAAGGAGACGCAACTTTTTGTGGTGAAGTGTGGAGCCACGTGGGGACAAGGCAGCTCGTGTTACCATGGCCCTTGGATGCTTTAAACAATTAAAATACACTTTCACCAACCTATGGATTTCCCTAACTGACCATAATGACATTTCTGCTTTGGAGGACAGATTATCCAAGTTTGCAGGTGACGCCTCTCCTGTTTTATACATGAGATGCACGTGACCTGACAGTTTTTTTTTTTTGCACTCCATGGATTAAATGCTCGCCTGCTTGCATATAACGCTGGTAATGCTGAAGGCTTTTTTTCCCAGAAAAATTGAGTCCTTAAAAAAGTCCTCCAATCTGTATGCTAAATCTCCTACATCTGCAAATGTCTTGCGCTAGCTGCCACTAAGACCTTCATTATATACTGACTATTGAAATCCTCTCCAAATCACTCACCTCCAAACTCCAGATTATCCAAAATTCCACTGCTAGACCTCTTGCCTGCATCTGTAAATGAAACAACCCTACTACTTTAATCTCTCCAATGGCTCCCAATCCAATCCCAGATCATTTCAAATTACATTCCATCGACTTATCTTGGCTATCTTTCCTATCTTATCTAATTCTACTCCCCTCCACACACTCTTCACTCCATTAACCACGGCTTCTATAGAAGCACCCAATTAATATTCGCTCTGTGGTGGATTGCTCTTTCTCGTCTGCTGACCAAATGGTCTCGAACTCCCTCCAACTCTCTGTCACAATTGACTCCCTGCTCCTGTTCAATTCCAAGCACAAGTTCTTATTTTTTCCTCTGTCTTTGATTGACTTCCTCCTATTAAAGAAATTGCCACCTGTTTCTACACATTATCTTGAGAATATAGTCGTATTTAGATGCATTCGTCTAAATTATATGAAATAATTGTATGTTGATCTCACAAATATTGCATTCTGGTTTTACCACCAAAGAGAGAGCCAGTGACTTATAATTGTGAACTGATGTAGATTTATATACTGGAGATATTTAGGATATAGGGCTGATGAATAAAATGCCTGCATTTTCAGAAAGTGTCTTAAAAGGGTATTGTATTTAAATTCAACTTCAATAGGAGGTGGGGCTTTTTCGTATTACGCCAACCGACTCTGAGCAAAACAAACATGTTCTTAATCTGACATTTGATACCGTATATTAAAGTGACATTTGATCTACTAACTTTACCAACGTTGTTATATTGAACAAGTAAAAAAAAATGTTTCTCCCAGTCTTCTTCAGTTGGCTGCAGTGAATATGGTTCATAAGGCTGTGTTAATACCAAATGGTATTTTTGCAGGTGGTGGTGTGCGTGTCTGCTGGCTACAGGCACAGTGCGTCTGTCACGGAGGATGGGGAGCTGTACACATGGGGAGAAGGGGACTTTGGCAGACTAGGTTTGTACTGTATACTGAGTAATATACCTTAAAATAAAAATAATATAATTTAATTGTCCAGAAAAGCCTCACTGAGTCTGAAGAGTTTTTGAGGAAGGACTTGCATTGTGATGTTTGGCCAATTCCATTTTAAGAGTGTTTGGCATGAATTTGTTCCATTTAAAAATTAATACCATATATAGTTTTGAGTATTTGTGAATTTGTAGCATTTTTTCTTGTTTATTTTTATTCATGTTCTCCAGAAAGAAAATTATATTGACTTTTAAGCATTTTCCCAAACTCCAGTCTACGTGACCCACCACGCTATGTATTTCTACGTTTACTAATTTATTCCCCATTCAAATACAAATGAAACGCATTCCACGCTGCACACAACTGACTTGTTAAACACGTCCCAAGTTAAACACATCCCAAGTGATGCGCTAAGCAATTAATGCTCAATCGTTCCATGAATGCAGATGGCATTAATTGCTTAGCACATCACTTGGGATGGGTACAACAAGCATCGGGCACTTGCAGCCTGGAAGGAGTTAATTTGAATAGGGAGTATACTGGTAAACATAGTATGGTATTTCACGAAGACTGGAGTTGCGGGCACCCTGCTTTAGAAATACTGTATGGTAATAATTTTTTGTCACGTTTACAACTTTTATTTACTTTTGGTCATAACATTCCTCGGACAATTTATCAAGGTTTTTCCCTGCAAAATGCAATACACATGGGAATGGAGAGTCATTTAAATATGTCACGAGACAATAGAATATTGACTCCTCTAGATAAAATGAATGTGTTTACAAAATACAGGGCGAGTAAGATATTTTCCTTTGCATTGACAAAATTAGATAAAAATTATCTTTTGCTGTTGTAAACACCAGGCATACAGCTGCTATGTTTACAGTCACCACTGCACTAAGCGAGCCACAAAAATGCGCTATTGCGCATCACCAGAAAGGTCGTGATTTTAGAGACGATTATCCAAAAAGGTTTTATTTGCAAGTTTTGTAATTTGGTTACCATATTCAAGGTTTGATCGTCATGGCATTTTGCTCAACTTTTAGGACATGGAGACAGCAACAGCCGGAACATCCCTACCCTGGTGAAGGACATTAGTAACGTGGGGCAAGTCGCGTGCGGCAGCTCCCACACAATTGCTGTGTCGCAGGATGGACGTATTGTCTGGTCCTTTGGCGGAGGAGACAATGGTACATTGTATGTTTAAGAATAATGTGTTTTTTTTATATGTATCGTTTTTACTGCTTTTTAATATATATATAAAACTGCCATATACATAATAGGAAACAATTATACAAAAGGGGAAAACGGTATATAACCAGTTTTTATTTTGCACCTTTTCACAGGGAAACTTGGTCATGGAGATACAAACAGAGTGTACAAGCCGAAGGTCATCGAAGCCTTGCAAGGGATGTTTATTCGCAAAGTTTGTGCGGGTAGCCAGTCGTCTCTAGCGCTGACATCCACTGGCCAGGTCAGAATGGGTTGGTTTGCACAAACCAGTTTTTAGTTTCTCTTCTGTCCATTTTTAATTTTTTTATTGCTAGTTCATTGTGAAGTCGGTTAAAGATAATTTTGTAACACTAAACTCAGTCCAAAATGTTAACTTATTGATTGTCAAAATGCATTTATGAAAATTACACCTCCACCTGCTTATTCGTAAGACTAAATGTATAATACTGTAATGTAAAGATGCTTTTCTGAAAAATCAGAAATGTTATTAAAAATAAAAATGTTATTTAAATGAACTAGAATTGTTAACATCAAATTTAATTTTTACTTGAAAAGTTGTCATTGTATGCACGAATTTTAGTTAAAAGTGCCGAATAGTTTTTTTATCAGAGTTTGCATTTTTGACAGCTCTATGCATGGGGTTGCGGGGCCTGCCTTGGCTGTGGCTCTTCAGAGGCGACTGCCTTGCGACCAAAGCTCATTGAAGATTTGGCATGCACACGCATCGTGGACATCTCCTGTGGGGACAGCCACTGCCTGGCACTTACCCATGGTTAGTCCTGTTTAGCAATGGTGATACATTGTATTGATAATCTAAGGAGGCCTGGTAAGGGCTTGGATTGGTTACCACCACTCCTACAGGCAAGATGCTATGAGCTGTGTGGAGGCTACGGACTGTGGGGTAGCCAGGAAACGGCCGTATCGTCATCTGCTCAGGCCTCGCAGAGCGTTAACGTATTGCATCTGTTTGTGTATTGAATATATCTGTGGAGCTTTGATTGTTATTCTCTCGTATGCGTTTAGATTTCTCTCAGTACTGTGATTCCCTCCCAAATGCCAAATGTTCTTTAATACAATTGGCCAACTTCTCAATGGTTGGATGGCTCAAAGATCAGCATACGGAGGCAACGCATCTGAGATCCTGGGTTCGAATCCAGGTTTCAGCCACTCATGATTTCACTGTCTTCTCCAACTTGGTTTAGGCCTAGTCACTAATGACTGCACACAAACCACAATATTTGTTTTAGCAGAGGCTAAACTACAGTTCCTGAGAAGAAAAAAACTATTTGTTTTGCCATTCTGCAACCACCTCTTCGTAGAGCACATGGGAAAGTGTGCCCTTCTATTGTGTAAAAGGATGAAAATTACACTTTAAGGATATTTTAGAAGTCCTCACATATGGAACACCCTGCTCTTTGGTTAACGATATGAAGCAGATGGCATAGTTGGAATGCATTGGAGGAAAAAAAAAAAACCCATCCCAAAGTACGACCCTTCTGAAAGTCTCCAGACGTATTCAAGTTTTTCTGTGTAAATCCTTTGCATTATTGTCATGAACTTTGATTGTATACATGTATTTACATTGTTTTAAAGCAGATCGACTTTCATTTGTACGATTGTGTTGGGTATTTTCACTTTCAGATTTGTTCCAGGAAGGTGCCATGTGTTAAGCAAAATGACATTTACTTGACTGACATTCAAAATGAGTCCTTGTGTGGTGCGGTGCTTGACAGATAACGAAGTGTACGCATGGGGTAACAACTCCATGGGACAGTGCGGGCAAGGGCATTCAACCAGCCCTGTGACCAAGCCCAAGAAGGTGATGGGCATGGATGGGATTTCTGTACAGCAGATCTCAGCTGGCACCTCGCACAGCTTGGCATGGACTGCTCTGCCTACAGACCGGTATTATCTTGAGGCTTAACTGTTAGGCGATTACTTGTTTTTTTTGTGACCTGTCAAGTATTTTCAAAAAATTTCTCACGTTTGCTTGATGTGTTGCGATGGAAGTCTATAAAGCATTACTTTTAGCCGTACACTATATTATTAATAAAATAATGTTAGGGTACTTTTTTTACATTCGTAATGGGCATGGAAGGTATAGGAACAACTACAGGGTCCTGAAAATGTAGGGACACAATGACGAGGTATTGTGTGTTCAACTGCATTGACCACAATTACTTTTGACATTAGATACGTTTACCGTGTCTACATTTGGTGTTCAGAAAATTTAAAGCATCTAGTTTATAGCCACTTTCATTTGGAAAACAGTCCAGCAAGCATGCTTTATCCTAAATTGGGAATAATTGTTCTGGTGAGGTAGATGTGATCATTTTAATTAACCACAGTTTGTTCTACATCGATTGCTCAAATATAAAACTAAAGTACTCTATAATGAGTTCATTTAATGATCATAGCTTCTGAACCATCAGGCAAGTGGTTGCCTGGCACCGACCATTTTGCGTGGACCTGGAGGAAAGCACCTTCTCACACCTGCGCTCCTTCCTGGAGCACTACTACGACCGCATCAACAGCGATGTTCCACCCACTCCTTTTCCTACATCAAGGTAAACGCATTACATTTTGATTGAAGAGCATGGATCGGTAACATTCTGACGAACGTGTAAAGCCAATTGATTCAACTGTTGCTGTGTGGTTGTTGTAAATGACGGAAATTAACAAACAAAAAATTCTTCCTATGGATTAGTCAATTACTTATCAAAATATGCATGTCATAATATAATGCTTCGTGTCAAAAACTTGGATATACATATCACTTGTAATAACATCTTTCGCGGTAAAAAAAACTTGTTGCAAAACCTAAGTTCTTTCGTCACATTGGGTTTTTGTCAAAAGATAGGAAAAATAACTTTATTTGAATCCAAATTGGCCTTTTCCTTTTAACAATATGAGTAATGCACGGTTTTCAAAATGCAATAACTTTTACTTCTCTCCTGAAAATCATGTTTCCAGTAGTAAACTCCTGGTTGTAACTGTATTTGGATGGAATCTATCACAAGCAGCTTATTTCGATTATAAGATTTTTTTTTTTTTACGTTTTAAATGTAAGAAAACAGGTGTTAAGATGTTAAAACGGCAAACGGAAACCTTTTGCAAGGAATCCTGTCTGCATTAACCACACATACGTGTGGTGAACATGCAAAAAAACCATGCTCTGGGTAATGTATGCATTGTCTTTGAAACTGATTGGTCCACACCAGAGACAGCCATCTTTATGACCTAGTCTCAAACAGTGTTAGATCAGAAAACGCCAAAAGATGTTCCATTAGGTTTCTGTTTGGTGGTTTAACATCTTAACACCTGTTTTATTGCCAGACAGGGTAAATAAAACCTATTATTATTATTGCTTATTTTGACTTCACTTATTTACTGTATTCTAAATGCATTTGTCCCAAAATATATATTTTATCCTCTATACGAGTAAGATATGTTTTTGGAAGGATGCAAACCTGTCTTCCTTACTGATTTTTCAAATTAACCTTATTTGGAAAGGACACTTAGTCTAATGAAAACACGCATTACTAAAAGATGAATATGTATCCATCGTCGTTATTTTCATTTGTCAAATGAGTGCCACGTGTTGTTGCATTGGTGTGCAGAATTGAATTGAGATGCTGTTTGGCTGTGTTCTCAGAGAGCATCACCACTTCGTACTGCTGTGCCTCAAGTTGCTGTCCACCCACCTGTCGCTGGCCATGGCAGGTGGGGTGGCCACCAGTATCTTGGGGAGGCAGGCAAGGCCCCTCCGTAACCTGCTGTTCCGACTCATGGACTCCTCGGTGCCCGACTCCATCCAGGAGGTGATGTTGTTTTGTGGCTGCAAACGGGTGTCTTTTGAAAGTTGCATATTAGTAAAAATGCATTTGCTGCTGAAGAGTAATGTAATAATTGACCCTTTCCCATTCCGAGACGTCTGCAAGTTGCAGGGTGGGTCCTGTTCACCATTGAATCTCGGAATATGCAAGCAGTTAGCGTTAATTTTATATAGAGGCATTATACTCACTGCAGAGAACTGTCGCGACACAACCGCACTCTATGATAGCTGGCGCAAAACTGTGCCACACACCCTACCCCACATGGCCTTGTGGGAGGCTTGGTACAATTCAAGTTATTTTTATTTAGTTTTTCTTCCTAGTCCATTCGGATGACGTATACGTGTCATCGGAACGGAATCCGAAGAAAAAATCATTGGAATGGAAAAGCGTTAATTACAACATTTAAGTGATACTGATTTTAATCACTGAAACTTTTGAACCCTTGTGGACTCTTTGTTTCTGGTGACGTTTATTGAAAGTGTATCTTTGCGGACTTTTATATGCATAACACTTTGTATAAATAGGATCCTTTTAATTTTGCTAGAACAAAGTTTCCCCTATTTTGACAAGCCTAATATGGTTTAAAATGAATGTTTTATTAAGCTGTAGTAAGGGCCATGTCACCTTCATAGAATGTCATTATTCAATGTATAAATGGAGCAATGAGTCTAGCTCCTTTGTGAATCAAGATTGATTCATTGTGGCATTGCAGCTATGTGGCAAGTATATGGCAAGGCCTTTTTCCATCAGTGGATAGAGCATGGCCAAACAGATGGATGATCGGATAATCGGGTGGCATATGGAATTAAGTGTTTCCTGTGGGTAGATAGTCTTAAATCCTTAAGTCTTTTTCTTATGGGTTGCTGTGTCTTCTAAACTAATTACATGTTTTCATGGTGCATAGCAGGCAGTTATTGAAACCCTGTCTGTGGGTGCCTCCATGCTACTGCCCCCACTGCGAGAGAGGATGGAGCTCTTGCACTCACTGCTGCCGCAGGGCCCTGCCAGATGGGAGAGTCTGTCCAAGGGACAGGTTGGTATTTTACTTAATCTTGGTTATGTTTTTTTTAAATCACAAATTATGCACAATGATCCACCCATTTTACTTTTAGAAATTATGTATTATTTAAATACAACTGGGAAGTATGTGTTTGATATTGCTTAATTTCTTGTACTTTTCTGTGTCATTTAAAATTGGAGACATTAACAGTCACAATCATTGAAATGTCTTGCATATTAGCCTGCTGTACTATGAGCCAGGCAACCCGAATTTGGTTCCCAGAAATGACTAACAGTGTTGAGCGGGCATATCTGTACATATGTATCTGTGTAATTATTCACCATTATCGTTCAGCTTGGGATGGACACATGTGAAAAAGAGCTTCCTAGCTCGTTGGGTTCTTCCTGCTTAAATAACATGTCTGTACCGATCCTGGCTCCCCCCTTTACCAGCCCCCACTGACCAGTGTAATTAAGTATGGTCAAACAATCCTTGTGACCAACATGGGATCGGGAATAGTTTTTTTTCCAGCATTAGGTTGACAAAGGGTTGTACATTTGCAATCATAATAATAGTTACGAGGATTACATTTTTAATAATAATAATTCTGTCTTCAAACCTCTCTTTCAGAAGGTTCATTCAATGGTGTGTTTGGAAATTCCACGAATTTTTGGGGCATTTGGCCACTAAGCCAAAAGCATTAGAACAAATCTAATGTTACATCACTTATTGCCTTCGTGACACCAATAGGTCGGTGCACAATGGTAGTCCATGGCCAACTTCCAATTTTGTCTGTCCTTGGCTCTAGTTTATCCGCATCCAGTCGTGTCCACCCCATTTCTCAGGCCTCCCCTGTGCATTTTCCCCATCTAGGTGTCCATAGAAAAGGATTTTAGAAAATCTGTTTGCCCATCTGGAGTGTGTGCGCAAAGCACGAACTAAGTGCACAAGGGACCTTATCGCTCAACTGCCTTCACTGTACCCAAAACCAAGACTTTTGGCAGAGTGCTGTTTTTCCATGGCTGCCCGAAGCATCTGTAATTTCATCCTGCTGGGCAGGCAGGGTGACGCGGTAGTAACACTCGTGCATTGCATCTAGAAGGGCCAGGGTTCAATTGCCTACTCAAGTACCTTTCTATGTGGAGTTTGTATGTTCTCCCCCTGTTTATGCATGGGGTTTCCTCCGGGTTCTCCAGTTTCCTCCCAAAGCCAAAAAAGAACAAACAATGTAATTTATATTGGCCAAACATCCCAATGCTCAAACATTACCTGCAATTTACTTAAATTTAATGAAAGAAACATAAACTCCCCTACTGTGAAAATGTGTCGGGACCCTCCTGAAAAAGTCATGAGACTATCTGAAGCTTTTGTGTGTAAACAAGTGGAAAAGTAAACCAAATATGCAGCATCCAACCCACTCCCACTTTAGAGATAGTTGACCTGGCATTTTCAAATTTGTATACATAAATAATATTATTTTGACAGCCATCTCTGTTGTATATCCACACTACCTCTTTTGATATTAACATTGTTTTTTGTCCTGCCTGGTTATTCCTGGTATCTTATTCAATATGGTCATCAAAAACAACAATGCTTCATCGGAAGCTGTACTACATGAATTAATCCACTTCATTCGGAAGGAAAATGTATAATTACAACTTGCAACCAAAGATATCTCATTTACTCGAGTGACAAAATGTTTCTATTGGGTGCTATTTTTGGAGGAAAACTTAATTTTTGTTCTGACTTGTTTTTCAGAGGATGCAGCTGGATATAATCTTGACCAGCTTGCAGGATCACACTCATGTGGCCTCACTCCTGGGCTACAGTGCTCCAGCAGACCCCATTGAAGGCCCATCACCTGGCCCTAGTCCCACAGATACTGACCTCCCTCACACGGGTCAGCCCGACACTCACCTTGCCGAAGTGCTCATGAAGACGCTGCTTCGCAATATGGGCTTCTACACGGTGTGTTGGGGGCGTGAAATGTAGAAGAGTCTGTGGCCAACAATAGTATGTAGGCAACATTTTGTATGCTATCTTCAGCAGTCGCCTTTGTGATGGAAATGTATGTTCGGCAAAAAGGGTAATTGTTACCTGAATCTTTTTAGTGCCTCAAATTTGTAATTTGAGGGATATTTCCCTCTCATCATCAAAACGTCACTGTGATACTTCACACTTGTGTTGCAATGTCGAACCATCCCTCTTGATAAAAATACTCTACATTTTTTCATGAACCGTTTACAAATAATTTTGCCCAATGAAAATGCTGTTCACGTCACGTTGACCAGCACAGTTAATGGTCAAAAAAGTCAAGTGTCACCCTGCCCCGAAGTATGTGGGGTGATGTTGATAGTCCTCAGCGAGGAGTAGAAATTCCCCATTCCTGTGGTAGCAATATAACTGATAGGACCATAAAACGTAATTTGTTATTCAGGTGAGAGCCCATTGAGATTTATTTAATAAGTACAGGTGCTTTCAAAATTAGTTTTTGGGCTTTAACACATTGGCAGCCTACTCCCCAAACATCTTTTACAAGGTCCATAAACTTTGTTTGAATAACACCATGGAGTTCTTTGGTAATTGCATAAAGTAATTAAATAGTTGGCTGTGAGAATTGACCACTCTGGAAAACTAACCCAGCTGTAAGTGCACTATTCACTGGTTTGACCGGTTTTGATACATGCATTAAGATTTTGTTTCTTGCAGCCCCTGAAAAATTATAAACTCGACAATTTTTGTATAGATGGAATGGTGGTGTAATATTGACATTCTGTGCATAGATGTTTCTGAGCAGTGTGTTGGTGAAATATTGGTAATGTGTATGTATGAACTGAGGAATTTATTGCAGTAATGCACTTCCAATTATGTGGCTGTGAACTCGGTGTCTTCTTTTAAGTGCAAAAGTACTGCCCATATATTGCAGAATTTTACATATTAAGCAATGGTGGAGTGGTAACGTAGAAGTTAGTGCACTGTGCTACGAACCCGGTGACCTGAGTTGGTTTCTTCACCATCGCTCGCATCGATGGCGAATTTTATATCCTAACCAGTCCAGAGGCCATCCCCCCACCTCCCCTGCTCTGGCCAGCATAATGAAGGGTGATCAAACAACCTCAATGACCAATATAATGAGGAGGTCTTCATCGAGCAAGTAGCTGGACTAAGGGCTGTAAATATGTTCATATCAAGCAATGCTTAAAAATGTATCGGGCAATGCAAAATATAAAAGATTCAACTTTTTGAATTTTGCAAAAAACTGTCAATATGCTGTGATTGAACATCGAGGTATATTCCCTGCAGGAGCAAGCATTTGGAGAGCTGGAGAAGAACAGTGACAAGCAGAATGCCGAGATGTCGCCTTCCGACAGCAACCCACCTGCCCATCTCCATGAGCTTCTGTCTTCCCTTCACAAGCAGTTGCTGGCCTACTGCCATGTCAACAATGTTGCCGAGGTTAGAGCTTAACCTGTCGTACTTCTGTGGTCATTCTTTGTCAGTGTTGTTTAAGAATATATAAATAAAATAGTGTTTAATCCTGTAAGGTAGGTTTAAACCCAGTTGATATGTATTTTTTAAGGAAGACCTGAGAAGACCTAACCAAAGGGGTTTTATTAAAAAAATTGTGTGTGCATTTTAGTTTTGTGCACATGCCAGCTCGCAGGCTATGAAACCACCTGTACAACGAACAAGACGTGTGCATAAGACATGATGTTGGCGGAAAAATGCTCAGTTGGATTCATTGTCAGTGATGAAAATGGAGTCGGTTTGCTTGCACAATTTTAATGAGTTACTCTGGCAGTGTTTGTACATTGAGTACATATGTAATCCTCAAGCATAGCTATAACAGTCTACACATGTTTGGGGAACCATAGTGTTTTACAAAATAACATTTAAAAGGGCATTATTACACAGCATGCCCGCCTTGTGCAGGTTCAGATGGTTACAGTCATATATTGTGCTCCATGGTTTATTTTTTTAAACAACCAATTGAGCCCATTTGAAAACTGCTAATCATGGCTGCTTTAAAGCAAATAAATTAGCCACCTATGGGGAAGGTTGTACATCAACACTGAGTATTCTGTCCAATGACTTGCTACTGCTCCTAAGTACTGTGTATCATCTGGCTTTGTCGTGTGTGCTTCTTGCAGACGTCCAGCAGCGTGGCCCTCCTGCACAAGCATCTGCAGCTGCTGCTTCCTCATGCAGCAGAGATCTTCGCACGCTCGGTGTCCCTGTTGAGGGAGACTCCCCGCAATGGCAGTGTGAGGGACAAGTTGAGAGGTATGAATTTCACGTGGTATTTGTATATACGGACCATTGTTGTGTTGTCATTTCCTCACTTGAGTTTTACGTGCTTGGCTACATATGTGAAAAGGGTACCACGTTTACGAATTAAAAAAAAATTGCACGTGAAAGTCTCCTGTTTATCAATTCTTAAAATGTATTATTGTATGAAGATAAGTTGTACAATGAACTCTGGTTCTTTTGGGTCGAGGATTAACTGTGCTTGCTCAACAATGAACATGGCTTATTCCACGCTTAATCATGCCTTTCACAAGCAAGCTGCGTCTCTTACTAGCTGCTGTGTGAATGATTACTTTAGCAAACAATAAAAATGTATGAAACATTATATATATTTACACCCATTCTAGGTGAGTAAACAGTAAATATGTTTTTATAGCCGAATTTGCCTGTTTTTTTATTTGTTTTGTGTTTTATCTGCCATCCCTCCCCCATTACTCCAGATAATCTAGAATTGACTATTGTTATTAGTATGAATGTGTTTGTTATTCCTAAAAGCAAGATACGTGCAGCCTCGGTTTACTGTACTGCACCAAATCATTCCTGAATTTGTTTAGAATTTATAATAAAAAATGTTAATAACTCGGGATGAATTGAAAATTAATACATTTTTAAATCTATGTAAATGTAACTATCGCATGATGCTGTACAAAACACAGGAAATGTGCCTTACCGGGCAGAAAGGCAGGTATTTATGGTGTATTCAAGTAATGCGTTATTATGTGATATCTACAGCTACGCTTGGCAACTTCGATACATGTACAGCTACGCGTGGAAACTGAGTTGCGACAAGGGTTTAAGATTAGACTGTTACGATTACTTGGGCTCTTGCACGTTGCGTGTTTCTCAAACTCGCATTACATTTTAAATTAATGAGCATCTTCAAATCACAACTATGTATGGTGGCTGGTACCACCTACGTCTCTTGATAATTCATGTAAATTGTAATAATCTTTAGCATACAATGTCCTATAATGCAGCGTTCAGAGCGAAATGGCTGCTTTTGCAAAAGGGAGTGTAGAGCTTAGGGTGTTGGCTGCTAGTAATGTAATGTGCAATCAGTGCAACTTGCTTTTACATGAGTGCATCCAAGCTTTCCAGTATAAAAATGTGTATGCTTAATAACTGCTGGAATATAAAAAGTCGAACCTGTTTTCTATTCACACAGGCAACGGGTGACACCCATCACTTTGTTTTGCAGCTCTGAGCCAGAGGGGAAAATTTCACATTTCTGTGTTTGTGTACGAATCTCTATAGCACAACCACTATTTACGTCTGACGAAGTGATAATAAATTTTCTCCACCATAGAGGGATGACTTTCTCTCCGTCATGGTTTGCACTCGCAAACCTTCCGATTACGAGCTTCATCTTTTAACCCATCGGTTTCTACACTGCGATATGCAAGCACACATTTATGCACAAACTCAAAACATTTAGGAGATGCATGCAAGATTTTGTGTATACAAGCTAGGACGAATGCAAATGTGTGGATTTGTATGTTGTGCAGGGTTTTCACCTGTACGAAATTGCATCCTGACTTGCATGCACTTCAAACGGGGGGGGGGGGGGAGTTTGCATTGCCGATAAGTCATAACGCAGCCTCGTGCTTCATATTGTCTTCCTTCAGATGTATTATATAGCTCGGCAGCGGGCAGCATGCTGTGCCAGATTGTGAACTCGCTGCTGTTGCTCGCGGTGCCTGTGGTGCGGCCACTGCTGAGCCATCTGTTGGAACTGCTGCCTCCACTGGACCGCCTCAATCGCCTGCTGCCAGCTGCCCATCTACTCGAGGAGCAAGAGCTGGAGTGGCCAATGCATGGTACTGGTGCAGCAATTCCTAGATGTCTCCCCCCCCCCTCCCCCAGTTTATTTTTGTAGGTACGGTGATCTTTGCTACAAAGACACCCTGGATAGAGGCAGTATGGTGCACGCAGTTGACTGGAATGTGACTCCACGCAAATTGTGTTTTTCATCAGACCGTGTTGTGGGAGTTTAATTCAGTCAAATGTTATTTTGATGATCGATGAAAGGTGGGTGCAACGGTGGTGCAGTGGTTCGCACATCGTGCTACTAACTTGGTTATCTGAGTTTCTTTCCCAGCCACGGCTGATATGAGTGGTGGGTAATGTCTGACCTGGTCTTGACCTCCCTCTTTACAGTCCACACTGACTCATGGGGTAAAGTGTGCCTAAAAATCTCCACGGGGTAGGGAGGCCTTTTTCCATGAAACTATTTTTAAAAATAGTTGACTGATGTGAGGGCATGATGATAAAGGTCACCTGTAATCCTTTGCATTGGTAATCTTCCTTTCACCAAGGATATTAAATATTTTTCAATTTCATAAAGGAGGTTGTTAAAACAGTACATTTGTACTACTAAGACAGCGGATAACATTCAATGGATTGTGGCAATTTGGTGTCGCTACTTCTCTTTTATTGTTGCATGAAATATATTTGGTTTTCTTTTTTGCATTTAAATGGATGAAAATTTTTGGTAATATTGAAAAAAAATTTTTTTGTATAGTTATTTGTTTTATTCATTTATTTTAATCATTGTTCTTCATTGGTTAAAGCCATTTTTTTCAATTTGATATCCATATCCTGGCAAACCATTTTCCACTGGTACACTGTAGATGATGAACACATTTGTCTCATCTGCTGCATGCCATTTTGGGAGCTATGAGGCAAATAAAGTACGATTCTTCATAGTAAAATGGACCAGACATTTCAGGCCTTTGTATGTTTGAAGCCTTGCATCACTTGCTATTGTATGTATATGTTTCAGGAAACTTTCGATGCACTACAAGTTTTGCAGTTCATGACTCATTGTGAACCAAATGTTGTTGTGGACCTCTGGGCTGCTTTATTGCAGATCCGGTGGGGAAATGGAGAGAGAGAATATGGGAGAGAGATGGGGGGTGATGAGGGCGATGAGATCTATTTTGGAGAAATAAAGTTAATGATCTAAAACATGAAATAAGGATATTTTTATGTAACTTAATTTTACATCTCTGCTCTTAAATGTTGGTGCGAAATAATTAAATAAATCGGCGCACAAAATCTTATTCATTTCATTTAGTTTTGTTGTTGTTAGGTCCCTACTTCAGAGCACCTAGTTAACGAGTTATTTTTATTGTAATGTGCATTTAAAAATATATATTTATCATACTACTTGGCAGATTTATTAACAAAACTAATTCAATAAATATGTCTACAAAATTATGCTCAATCTTTGGGCTACAAGCCTTGAAGAGCTTTTATGTGCAGTTAGTGGTGCATGAATGTGCTTGGTCTCCTTAAGGGCTTACAAGCTTCCTTTACCAACCCCAGACATCCATAACTGTTACAGAAATATAACGGAAATAGATTGTGTGCATGCATGTATAATGTTGCGTGCACACAGAGTGGTAGGTTTTGCTGATAAGCATGATTCCACATTTTTGTGCATGATTCCACATTTTTGTGCATGATTTATATTGAATACGTTCTCTAATTGGAGTACACATCAAGGTGTGTGGCACAGTAGTCAGTCTGAAAAAGCGTGAAATTAGCTTCACTTTACAAACATGTTATTCGGTATAGATGTTTCTTTAACTTCTGAAAGCGGAAAGTACGTTTTGAATTGTCACCATAGTTGCGCTGGAGTGAAACCTGCTGTCACCAGTCATTGCGTGTGTGTGGGGCAGGTTCATGTGAGCGGGTGGAGCCTGTTGGACCATCTCTGGGTCAGCCAGCGCAAGTGTGGGTGTGGCTTGTGGACCTGGAGAGGACCATCTCTCTGCTGGTGGGCCGATGCCTCGGGGGCATGCTGCAGGGTCCATCAAACACCCCAGAGGAGCAGGACTGCGCACACTGGCTGTTCAGCCTGCTCTTCAGTAATGGCCTGGATATGAACATTGTGCAGTTTGGTATGTGTGAACACTGGATCTTCACAGTTTGATAACAAATAACATTAACTTAATCAAACACGAATTAAATAAAACGCAACGTTTAGTTTGTTTCTATAAGTTTGGCATATTGTAGAGCAGCGGTCGGGAACCTATGGCTCGCGAGCCATATATGGCTCTTCCGGTGACGGCATTTTGAGTTGAAAAAGATAATAATAAAAAAATAAAATCAGTTTGGAACTGATTTTAAAATACTTGTGATATTGCTTAATAATACTGTGTCATTTTAAAGTAAACAGAAATTTGTTTTGAAGATAACATTTCTCGGGTCACGGGTCCCGTGACCAGAAAAATACTATATGGCTCTCAATGAAATATATTTAGAAATATTTGGATTTTATGGCTCTCCCAGTCAAAAAGGTTACCGACCCCTGTTGTAGAGTGTTCCTTATTCAAATCGCCCAAAATGCATATGATCTCATCAGGTCTCAGATGCGAACCAGGGTTGAAAGATTATATTGGTGATCACCATCCACAAACAGGTTGTCAAGGCTTGCAAGGCTATCCTGTGGGTAGCAGAGAGTGGTGCAGAAAATATGTAGCACTGTATGCCTATGCTCCCTGTCTTCACCAAACCACACTGACCAGCATGGTGAAGTATTGTCAAACAACTCTAAAAACCCATTGTGTGGAATTCCAAAAGGGTTGTTTATGTGCATATGTATTTTATATCTGTGGTTATGCAAAAAAGCACAGTTTTAAGGGCCTTTTCCAACTCTAAATCTCAGGCCATTTCCTGAATCTGACGGTTTATAAACATATTTCCATTATAAGACATCATTAATGACTCGTGTACTTGGTATTTGTGGATAACCTGGAATCTATCAGTTATTTAAATCCTACTTAAAATAATGGGAACTTGCAACAAAATATAGTTATTTACATGACTTAACGATGGCAAATTTCCATTTAAATGTAAAGTAGAAATTAAATTGGATATTTTAAAAATTCAGGAAAGTAATTTTAACCTGCCACTAGAGAACTAGTCTCAACTTAGAAGGTAATTAATATATATCCTACAAGATTGAATTTGTAGATTTCTATTTTGATGTGCATAAAATTTAATAGAATACGCAACTATATATTTATTATTGAAGCTATGCGCAATATGTTAAAGATTGATTTTTCTTTGGAATTAACCCTTTTTTTTTCTTTTGCGTTAAAGTAGGGTTTTTTTTCTTCAAAAGTTAACACTGCCCTCTGATCTTTGCATTTACGTATCTGTTGTTGTGGCCCCCATTCAGACAAATGCATGAACTCTCTAACGGAGGCAGCACTTTCGGGCAATGAGGAGCACAAGCCGTTTGAGTACAGGCTGTCAGCTGATGTCTCCCTTCTCGTGGACCTGGCCCTTGGCTCCACCAAAGAACCAGCACGCAGCCTTTGGGTCAAAATGCAAGACTACGCACTGAGCAGGGGTCAGTATTCTATGCCTACTCCCGCTCATGTTCACATTGGTATTTAATGCATGTATTCATTTGCATGTTGACATTTAAAAATACTGCAGCAAGATTGTATTTACTTTTGAGAAATACAATTAAGCAAAGTGCTGTGACTTGTACAAGGCCTGCAGCTCTTGCTCAGGCAGCATTTTAAGCACTGCCCATAGATTTGCAGATTTTTTTCATTGCTAATAATTTAAATTAGCATTTTTTTCGCTAAAGCATCATTTACTTTATGAATGACACATTCTAAACAGCCTTAATGTTTTAAAAATATATGAAGTAATAATTGAATTGTTAATATGCCAAATATAAAATCTGTAAATGTACGTTGTGTTCATGAACATCCGTTCAGTCATAGTATTTGTTGGTTGTGCAGACTGGGACAGCTCCAACCTTAGCAGTGAACCTCTACTGGACACAGTGTCGAGGTTCGCTCTCGCTGCTTTCCTCAAGCACACTGGGCAGCTCAAGACTGCATGCCAAGACCGGTACGTTTGTGTTGTGATGTGGAATGTTTCCTTTCAATTGTACAGGACGAACCATTTATAGGTACCCGCACTGAGTTAATGACTTCTTCTCTAACGTTATATAAGTTATTTGGTGATACTCCGTTGGCAGTGGTGCACAAGCACATGTGACGTAAAAACTCAACATGTTTGATAACAACACGACCTTAATGAGAGGCGTGTAATTGGCAATGTTTCGGAAAATGGCCCCTTCGTCATACGTAAATGGAGCGGGAAGAGTAAGATAAGTGTTGGAGACTGCACTTGCTACCATGGGATGTGATATGAATTACATTTTAAATGTGTTTGCCTTTGAGCAGTTCTTTTTTTAATTGGCTTGAGTAAAGGAGACCCCCCCCCCCCCCCGTACCTACGAGCTAGTTGGTTCGTGGACGACAGTTGCAAGTCGATCCGTCATAAGTCGTACCCTCATCTCCCATTGGTGCAATAACCCTAACAAACATTTATTGTAACTTAACATAACCTTTAAAAACGTTTATTAAGTAAAAACAAACACAGTTGTAGATCATTAAATACTTTGCTGCATATGCATCACATTTCCTATTCTCAGTTGTAGCGAAAGGTGAAATTTTTTCAAAATTTGAAGAAAATTTATAAGGAAGTGAAGAGCGTTGAGAAGGAGACGCTGCGTTCGCTCTCAGCGAAGCTGCAGACTGTCGGGATATACTCTACATACGCATATGGCAGAGGAGCAAAGCAGCGCCATCTGGCAACGAGCACGCGCATAGCATGCTCAGACTCGTCGCCAATCGACTCTGCGTCGGTAGCAGTCGTTAGGTGGTCGTTGATAGGCGTTCTGGTCGTTACTGTGGGGGTCTTAATTACTATAAGAAAGGTCGTAAAAGCGGGGGGTCGCAAGTCGATCTGTCGTAAGTCGGGTCACCTGTAGTTGCCTAACAGTAACTATTAAGTAACATATTGCATAAATATGAAGAGGATATTGCTGATCATGAAGAGCTTAGAAATCGTTTTTTCTGACTTGCAGTATTTTATAAACTTTCTTTAAATAATCCTGAATGTGTGCTTTAAACAGGTTTCAGCCCAACCGACTGATTTCAGAAGTCTACTCCTGCGTTTACAAACTCCGCAATCGACTCTTGGCTCAACGCAATATTGAGCTGATTAACCCGCGTTCCAGAGCATCGGAAAGATTGAAGCTGGTATGACTTTTATGTTGTACATAATCACGCCTTTCCTTTTATCTTGCAATGGCATTAAAGGCATGCAACATACCTCATGATACTATGGCGAGAGCAATCGATTACAATTCGGGAAGTTGCGAGTTCAAATGTCAATTGAGTGTCCACTTTGCTGATCACTGTTGTGGGTTCAGCAAAATGAGTGAACACTTTGTAGGAAATAACCAGTGGTGGGTCCTTAGAGAGACTGGCTCCTGCATTAGGGCTGCAGGAGTTTTTCCACTCACTTGTGGTGACCAATGCATATAGGTGCTGCTGCCTGTCATCCTGGTCTTTTGAGTTATCATCTGGTTAAACAAAATTAACTTAACTTTTAACTTTAATTTGTTTGAGCAGATAGTCACTTTGGCCCATTGACTATATATCACAGGCCTTTAACGGTTGAAGGAATAGCAAAGTGGCCACGTGGCTGAGGTCAGTGCTGAGCTAGCACCGCTGAGATCCAGGGTCCAAATTTATCACTTGGCTACATACGGTGCGAAAGAAGTTCAACATACAAGTAAGTTTGCCTCAGCCTGGTCACCAATGACTGCAAACAAACTATCGCATTACGTGTGGTTCTGCACTTATTTTGGCTCAATTCCGTCTGAGAATACAAATTTAATCCGACAGACATTATATATTAAACACATATAAGGAGCAGGTGGAATAACATTGGACCAGAAGTTCCTTGCACGGATCTCGAAGGTAGCTCTGTGATGGCCTCTTCTGTGGTCTGTTTTCCAACACAAAGTGTTGCACTGTTCTGTTAGATATGTAGTATTGTACAGACAGACTCTTCAACGTCTTTTAGTAGCACACACTTTATTTGTGAATACAGTCCCTATGCACTGAGGGGTATACGGTCCCCTCACCCGTTACACTCCGAACGTACAAGCCTACAGGCTACTCATACCCCGCTCCTTCAGTGTCCTCTGACTGGACCTAAGGAGATGTCTCCCTGACCACTGGTTACTCTGAGCCCTAGCCCTTATAAGGGCTGGAGGGCTTGGTCCAGGGTCCTATGCTTCTTCCGCCGGCTTGGGTCTTAGTGTCGTCGAACTCCCCGAGAGCTCTGAGCGTTCTGGCTTTATACTCGTTTGTGGCCGGGTTGTCCAATCCCTGGCCACCTTGTGGAACCCTGTGATTGGTCGTTCCCAATCTGCTTTTCGATCCCAATTTACCCTATCTGACCCTGACCGTTAGGTCGCGCGGGAAAACCTTGTTTACGGTCAGCTCTCACAACTTGTGAGACCCTGACCGTTAGTTTGAGCGGGAAACCCTTGTCAACGATTAGCTCTCCCTGTTTGTGAATATCGAGTGGGTAACTCTACTACAGATATTCAAATCGCTCATTGTTGAGCGTTTGTCAATTGTTTGATCATGCAAAAGTGCCAGAGCAGTAACACCCATTTTTTATTCAATGGAAGAAACCTAATGACATTAAAATGCAGTTAAAGATGTGTAATATCAGCCCAATATTAATTTTCATAATTTTTAATCATCTCATATTGATTTTACGTTCGAAGAACTTGTTTTTTAAATACATTAAGGTAAAATTGCCATGTCATTTCTTGTGCACCATATTTTACTTTTGCTACCTTATTTAAGTTTCAACATATTTATATTTCTGCAGTTAGGTTGGATTTGTTGAAATGTCATTTGGTACTGATGTACAGGAAAATGTCCAAAAAGTAGTTCTTAATTTGTGATCCGTCATATATTTTTCAACGTCCATTATAATTGTGCATAATGATACCCCTTCAGCCTTAATTATAGCACATTTCAGACTGACTTTATTTCAGCTGGTAAGGCCCATGGAGTTAAAAGCTTTTTTACGAGGATAATGAGCCCACTTGGGAGGCTTGAGCTTTGTAAATAGCCATGAGCAGTACTTAATGATATTGGCTTTAATAGTCCATATTAATTTCAGTCTACCATAATATTAAATTGATACATATGCCATTTTAAACACCACTGTCATGTGTAACTCTATTGTCACTTGTAATCAAGACCACCTGGTTTTGGACCAAGTGTCCTGTTTGCTTAACCATCCACGGAGATTAAAGTTGCCCTAAACCAAATTGAGGTAGGGAGATGAATCGAGTTTTTATTTGGTAACCACATCACACGAAATATGTACATGGAGAATGGAAAAGCTGAGTGGGCGGAAGGGATAGAGATAACAACCATAAGTGGCGTGAGTAAACTCCGAGATATTTTTTTTTATACTCTGGCAGTGTACATATTAACTAATTCAATTTCAGGATAACAGGATCTACTGAGCATTAGTTACTCGTGTGAGCAGTGCATTTATTACTTCTGCCATTCTCCTTACTGTTTCGGTCAGCTCTCGTACAATTCAGATGGTGGTGAGGACGAGGGCCAGGATGGGCCCCTTGCTCATACTCTGGATGAAGAGACGGAGCTGGAGGAACGGCTGGAGCGCGAGCGTGAGCATGAGCAGCGGGAAGGACAGGAGGAAGAAGAGGAAGAGAGGGATGACACTCTGACGCCTGGCAGTGAGTATCCATTTATCCGATATTCTTGCACACAGGACCCATAAATACGCACACCTAGACGTATTTTGAAAAGCTAATGCTATAACATTAGCTTTTGCAAACAATTCATGTGAATGATACGCATACATACAATACACAGTGTTGTCCCACGTCTGACCGTGCAGTCGTATGCGATAGAATTCAAACCACATATCGTCAATTTTGGGTAGAAATAGTCTTGTCGCATTAACGATAAATCGTACAAACCTAAGCTGCGTAAAGGGAGGGAAACCTGTATATATATTTTAGTAGTATAATAAATTCTAGTTCTTTTATTTATCTATATATAAAAAAGGGAAATTTGTGAATGTGTCTATTCAAAATGTTTAGCGTACTTCCCGACATGCAACAAACTTAAAATTTGCCATGTGGGTACTTTCCAGACTGTACACTGTGCAAAAATTATAAAAATAGACTTTTGGTTTTTTTTGGAGGGGGGGGGCGCAATGATGGATATATTTTGCACGGCAAGTGAGCTGTGACGTCACATCTGTGATGTCACCCGCGCATGCGGAAGCGTCACGCAGTGTGCCTGCTCATGTTACCCCCCCCAACCCTCTGCGAGTAAAGTGCCATACAAATGTGTTGCAGGTCTAAGGCGTTCTTCGCGCAGCATTGCTGCTTTATTATTTGAGTCGTTTACTGCCGTACGCACCCTGAAAGTTGTGTGTGTGTCTGCAGCAAGCGCGTGTATGTGTACCTATGGACGCGCGCGTGTGTGTGTGTGTGTGGGGAGCGGTAGTGTAGTGGTTAGCACGCTGCGCTACGAACCCGGCGACCCGAGTTCGATTCCCGCTCACGGCCACCACCGGTGACGATTATTTGAACCGGTCCTGGGCCTCCCCTAGGTCGACTCAGCCTCAAACGAGTAACTGGTGTGTTGTGTGAACATTGCCACTGGGGAGACAAAGGCGGCCGGGCGTTGTGAATCCAAGTCCCTGGGCGAAGCCGGGTAGTAAAGCTAGTATAGTATACTTTTTTGATTGTCCTCTGCGATTTGCTCATTTGTCCTTGTTAAAAAGAATTGTGGTTTTTCTGTGCTGATTATACAGCAGCTTAGTCTTATTTAAATATGTATTGCCTTAAATACTTGGTTCATCATGTTTAAATATATCCATCTTGAATAAAATCGGTTTTTTTGTGGTTGCAAGGGGGGAGGGAGGGTGTTGCAAGCAGGGATTGTTTCTAGATTTGCTTAATATGGTAATTTTTTTCCGGAATCACTTGATATACCATAATCTCATCTAATTATTCATTGCCTAGTTGGCGGTCTTAAAAAGGTGAGTCTCAAGAGATCTAAAATTATGCAGCCATGGTCACTTTACCAAAGTCAATTTCACACGATTATTGAATAAAGCAATGAGCAGCAACATGTATTATTCCCAGTGGAGCTTAGAATGCCATTTAAAGGTTGCAAATTATTTAAAGTTCAGGATCGCTTGTTATGTATTTGCTTTATAATTGCTGCCGTTGATTCTTTACCGTTTACCTGTCCAAAATGGATCACTCGATTTTAGTTTTGAATTTCATGCTATTGTAATCATGATGTGATAAAGCCCTTTTTATGAAACTACTCTTTGGTTTCTTCACAATGCAGGCAGTGTATGTTATCCATACTTCACCACAGTGGTCAGTGCTGGTTGGTGAATGTGGGAGCATTGACTTACTGCACAGTACAACAATGTATTTTGCTGCAATGTCCTTTAACTGTTGTTATGCATTGGGGTTGTTCATACAAGCACTATTCAGGCTCAAGCCTGCTTAGCTATGGAGATCTGATGACATTGGGCACATCCTGAGTGATCTGGTCATAGGATTGCTTAACTACAAGGCGTAGGGTAATGTAGCAACAACACAATTTGACTCTTTCCATATTCGTCTCCTGCTTGCGAGCATGCCAACGACGTGTTGGCTCTGTAATTGCGATTATATGTCTTGTCTCTCTTTTGTGCACCTTACAGAAGTTTTTCAATGTTTCCTATCAGCACGGGATGCGGCTCGAACGCGAGAACGAGAACGCGACAGGGAGCGGGAGAGGCTTGGCGTTGGGAGTTCAAATTCCCCAGCGCTAGACGAGCAGTCCGAGGACCACAACCAACCGTCGGTGGGGCCGCAGTCAAGCCAAGCGACCAAGAGAAAGAGCTCGGGCGTTGGGTTTGAGGAGTTGGATATTTTCACACTGGCATGCAACACGGTTATCCAGCGGTGCGCCTTGCTTATTCTGGCGGTGAGCCCCGCTGTGAGGGACTGCCAGAGTAGAGAAGAAGACCTGCCCGGACAAGGTGGTTACATTGGGTAAGTCCAAGTGCATTTTGTTCATCTACATGCAAAATCCAAAGAACCAGGATAGCCTAATTTTAAAGTGACCTGGGGTCACCAAAATGGCAACAAGCAAATAAAGTAAAGTACAGCAATGAAGCAAATATAAATTAGTGCCAAAACGACCTTTTCGTGATGAGAATGAAAAAATATTGCATGAACATAAATAATTGTAAAATAATAAGTTCCCTGTCACACATATTGGCTTAGGTAGATAATTTTTGTACTGATCAAAGTGTAGTGGGTACAGAGGGAGAGCGAGGCTTCTTGGAGGCAACACGTTTATTATAACAACATTAGCTAACAAGGGGTAGCTGCCCTTTCACCAGGTAACTGGGGAGGGAGTCCCTCCTGACTAACTCGCCCAAACGCGACTGGGGAGGGGAAGCCGTCAAGCCGGACTCCAACTCGAGTCCTGGTCTTGACCCCCTGGGGCTTCTTCTTCAGGAGGACGTCTTCATGTCTTCAGACCAGCAACAACCGCCGGACCCGTTCAGGAGTCCGGCTTATATCCCCAGTCCCGGGGCTTCCTCCGCCCCTAGGCACCGCCTCCCTTTTCGACCTTTCCAGAGGCCCCTTGAACCGGTCCCGGGGTCCCCCAGCCCCCCTCTTTGGGGGCCCCACCCCCAGTACCTCCGGCCACTAGCCCTCCAGGTTCATCCGGAGTGCCATGGCCCCCTGTCACCCGTGCGCCGCTCCCGGTGCTCTCGCGCCCTAGCCTCAAAGGTGTTGACACTGCACACGGAGTGCACGTTGCACAACTGCCGTGTGCTGTAGGTGGTGTGAGCAGCATGTACCGTGCTCCACACACGGGCCGGCCTAACGTGGCATGCAGTGGCATCCCTTGATGCCACTACAAAAGTACAATTCGGTAGCAGAAACTTTTATGACATTTAGGGTGACTATCCTACTAATATCTCAACAAGGATACATGCTACATTCATATGTAGCAAATATAAAGGGTGTTGTAATTATAATGGTGTCTGTGTTCATGAAGCAAATATATCTTAAATATCTTCCGATTGCTCCCAACTGGAATATTTTATAAGGAATGGAGAGCGATGAACGGTAGAAACCCAAGTTCGATTCCTGACCATGGATAACATCATTGGTGAGATGATATTTGACTGGCCTGGGCCTCCCTGTACTAACGAGTGCGGTAAATTATGGGGAGGCATTCGTTCAGCAGTGGATTGACAAAAGGCTGTAGATTATTTTATTTATTTAAACAAGGTTTGAATTTTTGTTTTTAATCATGTAACATCTACCATTTCTTATTTTCTTTGTTCTTATGAGCAGCATATTTTGATGAGTAGCCTTATTATACCGATATTAATATATTCTTGTGTTTATGCAGCAACCTAGGAGGACTTTCACCAGAGGACATCGATGCTCGTGGCAGGAGCAGTTCTCAGCCAGGCCGGGCCAGGAGAGAGTCTGATTCTGATGATGATGCATATACAAGGGTATGTGTTTTTCATTTCTACTAAAATGTTATTTGTTGTTTCCTACTAATTGATATTTTTTTTAATACTTGTGTAACATTGAATAATTAATGAGTGAAGGCCACTTTGACAAAACATGCCCTGGAAATGTAATGTTACAGTAATAATAATATTAAAATCTCATCAAAAATAAGCACCATCATCTTTCATAGTGATCATCAGTATGAGTTATGTCATGCATGGTTTAAAGGATCACCTGTTATCTTATCTGACTCCTGTTTGGGGCCCAAGCTTTAAACATTTTGTAAAATCTGTAATCTTAGCTCTTGATGTATATGTGAAGCATTTCATTGTGCCTGGCATTCCACACGAATTGCCAAGCTACCATCATTTGAACCACACTAATCTGCGAGCCTGGATTTCCAACTTTCTAACTAATTGATAATGGCCAGTCTGATGTTCTTCAGGATCTATTATGTGTCCAAGATTTTTTCTCATAATTAAATTACTTATAGTCTCCCACTCCTTTTGCAGTAGACAGTGCTTCAAGCAATCATACTCATTTCAATCACCAGCTGACGGTAATATACATTAATCTGCCCAATGCGCAGATACTTCCCTATCAGTCATCACTGACTTGAAGAATTCTTAATTGAGGTGACAAAAACCTGGAAACAACAAAAATTTTAACCCAGTTCATGATAATATCATATAAGGCTGGTAGTCTCACATTTCATCCAATCCATGTTTTAAGCATACTATTTTTGATTAGAATAAAAACATGAATGTGCTTGTCACAATGATCTTATATGACTTGCTGTGAAACGGCTATATTACTAATTTGGATAACGAAACATAGCAAAAGCTTGGTGTTATTACTTGTGCCAAAGCCACTTCTCAGCTGTTTTACTCAAAAGTACAGATTTGTCCATAGTTGGAATGCTGCATATATATCGTACCTCACTAGACTAAATATAATTCCATATAAAAGTCATGTTGCTTACTCCAGGAATCACTGATTCGATCCAGTCACTCACTCAATGGCAGTCAATTGCCTCCATGTCACTCTTATATCGCTACTACCATGGATGCTGTTCCAGTGAACTTTACGATTTTCTTCTTCAACCCATGTCAAGGACTCAGTCTACCGGACTCTTTTGTCTCATCCACACTCCATTCAACCACCATACTGCAGATCTCCACACTTCTTCTACTTCTTCCCTCAAACTGATCTACTTTGCAATTCCCTCCAATCGTATCTTTTCCCAAGTTCGTATAACCTTCCTCCATTTGAGAAACGTGACTTTAACTGTTATCGATTACAACGTAAAAAGTGTTTGTTGTTAGCAACTTGCAATGTTGGGCCTTTGGGACCCTTCGCCATTACTGTGCTAGATTAAACATATATAATTTTACTGTAATTAACTTAAGTGGCAAAAAATAACTAATCTAAATCTCTATTTTTGTTCTTCCAGGATTCTGAGCGTGGATTTAGAGAAGATTCTGAAATGACTTCTAAAACTACTCAGCAGAGGCATGGTGGGATACTGATGTTTTCAAATACACAATATTTAAATGTAATTCTCACTGTTGATTGAAAGTTGATAAAAGGACGGTAGGTCTGCCTGGACATATTTTGCAGAACATTATACAACAAATGTTTGTCATCTATTTAATTTAACTCGCCTTTTGCCCGTCCAAGGACGGGGGTATTGCAGTAAATCTGAAACTTGCAAGCGAAAAGCAGACCGCGACGTGATATTCATTCCATCCATTCGTGATGCACGCATTCATTCTTGGATCATTATAGTAGGGAATAATAATGGGGGGGTGTCCATTTGGAGGACGTCACCTGCTCATGAATATTAATTAGGGGGACTGGTCGATGTTGAGTGACGTCACGATCATTAAGGACATTCCTGGGTGATTATATCTAGTCGGTATTTGAAGACAATCACCTTTTGATGTATAGCTGGTCATTACCTCTCTTTTAAATTGAACTGAAATAGGTATGATAGGTTGAATATAAATCTTTTTACTGCAATATACTTATTTTGTACTTTACAGATTCTGAGATCGCCTTGCAAGAGGCACGCAGGCAGCAGCAGCAACAACAGCAGCGTTACCTGGGCAGAGATAAGGCAATTGGTGCCCGGGGCCGCCCCTCAGATGGCCAGACGCTGGTTGAGACCCTGTCTGGCTTCATCACAGGAGACCTGGCTCAGTCGCCTGGCCTTCGTGAGCCTGAGGAAGGCCGTTCCAGCAACCCACACCTGCTGGCCATCGCTATGGAGCAGCAACAAACGCGAGCAGAGGTGAGGTGTGGCTTGATTAAACTGTATATCATGGGACCTCCTTTGCCAGTACCAAAATATGCGAATAGGTTTTCCCCTATTTTCTGGAAACAAAACAGGTGTTAATATGTTAAAACACCCAACTGAAACCTTTTACAAGGAATCATGTTTGCATTAACCACAATATTTGTGGTCAGAATGCAAACAAAAAACTTACTCTGGTGTTTTCACATTTTAACACCTGTTTTGTTGCCAGAATAAAAAGGAAAACCTATTCTCATAAATTGTACATGTTACTAGGTTAAATATGTGTTGGTGGTGTCAGTAACAGCCAGCTTTTGCAAATGAGTTTGAAGGACAATTTCGGCTCAAATATTAACAATACAAATTTAAGATTCTTTCTTTTGGAAATTACAAGGTGAGAACGGAGAAAATAGTCCCGTTAATATTTGCTATGAGCAACGTGTTTTTCTTTATATTTTATGATATTGATTCCATTGTAACGAATCGCAGCCTTTCCTATATTGTTTAAACATTCTTGGATTGTTTAAAAATTCCCATTTTTATTGTTTTGTTTCTTTTAGAAATTTTATCTGTGTATTCTTGATTGATACATTTTTTGGTTATTTCCACAGCTGCGTGTGGAGGCATTGCACCAAATCCTCACTCTGATTGCTGGGATGGAGGACAAGGATTGCCAGCCATCGGGGAGGAGTGAGCATGGTACCCCTATGTCACCTGGTTTCCAATCGGCTGCCCTGCTAACGTCTGTCCGCCTGCAATTTCTTGCCGGCTGTTTCGGCCTAGGCGTGGTCACCTCAAATAGCCTGGAGGGAGACAGCGTACAGCTCCATCACTACCAGGCAAGCCCACGTGACAACACATCCATATTGCTCGAAGATTGCGGTGCTTAAATGTAGTGTTCCTTTTGTATGTGGGAGATAATCTATCAAAATCGATTTTGGTAGATCTTTTTTTTATTTGTAAGGTAGGAAAATGTTAACCCTATTGAGTCCTTTTTAAATCTGTCAACTTTTTGTGTTTTTTCTCATTTTAGTATTGTTGGAGATAATATTTTTGAGACTCATGTAGTGAAAAGTTTAGAACAGTGTGTTTAAACTGAAAGCAGTCCTCATACCAACACATTTTTTATAACTTTTATAAGTATTAGAACAATTGATAATTGTTTTTCCTGGATTACCATTTTTTATGAATTATAATTTAGTTTTATATATCTCAGTTTATTTTTTTTATCGATTTTCAAAGTAGATAATTTTAATGTAAAATAAATGTTTTTATTTCAAGGCACCAATGTAAAAAATGTTATTCAATATCGTAAATATACACTTTTTCACTTTGTATTCCTGTCTTTACATTGACTCTCATAGGATGGAATTACAGCAGCGAAGAGACATACTCAAACATTAATTCAGTCTTTGGTTCACAAGATCTACCAGCATCTCGCTGCTGTGCTGGATCGTGGCTTGCAGACCAACCGGCATCCAATTGGTAAATTGGCTTCATGAAAGTTGTTTTGTTTTTGTGCAGAGTGCACCTAGCATGGCACAAGCGCCGTTGTGACAGCACCGCCACTTAGTGTTGAATGACGGTTATTTTATGTGCGGAGCGGGGAGCAGATGTGTCGCTGTTGGCACGCTGCACTTCGAACCCGGCGACCCGAGTTTGATTCCTGCTTGCAGCTATCAACATTGACAATTATCTGAATCGGTCCTGGGCCTCCCCGAGGTCGACTCGGCCTCAAATGATTACCCAGTGCAATATGCTAGCGCGCTACTAGCAGTACTTTCCACAACAATATTTTTAGGCTATATGGGGGATTATTGTATTTGTGCGGAGTGGTAGTGTAGTGGTTTGCATGCTGCAAATTTGATATCCAATTTCTGAACCAGTTCTAGACCTCCAGTAAATTGACTTTGCCACAAATTAGAACCTGGTGTGGTGTTTGCCACATCACCCTCTTGTGCACCGTGCTGGCTTTTGGTAGGGGCTCGTAAACAAAACTTGCCCCAACAGGCTATGTAGGATACCCCTCAAGTGAAGACTTTAGAGAAATTTTTACTTTGCTTAAGATGGTGTCATTTGCATTAATTATCGAGGAACCATCTATGTATGGAAGTTTAAATTTCCTGCTCTAATTAGACAACTTCTTATAAAAATCCTGCATCTCTCCCTGATTGCCTCCTGAACAAAATACATCATTACGGTTTTTACATTTTAGGTGGGTGCTGAGCACTCCATTGGTTTTTAATGTGGTGAGTTCCTAACATGCAAAATACCTTGCTGATCTCATCAAGGCGCATAAACCATCACTCTCACTCGGGTCATCCTCTCAGCGGCTTTTGGCTCTAACCATCGAACATCACGCGCTTTCCAGTGCGCTTCTACAGCCGTCTGGAATGCTCTTCCTTCTGATATTAAGAAGCCACTGGAGCTATGCACTTTTAAATCTAGATTGAAAACTACTTTCTTGAACTGCTTTTTGTGTTTAGTTTGTCCTTTCCCTGCATCTCTGATTAGCACGGTTGGCTACATATGGTCCAAAAGAAGTTCTACATAATACGTTTCATAGTTTGGGTTGCATGGCCACAATCACACTGACTTGTATTTAAACATTTTTATGAAGGAGATGTGTGCATCGGCCTGTTGATGTTGTGATTCAGTTGAAGGTTACACCAGTGTCTTCGAGGAATGTCAAAGCCAGGAGGTGCGATGTTTGGGTCTCGACTAAAGTGTTTATTCTAGACGTCGGCATTGTTCCACTGTCTGCCAGCATTCTTCTTGAGATAATAGCCTTCTCGTAGCCCACTTGTTATGTGTTTTCTTAAACACAACAAATACTGTCATCTCGCTGAAATGGACATCGTTAATTGGAATTCAGATATGAACAGGAGTAGGGAAGTGTGGGAGGGATATGGAGGAGGGAGGAAGAGATGGAGTGGGACGGAGAGGGGTGGGAGGGAGAGTGAAAGGGCATGAAACAAGAGGAAAGCGAGAGGGCAAAACACAAAGAGGAGCTGTGTGGGAGGGAGGATTAGGGAGAGGCAAGGGAGATTTAGATGGGAAAGGGAGAGGTGGGAATAAGCATCGGGAGAGAAACAGGGAGAGTTATATTGGGAGGGAAGTAGGTAAAATACAGTGGAGGGAACAGAGCTTGTTTTTTTGGTAATTTAATTGACGGTATGGAGGGGTTACCAGCCCCTTGCCCCCATTGGTCACTGGCGGCTGCGAGCATGCCATGAGAGGAACGGCCAATTTATTATCAGTCCCCCCCCACCCTGCCCCCATGTCATTGCTCACAGCATACCACACTGTTACCGACTGACTGGCAATCGCAGAGGATGTGGAGGTATTTTTTTCTAGTCTACATCTGCACCGGTTTGAAACATTCAGGCTGGCCTGCCTATGATTTATCCTGGGTTGAACCAGGTTGAATCATGCGAGTAGCTCACAGATCCTTGAAAGATCTGGATACATTTCCATCTCTGAGCTCCTCCAGCAGGTGAGGCTGCGTTGGTTGGGTCCTACAGCCCCATATGCCCAACCTTTGCATTCCCAAGCAGCTTCTGTTTGGCCAGATAGAGGGCATGGCACGGGCTACAGAAGAGATGGGCTGATACGGTACAGGAGGATGTGGAGCAGAGCGGATAAGCCGGTGACCGGTACCAAAGGTGTCAAGATCGGCCTCTTTAGGAGGCAAATGAAGCACGCTTTGGGAAATTTGAAGGCAGAGGAGTAACGCTCGCAACAACGAGCGGAGCGCTGAACAATGAAATGCATCAAGTTGACACAGTAGGGAGCACAAGTTGGTGCATCTGTCAGTCACATGGGTCTGCCCCTGTGACCTGTCAGCCAGCCTGACATTGCATGTGGCCTCAAAGTACATCTAGCCTAGCACAAATGTTGTGGTGATGTCGCCGCCATTAAGCGGTAAAAGGCGGCGACTGTTATTTGAGGAGAGGACTTTAGAGGGGGGAGAGGTAGAAGAGGGGACAGAGGAGAATAGAGGAATAGAGAACACATAGAAATAGAGTGTGAGAAATCGAGATGATAAATTGGGATCTACAGTAGAGAGAATCCAAGAGGAAGAGAGAGAGGGCTCTATATAAGGCTATCCGTTTTACTGGTTGGCTGGGAGAGGAACGGATGGACGGTCACGCCCGTAGGACGTGCGAGTTGCTTGTTTATTACATTAAAAGAAACACATCAAAGTCGATGCCATTGTCTTCTTTTGATTTAACATTTTCAGCAAATAACTTATTTTACTAAGCCATCTTGCATGTCCACAACAAACACTAGGTGGTGTAGTAGCTTTGTTTCTAGACAGAATTAGAGAAACATTTTCTGTGGTTCTATGCAAGCATTACATTTATCACAAGTGTCGCTTCATACATATGTAAATAACCTTAACTCGCACCTCCGATTAGCACGGTTGGCTCTTCGTACCTTGATCATTACCGTCATTTTGTCCATTAGCAACATGAACCTGAAGATAAATTAGTCCAGCCCTCTGAACCTCGTGCATTAATACCAAACGTTAAGAATTATAACAATGCCTTGGTCACATCATGGGACCTCCTTTGCCAGTACCAAAATATGAGAATAGGTTTTCCACTTTCTTCTGGCAACAAAACAGGTGTTAAGATGTTGAAACACCAAACTGAAACCTTTTACAAGGAATCATGTCTGCATTAACCTCAATACTTGTAGTCAGAATGCAAAAAAAAACCATGCTGATAATATATGCAAAAAGGCGTCCTCTGGTCTAACACCATTTGAGACATAGGCTCCAAAGAAAGCTGTCTCTGGTGTGGACCAATCCATTTCAAAGACAATGCATATATTATCAGTGTTTTTTTGTTTGCATTCTGACCACAAGTATTGTAGTTAATGCGGACATGATTCCTTGTAAAAGGTTTCAGTTTGGTGTTTTAACATCTTAACACTTGTTTTGTTGCCAGAAAAAATGGGAAATCTATTCTCAATGCCTTGGTCCTTCTGTGTGTATGTTAAACTTCTTTCCCACTGTTTGGAGCCAACAATGCTACATGGAGGTGTGGGGGAAGGATAAACTAGACACAGCAGTTCTAAAGAAATTCGTTTTTAATCTAGATGATTTAATAGTACATAGCTCCAGTGGCTTCCTAATATCGGAAGGAAGAGCGTTCCAGACGGCTGCAGAAACGCATCTGAAAGCGCGAAATACAGTGAACGTATTTGTTCAATGGCCAGCCAAAAGCTGCTGCGTAGGATGACCAGAGTTCGTGTGGTGGTTTATGCTCCTTGGCGAGATCAGCAGGGTATTGTGGTTCATGTGTGGCAAGCACTTTGTGTGCGATGAGTGCGACCTTTTAATGTATTCGTTCGGCAATTGGAAGCCAATGCGGCTTGGCATGCACTGGACGGACATGGTCGGGTCTTGCACCGTCATGACACGTGCCAAATAATTTTATACTTGGTGCAGCTTTGTAATGTTTCTGTCTGAGTCATGGGGATATTATTTTTGACCCCTAAAAAAAATAAAGGCTGGCATAGTGTGTAATTGGGTGCCCTGTTTAGATTCTAAGCCTGTCTGCTTACAAATATAAATATATCGCTATCTACATATAAATATTAAAAGGAAATAATTTTAGCCAATTTATCATGATTTCACCATGAGCTGTGATTTATGTCAACGTCCCATCTGTGACAATATACATGGCTATTTTGCGCAGCTGTTATTTTTCTCACTACAACAAAACACCTATTAATTTAGATATGGATGCTGTTTCAAGCCTGAACAAGGAAAGGCCTCCTTGTCTGATTTTTCACATTAATCTTCATTAACAAGGCAAAGCAAAAATCCCCATCTCATCTGCAGTTCTGCAACATTTGGTTATGATTCCAGTCCTGGTAGTGACATTGGATAGAGCTAATCTTTTGTAAAGTAACGGTACGTTTTTATCAATCTTGGAGGTGGCCGAGCCAATTCCTGACCGGGAGTGGAGATTCTAACCTTTATTGCGAGTCAAGTATTCGAATCATGATTCATACCTGGCCAGATGCAGCACTTACAGCAATATTCGTGAGAAAGGGAAGACTTGCTATGGGACCCGAAGAGGTAGTTGACATGCCCTTGCATATAAGGATGCTAATAAACAAGTACTAAGCAATCGGGGAAAAAAGTTAATTGACCTTTTAGAAGCGTGGGTTCTCGATGAGCTATGCAAGTCACTTTGGAAGACTGGATAGGTCAACTTTCGTATTAAGAGACGGGTGTTCGAGATGGGTGTAATGGCTGTTACAATATCGGACCATGTTATCTTGCGTTTGTATTGTGTGCTTGGTTATTTTCTTACTTAAATTCTCTACAACAATGCTCATAATGATGTTCTGTTATCCGGGTCGGACAGCTGTCTTTGATTAAGCGACTATAAAATTCCTTCTATGAATATAGGTTCAGCATTGGACGCCTACTCAGAAAATCAGGTAGAGGTTACAATGGGGTTGGCATTTGTGCAGGATTGTGATGCATAGTTTAATGAGATGGACATTGAAAGGGACGTTCGTAGTGTTGGTGATCAAGAGGAAGACCTCCGCGTCAGATGATGTAATACTCTGGGAGCAGACTTTTTATGTTAGGTGTAGACTCTCCAACCTTTTTGGAAATTGGTAGAAATCTAGAAATAATAATGATGTATTGTGGCATCAAAATGTCTGTTGTGACCTCTTTATAATGAAGCAGTTTAATAATTGTATGTATGTTGAAATAATTGAGACCTTCAGCCTTTTTACGAAGTGTAACTTAACACTTACATTAACGCTTTCAATATTTTTTTTAACAGGTGCACAGCAGCGTCTACAGCTCGTCACAGTGTTTGCACTGAGCATGCGTTACCAGCCTGTGGATGTGTCACTGGCTGTGTCCACTGGACTTCTGGGCATCCTTTCGGAGCTGTGCGGTACTGACATGTCTCTGGGTCAGCCTTGGCTCCTCATCCACAAGCCAGGCCTTTCTCAAATTGGCACAGCGCTCAAGGTAGCCAGCACCAGGCTGCTGCAGATCCTGGCCATCACCACAGGGTAAGGATGTCTTGCTAACGAACAAAATAATATACACCCAGCTTGAAAAAAAATGGGTATTTCATACTTGAACAACAGCTTCAGCTTCAAATTCCAAAAGTTACAGTTATTCTTGAAACACCATTTCCATCAAATGTCAATTTGAACATGCTTGTAAATCTGGAAAGTTTTATTGATATTAATTATGTGGGTTTGCCGATTTCTCTCGCAGCACCTACGCAGACCGGCTGAATCCCAAAGTGGTACAGATGTTGCTCGACCTGCTGTGTAGCCAGTTGAAGAATCTCCTTACCCAAGCAGAGGGGGTGTTCACATCTGGTGCTGACAAGGGGCAAGAATGGGCAGCGGACACTGTTCATAATGTGTCTGTCGAATGTGAGTACAATGAGTCCATGAGCACCATTGCTTGATATATTTCACGTGGGAGAATAGAATATTGTGTATGTGGGGGAAGCAATGGGTTAACAGTGCTTTAATCCCTGAGGTTTAAGTTTTCTTTTCAGTTTCATTGATTAGGTATTTTGTGAGCCATGAGGCTCTTGACTCGGGTGCATCCGCAACAAACAAAATATGAACAAAGAACAAACTTAAAGTGACGACGCGCAACAGAAACATCCAGGAAAAACCAGCAAAATCTGATTCCTAGTTACGGCTAACATTTGTGTCAAGTGAAATCTGAACTGGTCTGGTCCTAGCCATGTCTTGACAAACCTGCACCTACCAGCAAACAACCTCCATTGCTGACATAGTGTGTGGGGAGGCCTTCATCCAGCAGTGGATTGACAAAGTGCTGTAAATTGTTACTATTACAATTTGGAATCATCTGACACTTTAGTTTTCAGTTAACATTCGAAATGTTAATATTATACGTAGGCTTTTACAACCAATATTATTATTCATAATATTGATTTTACGTTAGATTGTGTACATATAATGCCAGTTTATTTTGAACTATAACCCTCCACCGAGTGACGGAGCCAATCAAATGCATTGGAATATTTGCGCTTTAGTTTTCAGTTAACTTTCGAAATGTTAATATTATACGTAGGCTTTTACAACCAATATTATTATTCATCATATTGATTTTACGTTAGATTGTGTACATATAATGCCAGTTTATTTTGAACTATAACCCTCCACCGAGTGACGGAGCCAATCAAATACATTGGAATATTTGCGCATGTGGCAACTTGATTTATTGGCTCAGTCAAGTGATGGACGGTTATCGTAAAAAAGGCCTTGCACACAACACAATCTAACCAAAAAGAAACTGAATCATTGGAAATGTTAGCTTTATTGACATTGCTCATTTGCAAACGGGAGCATAATAGCTCACAATCCTTGTGTGCATGAAATTGGATTACAGTTTAAAGTTTGGATATGCCTTCAGTCCTGTAATTCTCTCTTTTAAAATGTAATTTAAGAAGTGAATTAAAATTATATTGGAGAATGGACACTTTGTATATATGTTTCTCTCTTTGAAAATAATGTGGTGTATGGTACCACAGATATGGAACTGTAATTACAATGTAATCCTGCTATCCATAAAAAAAGCCTTTTGTTTTCATGATCACTTATCTTGAATATCATGGACAACTGCACTATTATGAAACATTTCTTAAAACGAATAACAGGAAGACTTTGCTGTTTTTGTTTTATTTACAACTCTCAATCTGTGCCTGCTGCTAAATGTGTCTCAGTACCAGAGCATAGTAATTTGCCACAAATGGTAGCTGTGATTGGGACTCAAACTCAGGTTTATGGGTGCATATGGTGCAGTGTGCTAACAACTTCCACTTATCAATCATTCATGGGAATGTGTGGTTTTAATGGTATTTTACAAGATGAATTTATCATACAACTCTTTTTATAGCATTGCCAACTGTTTACCCACGTACGTATATGCTTTGCTTTAAAGCTGACCTGGTATTTATTGTAGAAGGATTTTCAAAGTGGACTGCATTTGTGCCTCTGTGACCATCCTCTGTGTTTACACTTCACCCAGTAATTTGACATTTTAATAATCTATATCCCTTGGCTTCACTGCGCTTACCTAAAGACAATGCACTGTGATTAATTTCCTCTTTAATTAATGCCTTTTATTAATTCCGGAATCTTTTGATTACATCATCACATTATTGGCTGATTATTGCAACTTATGCAATATAATAAATTACATTTGGGAAAAAAATTCCTATGATTTCCACAGACTTTTATGGCGTATAAAATCTCAGTCAAGTAAGAAGAAAAATCCCCACAACTCCTGCTATCCAAACGACATTTGGATAAAACTGCACCCTTTAAATAACCTAGGTTAACTCTGAGGTCATGAGCACTGAGCTGATGCCGTTGAGATGCATGGTTTGAATACAGGCAGTTGCCCATAATTAAACCATCAATGACTTAACAAAAGCACGTTTTGAATTTGGTTGCTGAAATTACATCTCTGGGGGTGAAACAAATGATATTGGTTTGTGTTTATTGTGAGTGTCATAGCAGAGCTTATAGGAAATGATGCCTGCCACTGTGTTATTGATAAGAGGGCACTTGAAGAATTTTTCAGGAGAAATCCTTTTGAGAATGCCTTTCCACAAGCCTTTCTGACACTGGAGCACTACTGTGAGATTTCTCAATGGATTCTTCTGACTTGATGCCAACAGTATCTTTGGAAAACATCTGGGGAAAAATATGGAAATGTTCACAGAAAAGTTTCATAGATCTAGTTTCTTTAAACATCCTCCACTGTTGAGACCATCTTGTCTGCATCCATTTGCAGTCTTCCTGTTTTCTGGGAATTCACAAATGAGGGTGTGGTTTTTAGTGTTCATTCAATGACCAGCATGAATGAGACAAATATTGGCGAATCGTACAGCTAGATAACTTCATCTTGTCCAGCAACATAGAACATATAAAGACCCAGATTATTTTCGTACCATCTGTTCTATGGCTCCTCCTTTGTGTTCTTCCTGTCTCCGAATTTACAAATACATTGAAGAGCTAGCTGATCTACAGCTAGCCTTTAAGCTGTGGATCGGTTGTACTTACAAATAGAAGGAATTATAGAGAATCCCTCAAACGGCATTGAACCGTAGTAACCATCCATATTGCAAAATGTACCAAGTATTTCGTCTATATCATGAGTGGCTTGTGAATGTTTAAAGGTGTCAGTTTTGTTGCCAGATAGAAGGGTAAAGAACCAATTATCAATGTTTAGAGCCTCGCTTTGTGTTAGTGAAATTTTTCTCATTACTTGAATTTCCTCCATGAACGATTTAATGTAATTTGTAACTTTTTTTCAGAGCAACACATTGTTATTTAGAAATCCTTAAGTTATTACTGTTTAACACACTATACTTATGGCAAAGTGAGTGCATTTTATAGTAATTATTTAGAGTAATGATATTCTCTATGCAGAAGTACACCGTAAGAGTAGAATGCTGGTGATCTTTTAAAAAACCTGGTTTCTGTAAAGAGTGTCCTATTTAAGATTCCACGTGTGCAGTTTGTTTATTGAAGTTTGAACGCACAATGCGTCCGTGCACCTCTCCGTTTTGCAGCCTGCACACCCAAGAGCATTCACACCGCCGAGATCCAGCTTGGGGACTTCCTGGTTTTTCTGCGGAGAGTCGTGTGCTCCAAGGCTATTCAGTCCAAGATGGCCTCGCCAAAATGGACAGAAGTGCTCCTGAACATCGCCGCTCAGAGGCGGCCCTCAGGTCAGCACGCAAAGGGACACCTTGTGACGTGCCGACATTGCCTTCACATGTGAACCGAGTTTTTATTTAATATAAAGCATTCTCACACACACTATTCGATGTGTGTCTTTTGACTACAATAATCGACTCTTGACTGAATCTATATGTAGTTACAGGTATGTATCTTTTACTGTAATGGTCGATTCTAACTGAATCCATATGTAGTTGCAGACTTATTTTTTATTAAGCATTATTTTGAATACAGTACACCGTACGAGTATAATACTGTTGATCCTTTAAATACCTGGTTTATGTAAAAAGTGAAAGAAATGATACTTGCACAAGACCACTAACTGAGAGTAAGAACTACCATGCTATGCATAGGAATGTTGGCATCAACTGCTGTTGGCCTCATAATATTTACGTGGATGTGCACGCTGATAAGTGATAGCTGTGAAAAGCACGTTGTATACATGACCTGAAGATAATTGCAATGGAATTTTCCTGCAATATTGTGCCCACATGAGAGTGGGCATGTTGATGATATCATGCCACCTTTTTTATAGCCCAACACTGGTGGAGATTATAACAATTCTGGAAACTGCCTGATGATGCTGGTTGTAACTACCAGCAAAATGTCATTTCGAATTGAGTGCTCTCTTACATACTGGTGTTTTGAAGTAACAATACTTTGTCATGTTTATTCACTTGACAGTTTTATTTATGTGTCTGTGTTGGGTCGAAGAGTGTGTGCGAAACACATTGGCATTTTATTTGTGCGTGATCTGACCCACAAATCAACGACGAATGATTACACTGAGTTTTGTGTTCATTATAGTTTTTCTCTGCTGGGAAGACCGATGGGTAAATGTGAATGAGAATGCATTATACGGTGATGAGGGAAGGTTATTGCAGGGGAACAAAACTCAGCTGGCTGTGTTTGCTGTAGAATCCATTTGAGTTTAATATTGCAGCACATATGCCATCAAGTATTATTGATTTTGAACATGGAAACAAAGTAAGCACACCTTATGAGGTATCTAATTCTTTTATCACACAAGTAAATATTTTGAGGGCATAAGTTGAACAAACCCTGTGTTCAACGATTCTGCCAGGTTGTGTATTGCCTGTTTTTTTTTATTTTCCCAGCATGGGGATACCTGCAGTCATGTCATGCGTAATGTGACACGGATGTCACCAGAGACCACAGAGATTTAGCAATGGAGCTTGGAAATGTCACCGGAGTTACAATGAATTGTTTTCATGGTTAATCATCTGTGAATCCTTTGGGGTCCACTGGTAACAGGAATAATTGTGTATCCAATAGTTTTTTTGGGTGACAAAATTAATCAGAGGAACTCTTATCGTATTTTAATTATTTTGTTAGGACTACGCCACTGGGTGGTGAGCACATTTGCAGAAGCACGAATTACACACAGTTTTTGCGTTCCTTGTTTCTGAATATTGGGGGTGCTTTCTGCAGGGGTGCCCTTGGTGGGGAATCTCCGCACCAGGCTGCTGGCGCTGCACATGTTGGAGGCCGTCCTTCCCGCCTGCGAATCGGTCATCAACTCGGAACTAATGCAGCAGGTGTGGCAACAGAATGGAAATTATGCTTCTCTCTCCACCTATATTTTGTTGTAAATGTCCTACGAGCTATAAACTGCCTAATATTGGGTTGTGCAACATGTTATTTTCACAAGCTCAATTTTTAATTGAGAGCTGTAATTTACACACACCCACACATCACAGATATTTAATTTAACTAAAAATGTCAGCCAAACGAAGCGTGACATTTGAGTCATTTGTTGCTTGGCTTTTTAAACGTTTCAAAGCGTTCCATTTTAAGATACAACTTTGGTAAACTGAGTTTCGACTTGTCAATCTTATTCCTGTTCACACATTAATCATAATAAAGCACCTTTGAAATTGATCATCTGAAAGCACTGTACATCAGAGGTAAATATATATTCATATATTCATGTATATAAAATACTGGCACCACTATAAAACCAATCACAATACAATATGTTGCCCTTTTCGAAGTTCTTAATTAGTAATGAACAAATAGGAATCGACATGACTCGTTCGAGTTAAACACGTGACTGATCGCAAAGGTTGCCTTTGGGTTTCTTGTTTGTAGTACATTATCATGCATTTGATGTTCAGTAGCTTTTTGTGTGCCTGGTGAAGCTATGAGCGCCAGTTCTTAATAAATGAGTATTAATGTTGCACGAGTTCTGGAATGGAAGCAGAACCATAGTACCTGAGGAAAATCCATGCGTATGAGGTGAGGTGATGTCATTTAAAGATCCACACACATGGGTTCATTAACTAGTTTTTTTATACCGTCATCTCTTGCCACCTTCTACTTAGTGGGTTTCGACATTTCATAATCGGCATGTTCCACCAACTCTTGCCTTCAAGGCACTTGATTGCAGATGCTGCAATGCCAAACCTCTCGCAGTGATTAATGTTGTGATTGTAATATGGTGTGATTTCATTTTTCGTGTAGTATTACATTGATGCCAAAATAGAAAATAATTAAGTGAAGAAGAGTTTTAATTATCCTTGATTGGTAATTTATTGAAAACTTGAATCCAGAGACTTACCTGGTATCCTGCCAAGGCAGGAACACTTGGTTGTACATTCACCATGGTAAACCTTTGAGAGTTGACTTCAAGCCTGTTGAACTGAGCATCATATTCGTATTGCATTACACAATTTAAAGAACAAAAAACATGTCTTAGTGCTAGAACAGTGCTTATATGCCGATCCACATTGAAACATAATCAATAAGCAGATAATTAGTCTTTGTCACGTATCTCTGTCTACACAGAAAAAAAAATACTCTTTACACAGTTGTAGCACTGTGGCCTTCTGGGACTTCAACAGAATTTATTTGGTACAAACAAACTCTTCACTGGTTTCGACAGTGTCTCAGTGCTGGTGAACTGTCAGATGTTATAGGCAAGGAAACATGTTGTCTTGCGAAGTGCTTTTGTCTGGTGTGTTTTTTTATCAATTATTTATTTCTGAGGATGCTTTTTTGCCAATTGTGTGACGGACTGGCTTTGCTTTGGTATGCATGGGACAGGTTGTGGAGCGGTTGTTCTCGCTGCTGGCAGACTGTATGTGGGAGCTGCCACTGGCGCTGTCAAAACATCCAGCTGCCAGCAAGGACAGAGAGTCTGAGCTAAAACTGCTGGTAAAGAAAATGTAAAGAAAATGTTTTGCTTTCAAGAACACCAGCTTTCGATGCTGTTGTTCCATCATGATTCTCTGGATTGGTTCATACCTAGACCCAACTATATTTGTAAATTAATTCTAGATTTGAAGCTTTCGTGACTGCAAGGATTCATACTCTTAGTTCTTTCGGTAAAGTCACGTAGGTAAAAAATGAAATTAAAATTAATAAAAATAAAACAATAAAAATCACGACTTTTGTAAATTAATTGCTGCATGAGGGCCTCCCCATACCTTGTGGGTCGTGGTGGTAATTTGACCAAACTTTACCACACTAGTCATTCCTAGTTGATGAAAGGTGAAGAATGTACACTTGGGAGCATAGTTTAGTACAACAATGGATTTTGCTATTCTCCCGCTACTTTCCACCATTTCGCCCCACAGCCGATGGCCACTTGCTGTGCATGGAATTATATGTAATCTGTGAAATACACATTTAATATGAATACAAGGCTGACAGTCAAGATCAATTGTAAATAGTTTTGTGCAACATAAGTAAAATACTATTCTTTGCTTATCTGCTGTGAAAGAGATTAGCTTACTCCATGTGTATATATATTTTGTAAGAAGACGGTGGAAATGTTAATGGTGGTCAGCTTTCATATTTACTGCAAGCTTATGCCCCTTATGTTTTGTACGAGTTTATACATTTCGTACCTATCATGTAACATTTATATAGTTTAAGAAAATGAATACGAGTGTGTGTCTACATCCCTTGTATGTTTTGTTTGTATGGACACAAATTAAAAGTTGTTGTTTTTTACCCAGGAATTTAATTTTTTTTTAACAATGCCCTTGTCACTCTTAAAATTACCAGCTATGAGCATATTAGGCAATTTTATCGAAATAAAAGAAAGCATTGTGTGATTTAAGAAGTCTAAACTTCATTTTATAAAATGCACATTTTCTTATTTATATTATTACTTAATTGCCAATATTTTGGTGTTTGTAGAGCATTTATTTTTGCAGCAGAAAGCATGAATATTATGTTTTTTTATATTTACTGTAATTTTGTTTATGCCATATTTTTAAGACTGAATATATTCTTTTGTTACCATTTAATGCATCTGCTGAACCTGATTACTTTCTTGGTAAAATAACTTTTTGGCCAATTTTCAGTGGAGAAAATGGACACGTTTCGCAAAAAAAAAATAGTTTGTTATATTATTGATGGGAAATGCCTTTCTGAAAACAAGAAGTAAACCTAATATGTGTCTATATTTTTAAATGTACCCCCCCCCCCTTCCCTTTTATGTTCAGCACAAACCCCGAGAGGTAAGCGGGGAGGATGAAAACTTGCCCATTCAAGAGGTCACTTTTGACCCCGAGAAGACCATGTGCTGCACGGTGGAAAATGGCACCGTGCTGGCTCACGGTAGCGGGGGCAAGGGTTACGGCCTCGCGTCCGCTGGAATTTCCTCTGGCTGCTACCAATGGAAGGTATTTAACAGCAGGTTTGCACATGCGGGGGGCTACAACAGCAGCTTAAGAACATAATTGTAAAGAATATTTCTCCTTTGCTGGAAGAAGTGTGGTGATTTGGTTGATGATGGACAAATCATGTGCATGTGATGGTAAACTACCTGAGCTGAGAAGGGGTGTGGAGGTAATAAAAAACGGGAGTGTCTTGATGGGCTTATAGTTTGCAAAAAGGCAATAATTGCCTCATCACACATTTAGAAATGATTATGTGTGTTAAGTTTACGTTTCGGTTGTCAAGACTTAGCAATAAATGATTGCATTTGAATGTTTTTGACATGTGAAATGTAAATTTTCTCATTGCAATCAAATATTACATTTATAAATACAAATAAAGAATAAACCAATGATCCACTTATTGTTTTAATTCTGCCCGGACTGACCACACACTGTTTTGTGCAGTTTCTTATTGTAAAGGAGAACCGTGGAAATGAGGGGACGTGCGTCGGGGTCTCCCGCTGGCCTGTTCGTGATTTTAACCACCGCACTACTTCAGACATGTGGCTGTACCGTGCGTACAGCGGCAACCTCTACCACAGCGGGGAACATACACTCACCCTGCCCAGCTTCACACAGGGCGACCTCATCACGTGTGTAATGGACACAGAGGCTCGCACCATCTCCTTCGGCAAGAATGGAGAGGTTTGAGTGCCACATTTCATATTTGGCTGTGTAAAATGACCGAGTTTAATCACATCACTGGAATCGCATTGCATAAATGACTGCACTACTATTTCCCATGGACACGTACACACAAATACATAAACACTGTCATACACACAATCAGCAGAACAACACTTAAACTATGTAAATATATAAAGACTCAGACATTAATGAAGTCAGAGCAAGTTGCCTGCGCCTTCTGTGCTCCCCTGCCTCATGTATCCTGCACTGAAAATAAGGTTTGACTGTCATGCCCAATGGGATGTTTATATTTTTCTTCTCGGTTCATATTAATTTTTTATGAAATACTGTACACTTAACACATTTATATCTTGATTTCCAGGAGCCCAAGCTTGCATTTGAGGATGTGGATGTGACTGAACTCTACCCATGCATCATGTTTTACAGCAGTAACCCTGGTGAAAAGGTATCTAGAATCACTCTATTTTTTCTTTTTTGACAGCACTACTGACAAGGGAAATAATGAGCTGCTCTGGGAGTATAGATGTCATAATGTGGGTGTCTGCATTCACGGTTCATTTTCCTGACACTTATTTTACCAGAATAAACATGTGCACTCCGTTAATAAAATATAAAGCATATAATTTTTTGTGACACGTGACTTCAAATTATTGCAAGACAGTTACATTTTGCACGATGTTAATGTGATGCCTTGGCACATTTTGGCAGTTGTCTCTAAAATTACCTTTAGACATAACATTTTAGCGTTCTTTGTTAAATTATAAAATATCCCTACCCAAAGGCTTCAAAAATAAATGTAATTTTAATGTGAATATTTCGATGCTGGGATTTAATTGCCTGAGAGTAAAGTAGTATGTGTAGTGGTGTGCAGTACTGCAGCTCAAGCAGAGTTTTTGGTGTTCTACAAGTATGCTAAGGGGGATTGAAAGCATCCGTGTATGGCTCTGAAGTGAAAGGGTAGCTTAGAGGATGGAGTGCTGAGCCAGCACTGCTGAGATTTTGTAGCCGAATGAGTTTTAGTCACCCACGATTTAAAGCGAATTCTCAACTGGAGTGAGTTGATGGTATCGGCTCAATCTCCACCAATAAAAAATCATCGTTAAATTTGATTTAGCACTTTATTTGGCTAAATTCGAGCTCCTGAGGAAAACAAAAATGTCACCAACTATCACGCGACAATCTCATTTCAGAGTGCATTGGAAAATGCGACCGACTGAAAATGTTATTTTTTTTTTTAAAGGTCATTTGAAGGATTTTTTTTATAGAATCGTTTCTGCGGCTCATTCTGACACACAGGGTGCACACCTCTGAGATCTACAAATTGATTGTTTGTGTCTTGTTATAATGCCCATAGCCCAATTCAAGTTGGGAAAATAACGTAAACACTTGACTGCTGTATCAAATGTAAATTTTACGGTATGTGTCAGGGATGGTTAATTTAATGTATCCGTTTTGTTTGCATTAAGAAATAATATCTAATTTAACTTTATTACACATGTAAAATCCCCATGTGGCTAGTATACTACATAACTGGGATATTTCATTGTTGCACCTCTGTACGTAACATTTTCCAAGGTCTATTTTGAACCAAGAGAAGATTAGTCATTACAGTATACTGTTTAATTTGGGCAAATTGTAATTCCCGTGAAACTGACAATAACTGAGAATGTTGGCATTCATTAGGAAGGTTAGCAGAAATGTAAGTATTCAAATAAAGATACTTTGAATATAGCTAGCTCTGCTTGGGAGGCTGTGTTATCAGTGCTTATTAGTTGCACTGTTCTCAATATACAATTTAACAGACTGCTGCCATGCCAATACCTAAGTGCGCACAATTGTATTTAAAAGCATTCATGGAAATGCTGTTTTTGTAGTGTGGATTTATATAATAGCAATGTATGACGTCGCCATTCGAAGACATGTAACTTTCCATTTTAGTCTTGTATTTTTGGTCAACTAATGGTTTTTAAATCCGCTTGTGTTGACATTTTGTGGAAAATGGGAGTGCTTTTTTTCATCCAATGGGGCAAGCTCTAGGGATATATGAATGGTAGTTCAATTACATGGCTAATAGTTTTAATGATTTTCTTTTCAAAACCTTTGCACTACTAGGCAATGACATAATGAGTGTTGTCGTCATACAATGCATCATAAGGTTGCTGATAAAAAATTTGCAAGTCATTATCTTGGTAAAAAATGTTGATGTCTCTTAATGAAGGCAGGAAAACAGAACAACACACCATGTTTCCCTTATAATTTCCAAATACAGTACCAACTCATGCTTATTGCTGCAATGTTCACATTAAACAGTATACTGCAATCACTAATTTTCTCTTGGTTCATAAAACACCTTGGGTGATAAAAAGTACATAGGTGCAGCAATTACATATATCCCAGAGTTACATAGCAGACGAGCCACATGGGGATTTTACACGTGTGCTTAAATGAAATTGCATAGGTTTCATTAAAAAACGTATGGTGTAATATGTAGTTTTGTTAACACATCCTTGTCCTTGATTAGTTTGTGCTGTAAAACAATCTATGATGCCCATAATCTCTTAATATGCCTATGATGCCCATCTCCTGAAATCCAACCCCCAGTCAATTTCGTGGGAGGTGGGCAGCAATAATAATAGCAGTCTCCTAAAAGTGGTGGTTGTTTGGGGTCTGCTCTTGGTTTGTAAGACCGTAATGTCGTACAGTTACCAAAGGCAAATGAACCTCTCCATTAGATCAATGATACCCACAAACACTGCTCTCTCTTCTACCAGCCATACATGTCATTAGTCATAAATCCGCATCACTTGGACCTTGATCTATTATCCATTGCCGAGGATATAGTTTGGCAGTTCCTAGATCTGTTGGGAATTTACATGTAGGAATAGTTATTAAAATTGTGGCGTGGTGGTATAAATAATTCCGTCTCGCATATGTTTCACTATTGTTTGAATTGCTCTGTTAATTTCAAAAGGGTGTAAGTCAGAACAGTGATGGTGTTGTGGTTGCACAATAAAACTGGTAACCGGAATGGGATTTCACGCCATGGCTAACACTGGTAGTGAATGATATCTGAACCGATGAAGCCCTTTCAGTTCTTCACCAGCCTGAAATGACTAGTGGGGTGAAGTATGGTTAAACATGGAATATCTTATCTCCACCAGGGCAACACTTTTCTATGCCCTGCAGAGAGATTGTTGCATGGCAATCAAAGGCAAAAACACAATAATTCTCAAACATAGAATGAACCACATGTAAGTGAAAAAGCAAGTTTAATGATGGTCATTGGTGACCGGGCTGAGACCCATCAACTCGCTGCATTTTTAAAATCTGGTTTAATTGCAGATATATCCAAAATTAAATCCAGAATCACAGCAGGTACCACCTTCAGTGCTCTTACATGACATTGATCCCCGGAGCCACCAGTCCCGCTCGTTTTTTGTGACTTTTTAAAAGTTCAGCCTTTAATATCCAACATGCAGTGGTCTTCTTGCCACCTCAGTGGCAATCTGTTGCCACATTTTATTGTGTGCATCATGGTGTGGTGGTGGGGCTGCTTTTTATGAAACCCACGATATGACAGAGCACAGTGGTTGATGTGTGTGGCCCATTAAAATTTTACAGTTTCACCGTCTTGGGTGATGTCCGAGTGTGCTTGTCTGGAAAGTGCAACCAGAGGACATGGTCAGTGTTGTGCATTCTAATCTAGAGTGGGATCCACTTTTGCTGCGGCTTTTGTTTGCCACATTGTTGTAAAGTCCTGCATATCATATATTGGTCTGTACATGCTTGAAATTTTTAAATAGAAAAAATAAATAACAAGATATATTTTTTCGTGCAGTTTTATTATTTCATTTTATTCTTTGGCATGACAATTCTCACAATCGAATACAACGTTTTCAGATTTTCTATGGTTGAAGAGAATAACACTTTTACTTCAGGGCTTGTGCTAGACATGCCAACACAATAGCATCTGATTGCTCAGCAAAATATGGTGTATCCCACATTTGTTGCTCAATGAAACGAATTTATTTTCATTTTACACAATGTAACTTGCCTATTTTACCCAGTTAGGCATGCATCTTTAAGCTGTATTATCACCTAAAATAGTGTAATGTGTGCTGTGACACAAGCCACTCATTGTAAAATTGCTCCTCACAATGTCACCAGAATAAATTTGGTGCATTTTTAACTCATAAACGTGTGATTTAGACCTGATAGTAAATGCAACATTTTTACTGGTGCCAGTTTTGGATCACTGGCTGTTGTGCTCATGAATAAAGCATTCTGTTTTTTTTCCCATTACTAACATAATCGTTTACATGTAGGTGTAAAGTCGCTTTAAATTAGGTGACGGCTAAGTGACTTTCATGCAATACAAGACTTCCATTCCTTCGTGCTGCTGTTAATATCATCCAAGTGTGAACCAGGTTTTGTAACAATTCCCAGGCAATATCTGTTCAGAGTTCTAATAGGTGTCACATGTCACCCATCACTTACTTCATTGAGCACATGGGAATTGGGAAAATTGAAGTGGCTGCAAGCACATGGTTGTACCTGCACCTGATTGAATGTTGTCTGCAAGCGGGGACATGTTTAATTAAAATTGCACACTAACTTGCATAATTGTTTGAAACAGTTTTTTTTAATCTTCAATGTCACGAGTAAAGATTTCCTGCATTTCATGTAAGCATTGTGGGTTGCTTTATACGACACGTTCCTAAATATTTGAATCATGAGGGGTATAATTTATCACCAATCATGTGTAATAATTGATTTTTTTTTGTAAACCTTGCTGGTAATTGGTTGATGTGAGCCCTGAACCCACTTGAGCAGTGATGGGCAACCTAGACTAGTTAGTGGGCTAAAATAATCAACTCTTGAATCAAATTATAATTACAAACGGTGACGGTGTGTGTAATTTGTGAAAAGGTGGGCAACGTCTTGCATTCCTGATAAATAATTCTAAGAGTTGTCATTGGCGATATAAAAAAAAATCTGAGATGGAAGCATGGATGGCACAGAGAAAATGTAATCTAAACAGAAGAGAAAATAAATGTTTTTAGTCCCGTCTGGCTCGGCAGACTTCAGTTTGCAGAAGCTGCAGATGAAAACTCCATTCTGCCGTCCTAAGTTGAGTGCATTTCACACACACAGCACTACCTAATTTTGCTTTTGTCTCGCAGGTCAAGATTTGTGAGATGCAAATGCGTGGGACCCCGCGAGATCTGCTGCCCGGTGACCCCACCTGTAGCCCAGGCCCTGTGGTTCTGTCCGAAGCCACGGTACAGCTGGTTCGAGTGCTGCACCGTACAGACCGCTGGACCCACTCCATCAATCGGCATCTTACAGAGCGCTTGCAGCGTGTGCGGCCCTGCCTTGCAGCTACCACCTCCAGGTTTGTGTTGCTGCCGCCTGCAACGCTAGTTCTGTTGAAATCTCAGAGGAAATGGTCTTAAAAAATTTTGAAACGAAAATATTTTCAATTATTTTATAACGGTGCTGAATTATACATTGTTTGTGGTTGAAATGTTAGGCATGTTCTGAGATTCATTTGATAATGCGTGTCTAGGATCTTCCAATTCTGTATGGGCGTTAGAGGGTAATAAGTCCAAGAGTAGAATAGTCGGTATCTCGGTTTTAGCATATTATTAAACGATCACCCATATTGCCAGCTCCATAGGTGGCTCTGTTATGAAAGGATTCACTGGTTTGGCAAAATAATTCACGTTGATGGTAGAAATGCAATACCGTTTTGATCCATCAAATGTTTATATAAAATAGTATTTCAAACTGTGTATTGTAAGGGAGGGAGGTATCCAGATGGCAAATGCATATTTAATGTGTAACAGGGAGTAGGGGAGTTGTATATTTTTTTTATATATAGGCTTGAGGTATCATAGGGACTTTATAAATTTATGTTGTATTTACAAAGAAGAAAATAAATATACACAGATGTACAGTAGAAGGTAAATGTTGGTGTGCAAGGGAATAATTGGGAAAGAGAAGTTCATATATTGAAGCCAAACGGAGGAAGTCAGCAGTGCATGCTCGCAGAGAAAAAGGGTTCAAGCATGGGTGGCATTTGATGAAAAAGCAGCCAAGCATGAACGAGGAGTTTATTGGATTTTATTTATTTATAAAGGAAAGACATGCTCGCGTTGTTCTAGCAAACCTAGATTTCGTTCATTTTCTAAATGACATCCTACAATGAAAAAATCCAGTTCCAATGTTACATATTTTATTATCTTTTTTTTTAACTGAAACCTAATCCCTGCAGGGTTTGCAAATCTCGATCGGGCCGCACCCTCCCAAGGTCTGACTCGCAGTGCCGAGAAGATGTTGAGGAAGGTGCCGAACTGGAACAGGACGTGCTGGGGAAGGAGACCGAGTCGTCTGATGAACAGCAGCAGCAGCAACAGCAGCAGCAGCATCCCAACCGCCAATGCCGCTCCAGCCCCGGAGAGCTCTCGGATGAGCAGCTTCGCACGCTGTGTGTGGAGGTGTGGCCCGTGCTCGCTGTGATGGGTGGTGTGGACTGCGGCCTGCGCCTCGGTGGCCGCTGCGTGCACAAGCTGACGGGACGTCACGCCACGCTGCTGGGTGTTCTCAAAGAAGGCAGTGCCTCTGCCAAGGTTCAGTGGGAGGATGCGGAGGTCACAATCAGGTACTCGTTATGTTTAAGTCCTTTGGTGGATTTTTTTTTTGTAGATGACTTTTTTTTGTTCTAAAAGAGTATTTTATTTTATGTATCCTCTTTGATTTTTTAATGTTTGTGCTTAATGGAAGTGGAACATTGGTATCATTTGAAATTTTTTTTCATAAATGGTTTGTTACGTAATGCATACAGACTCTGCCATCACCCTAATCTAAATATTTGTGTTTCCCTTTTGTTAAATTTTAAGTGCTACTTGGGCGTTGCCTTGAAATATTAAAACACTATTGCTAATGCAATTTAAAATGAGAAGCTCTTATCTAATGACAGTGCTTTCCTAGACAGCATGTTAAACATGTTTTCCATTGTTTCAAATGCCAAGCAACCAAGCATTTTGGGTTTGGATCATTTAAATATGATTTAGGCAAAGTTCAACCTTTGTGCTGTGATAGCTCTTCTGACAAGACATTCCAATCATTCAGTTTAAGCGTTTAATGTGTAATGTTAGCAATGCCAGTCTTTGAGTATTATGAGTTCATGACACACTTTTATTCATTACGTGCATTGGTGTGCAATGAGCTGCGTAGTTACATAATTCATACTCTGTAGTACGTGGCATTTCCTATTGTGTCCACTTATGTTTCTCCCCACTGTAACTGCTCTGTTATTTCGCAGCTTGTAAGCTGTTTGATGATTTTCTTTTTAGCTTTAAAAATGACCGAAATTGCATTTCCATTCTTCCTCTCCGCCATAATGCATGCATAACGTTTTTATTGCATTAATGCGCATTCAGTGTTACTACATTATGCTGAACTGATCTTTACAATCAAATCAAGCGTCCCATTGTTGTTGCAGTCTTCTTGTCTTCCTTGATTTATTAATGCAAACAAATTTGCTTTGTGCATTGTTTCATCTTGCTTTTGTGCCGCTTTGTCTATCACAGTGTAGTTTCTGTTCTTCCTTTTTCTTTCCCTGTCTGTCCCGTCTTCACCCTTGGTATCAATGTGCTGACACGCACGTGGCTAAAGTGTGCTGAATTCTTGGTCACCCAGCGACACTCCTCTGGCCAATCTGGAGCCCTGCGAGCCGGTTCCTTTTGATGCCGGCCGCTTGCACGGTGTGTCTGCGTCCACGCTACTGGACCTCACGCACCTCACGGGAATCCAAGAGGACTTGGGTCTTTCTGGCGGGAAAAGTGTAAAGGGCCCTTCAGGCGGTGGAAGAAGGTCCGATCGGAGGCCACCTCCCCGTAAGCAGGAATCCCAGGAGAAGGCTGAGCTCGATCAAACATTGGACGAGGAGCCAACGCAAACCTTGGTTGAAGATGGGGGAGAGAGTGCAGAAGTGAAAGCTGCAGACCTGCAAACTGATGGACAGCAGTTGGCCACCTCGGAAGCCACCAACGTACCAATGGTCAAATCTCCAGAAGCTGCTGCCATTAGTACATTTGAAGTACATAAAAAGAAATGTCACGATTCATGCAAGAGTCATGAAGCTGAGATTCGTGCCGTGCAGATTTCTTTTCTGTGCCTGGGTGCAATGAAAGCATTGAGTGTCCTGCTAAGCTGTGGTCGGTACGCAGAGCTGCTGCTTGTTCCCAAGGCATGCCCAGATGGAGGGAACCACAATGCAGACCGTGGTGGTATGAGCCCCTCGGGAGGCCAGTCTGGGCACGAAGAGACTGAGCTGAGGGCTTCCCTGCAGGCGTTGATGCGCAGTGTGGTGCGTCGTGCCGTGTCGCGATCCCCAATCAAGTGGGCCATCTCACTGGGTGAGATGGAGCGTGCTCAGTCTGTAATCCACAAGCTGGCAGTCCGAGGATTGTTGGAGGAGCGCTTGGGTTTCCGCAACAGACAAGGTGAAGTATTTATATATTAAAGAGCTTTATAATTTATGAATGTGTGTGTGTATATTATCTGGATCAGAAACTTCATCATTAATTAGCTCTGTTCAACCCACTGCTGGATGAAGGTCTCCCCAGGTAAACCGCCATCCTTCATTGTACCACAATGTAACAATCCACATGGTACCTGTACACAAGCCCATCTTGTCGCTTAAGCTCTGCAGTGTATTTCCTATTGGGTGCTTTCCCTAATTTTGGCTGCCATTCAGAAGGTATTCTTGCCCATTGGCCATTCCTTGTATTGATGTGTCCTGCCCAAGTCCACTTACTATTCATATTGGCTTATAAATATGCACATTGACGAGACAGAAGTGTGAACACATGGATCGGCCAATATAGACAAGTGAGTGACATTGTTAAGAAAAGTGAGTGAGGTCAAAGCTAACCCCACAGAGTGACAGTCAAAGGAGAGGACATGCCCAGGTGTGTCCACTTTGGAGATTTGAGCTATTAAATATTCTCATGTGCAGGAGCTATAGGTGTATCGTTGCATCTGAAAATGATGTGGAACCAGCTTGGGGAGGCTTTCATCCAGCAATAAACAGTATAATGCTGAAGATTATGATATCTGATATTGGCAGTCGAGACCAGAATGGTCCCCTTTCTACTCTCTTTAGGAGTTTTTAGTCCTGAAATGCATTCAACCCGAAACAATCGTACGCTCTCAGTAATTGTAGGAAATGCAATATTCAGCTTCGAGCGATGTTACATATATCAAAACATGGAATTTTTAAACATGTTTATACATTATTTATAAGCATATTTGCTCGTGTTCGTGCAGGATTGTTACTACTAAAGACATAATATATTGACAGCAGCAGAGGCAAGAACACTTCACCAATAGGCTACCCTTCAAACCATCTTTATTTTTTTATTGTGATGGCTTCCTTAACCCTATGCCTTTTGTATTAACCATGCTTGCTTTTCTTTGTATAGAGTTTAATGCAGAAGATGGTGGTTCGGCTCCCATGACTGGACAGACGCCAGTCACCACCAGCCCATCCAGCTCCAGCACCACATCCCTCATGAGCAGCTCTCTGGAGGACACCACGACCGCCACCACGCCCGTCACGGACACCGAAGCTGCTCTCATTCCTGAATTGCCAGGACCAAACATGATGCAGCATGCTAGGTGAGCACGTCAACGATGAAGAAAAGTTCTGCACACATGTGGATTCTGTCACGGTTTCCAATGATGTATTTTGTCCTGAAGTTGTATTAAACTACTGATAATAATGGTAGTGCTCATGCCAGGCGTGCAGGTAGTGGTTTGTCCATTGGCTGTGATCAGACAAGGGGGTCTTGGATAATGGGTCCACGTGGGATGGTGCGCATCACTTCTGATGCTGTGGCGGGTCCTTTTAGTGCGAGTTTATCTTCCATTTTTGGAAAATTCCATAATGAATTTGGCCTATTTTGGTTTTCTCTTTTGTTGTTATGAGCAGCACATTTTTGTGATTCAAATGTTCATATTGGCTCAACTTCCTGAAATTATGTCTTCCCCCATGATGGACAGAGCAACCCCATAAATGCTTTTAACTGCATTTGAAAAACGTTAAAACATTTGATCAATATCAAATGCGGCGGCTGAATAATTTTCCCCGTTCAAATGTGTCGTGTATCAATAATGTGAGCAGTTCTGATGTCATTGCCCACCTTTAAATTTCACCAACTTCTGCTTTTAAACAGGAATGCCGCGTTCCAGAGCTACCAGCTGCCCCTTGGTCCTCCGCACCCTGCCCGGCGTGCACAGACGCCGCCACCTCTCTCGCCTGCAACGGCCAGCTCCCAACCAACGTCCCCGTCCGAGGAGACCTACCGCCGGCAGAGCCTTACGACCTCTGAGCCGCAGCACAACCGCCAGCCTACAAGGACAGGTGAGAGCTCCCCCACTCGCATAGGTTCTGAAATAAACATAATCATGGGCTTCACTGTCTTTTCTTCCAGTCTGACTTCACGTGCCGTTGGTATAAAAGTTTGCTTGGGAAATTGTAAGCACACAAATCTGATGGTTTTATGACCCAACTTTGCAATGGTTTGTGAATTACCGCTTAAATATAAACATGTTTATATTTATACTTGGCGTTTTCCATGGCTGGGAAAATGGTGTTATCTTTGTACTTGTTTTGCATAGCAGAGTTACATTTGTTTGTGTGTGTGTGTTTTTGTGTACCTCTTTGGCATGTATGTGCAGTGGTGTTTCTTGACAATTATAAGTACCTTCCTTAAAATTATATGGTAGGTTTTCATCTTAGTTGTAAAATAACTCCTGATCAACTGAAAGCTATTAAACACATTCTGAGATGTCAATAACACTTTTCTAAAAGAGAAAAAGGCAGTGTTTTAGGAAATGGTCCTTCATGTCTGAGAGATGAAGAATTACTATTTCCAGAAACATCAACTATTATACGCATTTTTGTTGTTTATTTTCCTTTTAAGGGCAGTGTTTTTGATACGTGAGATAAACTATAGGTCATTTAAAAGCCTCTATCTGTATGTCCTAATATAAAAAATAGTGTATTAGGTAAATCGTAAATAAGTAATATGCGTGAAATGTTATTGCTCATACTGGTACCATAAATTCTCAATTGGATAAACATTGTCATTTGGATGAGTGAATGCATCCAATATTGAATACTGTTCTTCTCTTATCAGCATCATCAGACCCCAGCAGCCGGCAGTCTTGCTCCCCTCCCCCACCACCAGTTGCCGTGCCACTTCTGGAGATGGGATTCCCACTGCGCCACATTCAGCGAGCCATGGAGGCCACAGGTAAGGGTATCATTTATATATCTTTTTTTTATTATTTGGCTGCTATAAATTTCCACATGATATGCCACTTCGTTGAGCTATCATTTGTGGCCAGATCGCTTCTGAAAAGTCAGATAAATAGCTCGGTGGCATCTACCTGGTAAAAGAAAAATAGTTTAGTTTTATTTGTATGTTTTTTGTGATTTTCTTCTCTTATACTTTGGACTCCTATCGTATTTTGGTATTCTTGTTGTAACGTTCTGCCCCACCCCTACATTACATCTATGAAAAGAGATTTTTAGCTAATCGTATTCCTCCAATATAAATACATATTCAGATTCTAATTATCCAAACCCAGAGTAATGGTTGTCTGATATAAATCTATGTGCTCAACCTGTTTGTGACCTCGGGGTTCTAAGTTTAGTGTTGTCTTCTCAGGCCACCATCTGATTTATCAGTCGCAAATCTGAAGCTTAAATTTCACTACATCTAGTTTGTATCATTACCTTGATTGCCAAAATGTATGCAAAAGTCTTGCTCGGGGTTATCTTTGGTATTATTTACAGCTGCGTAAAACTGACCATTCTCTATTCCCATTAATGAAATTATCTATTTTGATTTAAAGCTTTCGTGACTGCAGGGATTCATATTTTTGGTTCTTTCCTTCTACGTGACGTTACCGAAAGAACCAAGAATAGAAATTATCTATGTCCAATGCGTTATTGCATTTTCTGAAACCATGCACAAATAAAAGTTATGCTCGGTCATCGGTGATTTCTCCCAATGTGTTTTGTGGTAAACTTTATTCATTTGACTTAATTTCCTCATTCAGTTGTCTAATTACGACCACATCAGTAGTTTATGAATCTTGACTATTTAAATACAGAAAAAAATATGTTTCTGCCGTCTAGATGTTGGATTTTAACTTTAGTTAATTTAACCAGTAGTTATAGCCAACATTCCACCATATATATTCCTGATTTTAGCATCTTAAGATTGAATGTTGATGTCAATAAGTATTTCTTAGTGAACTAAAGTTATCCCGTGTTGCAAATATGCTGCAATAAAGCTCGGATTCAGGACGATGAAGTTCTGCAACCCGCAACTACGATTTTTTTGCAATACCAATTCCAGAGATGGTGTGAAGCCATGCCAGCTCTCGTATTGCTTGCCTGGCTGCATTCCTTTTAAAAATCAAAAAATGTTCTGCTTATCACAATTTGCATACTTCCAGAGTAATCTCTTTCCACAGTAATCTCTTTTCAGAGCAAGAGAATCTCAAAGTTTGAAAAATGACATGACATTATTAACTGTTCTATTTGCACGTAAAGTATTATGTATCTGCCGGCCCCCGCAAATGACAGGATCCGATGATGAGAAGATGATTAAAGGATGATATGCAAAAAATCGAGATTTCGTCTTTTGTTTTTGTATTTTTATGCACCAGTGAGGTTTTTTTTTTTATGCCCTTGTAAAAATGTCGGTGCAGGCACCCGAGGAGATGCAGACACACAGAATGTTACCCTGCTGGCCACGTGGATGCTTGAGCACCCATATATGGAGGACGAAGAGACCACCTCGGCTGCATCGCTGCCTAGTCCTGGCACGGCGGGGGCGTCTGGGGGTCCGGGCTTGTCTGGGGCGGCCTCAACTGCTGCCACAAACCCCAAAACGGCAGAGCGCAACACGACTCGAGGCATGTCCACCAGTGAGACGGCCGAGCTCGAGGAGGGCTTCAGTGAGAGGTCAGCGTGTGCCTTGTTGTGATGACCCGATTTTACGAGATTGTTTTAATACACCGTTCTTTTAGATGTCAACCGACGGCCAATGTGAATTGCTTTTTGCATTGGTCAACATATGACCATGCACTTGAGTGGTGAATTTGTATTGTACGTTTTTCTTGTTTTATAATGAAAATGTTTGTTATCAACTTGGACTATATTGTTTTGTTGGATGTGGAGAGTTGGTTTGTAGGATTTACACGAGGACTTTTCTTTGAGATTCATATTTTACTGATCTTCCTTTACCACGGTTTCTACTTGAAAGGGAATGAGCAGCAGCAAATAAAGAGTATAGTCTGCGTGTATAATTCTGATTAAACACAGATGACCGTGAAGAAATATTTACGGCTTTTGACCGCAATGCTTTGCGCTGCTGTGCAGTCCGTTCGACCAGGTGGAGAGAGGCAGCATGCTGGGTATTCCTCTGACACGGGTCAGGCCGCCTCCAGCACGCAGACACCGGCTCAACCTGGCTGCGCGCACTCTGCTCGCACGTGCGGGTATGGCTGGAGTCATTTTTTTTTTCTGCACTCATTGGCTGGATGTCCGAAAAAATGTAGGGTATGCAGATTGGACATGTATGTAAATTTTTTATTATAAGATGACAGCACGTTGGGACTAGATGTCTCTTTGGTCCAAGGTAAAACTAAAAAAAATGCCAATCCAATTTATAAAGCAAATAATCTCAAATGTGAACATGCACAAATATATAAAACTAGATAGATCCCCTTAGTTAAAAATTTTGAAAATTAAAGTGGGCATTCACCTGCAGCAATAGCCAATGTGGAGCATATAATTTCCCCACCTTTGACTGGTTGAAATTGTTACTGTTCCATACAAATGCCTTTGTCTTTCATTATGCAGGCTTTTGAAGTTTGAATTATTTTATAGTTGCAAGAGTTTTTTAAATAGTAATGTGTTAGTTTAAATCTCATATATTTACTTGCACGCATTTAAGCTGCCTTTATCTTTTGAAGAAAACAAATAATAGCTTTTATACACCATATTGAGAGATGTTTGGCCACGGGTTTTTTGCGCTGGTTACGAGCGAACTAATGTCTGCAGCAGGCATTTACCGCTCGGCGCGAGGTGAGACTGTGAGTGGCAGCGGCACCGGCGGTGGCAGCAGCGCAGCAAACAGCGGTGCACCTGCACGTGAGGGCGTGACGGCCCCGCAGCGAGGTGACCAAGGCTCGCTCTACGACATGAGCCTGGATGAGGAGCTGGACCTAAGCCTTGATGAGGAAGCAATGGAGGAGATGTTTGGTCAGGATCTGGCCAGTGAGAGCGAGCTGCTGGGGATGTGGTTCCCGGAGGTACTGGATTGGCCGACTTGGGTGTGTGCTTGCAGCGCTTGCTGCCTTTTTTGCTTCTCTTTAACACCACTCACATTTAATCTTGATTTGAAGCTTTCGTAACTGCAGGAATAAATACTCTTTGGTTCTTTCGGTAAAGTCACGTAGGTAGAAAAAGAATAGATCACGACGTTTCGATCGCAACACAAGCAATCGTCATCAGGTGGGACAACCGCAGCAAGGAAAAACCGCTGAAGTAGGCCACTCACGTTTGTTTGCAAATGTAATTATTTTTACTCCAGTTAAAATAGAATAGTTACTGAAGTTAATGTGCAGATACACCTTTGTTGTATTTTAATTAATTACATTTGCACAATGAATGAAAAATACAGATCTGCATTTGAAGATAAATAATACTCCCCAATTTTTTTTTCCCAAAAACAAAAGCAGCTCCAAAAGCTTTGTTCCAATATAAAGTGAAACTCCTCTTGTCTGTGGCAATATGGAGGGATCGGGCAATACACAAGTAAACTCATGAATTTAAAGTTGGCCATGAATAATTCAAGCTGCTGAAAAATGACTCAATATTAACTACCCTACATTTAGTTAATGGTACCTTTTAACGGTTGTATTTGTAACAACATTTATTGGACTTCAATCAACTGCCATTCTTCACTTAGTGCATCAGAGACCCTGACATCATGAAATCTCCACTGTTGAAATATTGGTGTAATTTCACACCAGAAAATGTGGACTTATTTTTGGCTGTAGAAAGCCATGATTTCTCTAGATATTATAATTTCGCCTAAATTCCAACATAGACAATATATAATGAGACATCCTCCCATAATTATTTTTTTAACATAACAGCTAAAGAATGGTGGCAATTGACCTGGTTTTTAAAATAAAAACTGGATATTGGTTCCTTTGTGTTTAATTACCCTCTTTACATAGCAATTGCTTCGTTTTAGAGGCCATTATGAAGTGTAATTTGCTGTAGACCCTAAACCCATTCTACAGCAGGAGCAACACCACTGCAACGAAGACGCTTTAATTGTGGCTGGAAATTATGTATTGTATGTTGGAGATGCACAGATAAAAATGTAGCCATGGATCGTTTGACCCCTACAGATAATAGAATTTGTGGCTAAAAGGATGATAGACGAGGTTAACATGCCGATACTGTTGCCCCGTCTCTAACCAACCACATTACCATGTAAGAATATGAATGAGAGATGGTTTTTAATTGGAATACTGTAAAATAGTATAAAGCATTGCAGCAGGGTTTTCGAGTAAACACTTAAAAAATCTGTCCTGTAAATGTTTTTATGCATTAATGTACAACGTTAATATGCTCATTGCACTGAGCACTAACCACAAAGGGAATTTGAAGAGCATGCTGGTGTCGGTTTTCGGGTGTTCTGGTGACAGAATCAACATACTGACCCCCCACTTCCCATGGCTTCTGGCAAAACTTCCTTTCTTGTAGTGAGATTGTAAGGTCAACTTCACAGCTATGGCAGTATATTCCATGGATAGCAAACCTAGTCTGAATCGTAGATAATGAGAATTTTTTATAGATTTTATTGATCGTATGGGAAGATTATATTACGTAATTTTATTGACAACAGAAAGTATTGTTTTGGTAGTCTGGAAGATTTTGTAAAAAAAAATGTAGTGACTATTGCAAAATTATTGAAAAGGTAGCTTCCATTGATATTAATTTTAAAATGACCACACCACTGCAGATTTAACTTTGTTAATAAAAATTCAAAGGAACCTGCCTTTCCGATAATGCATGAATATAGACTCGTGTCTACTAACAATGTTATGATATTAGGTGAATGGCAAATGTTTATGCATGGCTAAAATATAATTGTGTTTGCATACAATTGACGAATGTCAGTACAAAATATGATAATAGGTTTTCCCCTTTTTCTGGCAACAAAACAGGTGTTAAGATGTTTAAACACCACACTGAAACATTTTACAAGGAATCATGTCTGCATTAACCACAATACTTGTGGTCAAAATGCAAAAAAAAACGTACTCTGATAATATATGCATTGTCCTTGAAACTGATTGGTCCACACCAGATAGCTTTCTTTTGAGCCTTGTCTCAAAACGGTGTTAGACCAGAGGACGCCAAAAGGTGTACAGCCCAAAGACAATGCCACTATCAGTGTAATGAGGGCTCGGGGTGAACATCTACATATGTGATAGTGCATTTTTTTTGGGCTGTACACCTTTTGGCGTCCTTTGGTCTAACACCGTTTGAGGCGAGGCTCAAAAGAAAGCTGTCTCTGGTGTGGACCAATCAGTTTCAAAGACTGCATATATATCATCAGTGTGTTTTTGGTTTGCATTCTGACCACAAGTATTGTGGTTAAAGCAGACATGATTCCTTGTATAAGGTTTCCGTTTGGTGTTTTAACATCTTAACACCTGTGTTGTCTCTTTGGGTCTTTCGGTAAAGTCACATAGATAGAAAAATGTTAAAATTATAAAAAAAATCACGACGTTTCTATCGCAACACAAGCAATCGTCTTCAGGTTAAAAAATACAGCAGGCAGACTGCTGAGGCAGGAAGAAATGTAGTGGTAGAGCTACTGCAGCCAAAGGTTATATACGTTTTGAGATGGGTACAACCCAAGGGTAAGTGGGCGGGGCTCGAAATGGAATTTGCAAGTAAAATGTAAGATCGCAGAGCTAGGCATACCTCGGCTAATCATTGTCTGCATTGACCACAATACTTGTGGACAGAATGTTAGCAAAAAGTAAAGACGATCAGTATTACCTTGGTGTCGCGGAATCTCTGTTTTGTTGCCAGAAAAAAGGGTAAAATCTATTCTCGTTTTATCTTTAATTGTATAGGAACAAAATGGGGCAAATCTATAATTGCATTTACAAGACATGAACAATTTGACATTGGTTTTGTTTGTCATGGTAATACGATAATACAAACTAATTTCACGATAAAATATGATAGCTTAACATTTCAAATAAAATTATAATATATTTTTCTAGAACCCAAATTAAAAATGTATTTTTACATGCATTTTGCGATATGAAAGATTATTTGTGTCATGTGCCATGTCTTTTTATTCCAAGTTCAAAAATTACATGTTCAAATTCAGTCGTTGGTTCTGCATGGGCATATGATGTGGATGTTAAAGTTTATTAGCAGGATATGCCCAGATGTACATATCATTGTGCACTGGCATGGTTCGATGGTTTCATCGCAAAAAAACATCAAAAGCCAATAAAAGAAAGCATTTCTGCAGTGTAAATTCCACACTGTGAAAATGTAACAAACTGCAGCCAAGGTTAAAGCAAAGGGAATTAAAACATTTTGGTTGCCACCCACAGGCTATAATAGAAAGGGCTTTATATTTGTGGAACAATCACCAAAAGTGTTAGTTGTATAGCAGCCCACTTTCATGCAATCTCACCTGCATTGTTGCATTGAATCCACTCATTCAGCTGATTTAGTGAATCGATACAGCATAATCATTTCTGATTCTTCTGGACTACCTCTCAAACATCAACATTGCTCTAACTGGTTTCTTTTTGAGCAACAGCGAAACAGTCTCGTCTGCATTGATGGGGGGGACGTTGCTTGTGAAACACTAATCCATTACTAAATAACAACATGAAAGCGATTCCAACTGCACACGACTATTTAATAAAATATACATGAGCACAGTATATGAATAAATCACCTGGGATGTGTTAGAGCTCATCAGATCTAAGAAGCCAAGTATAATTCATCCTGCATGGTATTTGGACGGGTGACCACCACATGTAACAAAACAGGTTGTTACAGAACGCCTCGTGGGCTTTTTGGGCAGTAGAGAGCACTGCAGCAACATGTTTTTGTTTTCTATACGTTTTGCTCCCCGCCTTCATCCCACTGACCAGCGTGGTGAAGTACGGTCATATAACCCCCAGGACCGGCATAGCTTGGGGAAAACCCTCATTCAGTAGTAGATTGACAAAGGGCACTACATGTATATGACCTCATTTACACCAGACAGACACGTCTTAGCAAAGTACTGCAATTGCAAACTACATTAAGCTGACAAGGTGCAAATGCACCACAAAAGCTTCCGTGTAAGCACCTGGTATGAGCAGTCCTTTCTATTTATTTCCACAGCCCTTTGTCCATCCACTGAAGTTGAACGTGCATCAAGGTGTGAAATTGTCGTGATGACACTTGCTTTTTTTGTGTCAGAATATTAGTCTTTGGTAAAAGGATGTAATTTGGTACCTAGTGGCCCAAGCGTGTATGTATTGTAGACAATTAATTTTAAGCCGTGTAAATGTTCAAAATCCCACGTAAAATGTTTGAGATAATCATGAACATTGGCTTTCAAAGCTATTGCAAACATCCAAAGAAAACGTAGAACTTGCAGCGTTGTTGTTAAAATGTGCACAAGCACCATCGCACAACAGCGGTGTGGGTCTGCCTCTGCAGCACGTGCGCGAGCTGGACGACCCTGAAGAAGTGCTCTGCGAGCTCTGCGACATCACGACGCCCACGTTCAACCAACACATGCGGCACCACCACGCTGGCTGTGGGGGCAGTGCTGAACGGCAGGGCTACCGCAGCAACGGCTCGTACGTGGATGGCTGGTTTGGAGGGGACTGCGGCACTGGCAATCCCTACTACCTGCTTTGCAGCCGCTGCCGAGCCAAATACCTCGCTCGCAAGAGCAAAAAGGGGCTCTCTGGCTCAGGAAGGTAGCGTGCTGTTTAGGCTTAAAATAACTCTTATGCACGATCGTTTTATTTATACGTGGTTGAGTGTACGCGTTTGTCTATAAACGGCCAAGGACGGCGGTGTTATTTGATGTTTATACTTGCGTGTGGGTTAAGAACAACTTGTTGACTTCCCACATTGGTACGCAACACCGGCTGTCCTTTAGATTGCCATGCCTCTGTCGTATGGGTGTGAAATGTACACCATTGGTTCATGGCAGTTAACAGGAGTGTCGTCCCCATGTGCTTGTGTTGTGAAATCACTTTCAAATGAGAAATAATCTTTCATTTTCTTGAGTCAAGGGTATTTATAGTTTCGCCCAAACATCTATATACTATTCTGTTTGAACTCTAGAGTCTTTAAGTCAGCTGTTAATAAGTCTAAATTGAAAAGCTTACATTACAGTTCAATAGTGTACCATAATTTTGCCATGATCCGGCATCATGACCACATGAATAATGTCTGACTTTTCTACCAGTTTGTCGTATCTGTATTGCCGTCAAGCGATGTTTTTGCTAAACTGTAACAGAATAGGCAATGCTGCTCACGGAATACTACTTGGTGTGCAAGATTTACATTCTGTGATGCTACAAATATCTCCTAAAAATGACGTAACAAAGTATATTTAAAATTACTTTTTACGTAAATATTTCACGTAGAGTATTTTCCCATTTGTGAAATGTGTTGATTGAGGTTGAGAATATTTAGTTGCTAGCAGAGTTAAATTTGTATTTCTCCACGTTGATAATCGGTATTTGTCATTGCAGTGGTAAGGGTCGAGCTCTGGACCTAATTGGCAAGCAGGAGAGTCTCTATGAAGGTAATCGGGAATGGTTTTCGTATTAAGATACCATTAATATACTACAATTGCTGTCGATTGCTATAATTTTCACGGCGTGCTGCGTCAATGGGATTGCTTGCAAAAATTACCCGCCCAACCGGCATTGATATGAGTGTTGTGTGTGCATCTGCTACAGAAGATTGGGACCTACTGGAGGTAGATGAGGATGACCGCCTCACAGGGCTGGAGGATTTTGACTTGCTGGCTGCCCCGCTTGGCCTCAATGAGAGGAAGATTGTCCCAGATCCGGTTCAGTTCCCTGACAGTGACCCCCTGGGTGCATCTGTTGCAATGGTCACTGCCACAAGCGGCATGGAAGAGACGCTGATGCAGATAGGTTCGTCATTTCCGAACACAATGACATCTTTCCTTTCATATAAACCTCTTCAATTAGTATTGATTTGTTATTTAGATTGTGTGTGTTTTATCAATTATGTTTCCACAATGTGAAGCAAAATGAATATATTTGGGTACATGACGCATGCACAGGATAGCTAATGGTTAATAATTTCCCATGTGTTGCACATTCATTCTCAACATGAATGCATCCAAATTAATTCTAGAAAGAGATTACCTTTAATAGTTGTTTTGGTGATAGGCCCTGGGAACTAACAGGAAAGGGTCTATTCTGTCATTTCCTGGTCAGTGTATCAGCCAAAACATTGACCATTATTGTTTTTTTCACCACTTCCAGGAAACCTATTTCCTTTTTTGTTATGTTGTTGGGCAATTTTATAAAAACCAAGGCTGACATTTTTCAACCTAAATATCTTATGGTGGTCTTTGCTTTTGAAAATATATTTCACGATTGGGATTGTTTCTTGTTGAATTATGCATAACTGAAATTGTAGCCTATTAGAAGGATGTTTCGGAGCCTCTACCTACGATCTTTATTTTAAACAAGGACCACCCTAAATTATATACAGTATATTTGGTCTGTAAGAAGTGTGTATGTTTGGTACAAATACAAAAAAAATCACATCTGCAGATAATGATGCCTTCATGCTGTTTGTCTCCAATTGCAGGAATCTTGGGCTCTGTTGAAAAGCAGACCTCTAGCCGCGTGTCCCTGGGGGAACAGGCAGTGATTCTGCGTGACCCTCATGATCGCATCCTTGCCCTCAAACGTGTGACTGCTGCAGCTCAGATCTTACTGGCTCGAACTATGGTCATGAGGACACTGTCTCTCCTTTCCGTCAGGTCAGTTATGTGATGCCCAGCTTGTGTTCTTCGTGGTCAAACAATTTCTCAATTTAGAGTTTTAAATTTTGGAATATTTTAATTTATACAAGTGGTGTGATCCTTGTTGCATATATTATCTTGGAATTGGCCTTCTACAACGGATTAGTCCAGTTTGTGTCTCAAGTTAATAACTGACCTCTGGCCTTTTTATATGGTAGGGTGACATTTCTAGTTACGTACTTGGTTAATTTGCGTAGCTATCATGTTCTGTTACATTATCCACATTAGAAATTTACAATTTGTATTAAACAAAATGTTTGCTTACAGGATGGTTGTTGGTTAAATATTATATTGCTGAGTTCTTGGGTTTGCCAGTTAAGCCTCATTCAGAGTCCATCAAACTTCCATTTTATAGGCCTTTGATGCAATGAGTAGTAATAAATACAAGTCCTAGATTTCCATCCATCTATCGTGTGTTGCTCTCTCTCCTGTGATCTCAAACCTTATCTGTAGAAATGGCCAAATGATAGTTGCCGATACTCTTTCTAGTATAACCTGTGTACATTTTTATGTTTTTAACTACTCTGATGTTTACATAAGCTATTTATAAAACTGGGCATTACTGATGTGAATTTAAACCCTACTTGATATTACCGCATATGCAGATTTGTGGTGGGCTCATTGTCATAGGCACAGTTGACATGACCTCATTTGAGCCATTCGCAGCTTGAGTGCATAATTATATCGACAAAACACTGTTGTGGACCTCAACACTGGAAACATTGCAAGTTGTGTAGAATTTAATATAAACAAATTATTTGACACCAGCATTTCTTATTCAATAAAGTCTTAATTATTTGGTGCTCTGTCTGCAGCTTCTCGCCTAAGATATCCTGCCTAGTTTGAGTGACTAATCTGGACTCTGCATCTGTGAGATGGCTGTGAATGATTGGGTTGCATCTGAGGCTAATTGTGTGGGATGCAGTGCAACAGAGATTATATTTTAAGCAGCTTCCAAAGGTTATCTCTGGTGGGGTGGTGGCTAGTGGGGGGGGGGGGGGACACAGGGAAAGTTTTTTTTTTGAGGGGGGGGGGGGGAAAGATTTTGCCGTAACATTCAATAAGCAGCCTATAATCTGTGATTTATTCATATAAGGCCAGTAAGTCCCCCATACTTATCAGGGAAGTGCAGATAGTTGCTTTTGGGAAGAAACTAAAGTGCCTTGTGTATACAACGTATTTGACTGCACTTATTTTTTTATACTTCTGTGCTTGTTGCAGCTGAGCTGGTGTAAACGCTGTCAAAATTTATCGACTTGAGTACCTGCTTGATCTGAGGAAGATTAAAAAAATATGTCTTTAAGCAGGGAAAAACAATCTAACTTTTTGGATAGACCATGAATTTTCAGTTAAATCAGAGCTATGTGTTCATTGTTTTCTGTGTCGGCATGCACTACTTCAACTTTAAATTTGTATTGCATTGTTTTTTTTATGCGAGTATATGTACAGCGACCTATGAAAAGATATGATTGCTTACTTACAATTGATAATGTATCACTAATTGTCCTATTTATGAGGTTTATAATTAACATTTCCTCAATTTGTCCATTGAGCACATGTTTTTTTCCCCTCTTACATTCTTCAGCACACACTTATGTGTAGTGGTGGTAGGCCAAGCATGATGACCTCTACCTCATGATGTAATCCACATGTCTTCGATATAAAAATAGAGTACTTAAATAGCATTACTCACCCAGTTAAATGTTTGTTAGTAATACAGTCACTTGAATAATTGTTGTGTGTATATTATACATAATTGCAGCAATTTTATATATACATTTGTAAAGTAAAACAAGTAAATTGTAAACATTAATTATGCGTGTAGAATGTGTTTTGGACCGTACGTAGCCAACCGTGCTAATCGGATGCGCAAAGGGAAGGACAACAACATTTTTAAATTACATTGATATGTGCAATTAATTAATGGTAGAAGTCATTAATGCATGATAGATTAAATTTACTTTACAAAAGAGCAATTTTGATTTAAAGTTAGAAGAGTTTGCAAGACCTAAAGTTGACAATTATTTGACGTATCAAATTTTGTTTTTAAGAACAGTTTTTTTTACGCAAATGTTATTCTTATTCAATTCAGGGTAAAGGAGTGTACAAAACTGTACCGACACAACAAACAGGAAACCTGAGAATTGATTCATGGATAGAATCATGACCCCTGGCAATTTATCAATACATTACTGATAGCTATAAATGAATAGCTGTGCATTAGTTTTGAAGTGATTTTTTTTTTTTATATTTGTTTTCTATTCTAGTGGCTCGGCATGCAGCTTGACGGCAGGGCTGGAGGCCCTGGGCCTCACGGACATCCGCACGTTGGTGCGCCTCATGTGCCTTGCGGCCGCTGGAAGGGTGGGCCTGACCACCAGTAGCCCCAGCAGCAGCGCTGAGCACCTGCCGGACGGTTGCAGCATCATCAGCTCCAAGATGCACAAGCCCATCTCCTGCCTGGCGTATCTCAGCTCTGCCATCGGCTGTCTCGCTTCAAACAGCCCCAGTGCAGCCAAGCTGCTTGTTCAATTGTGCACACAGGCATGTAGCTCGATGATACACAATGTAAATGAAATACCTTTTTTTTATTGAAGAAAAATTTACTCTAGCATATTTATAACATTTGTATCCCTTTTTGTTCTACTTAAGTGCATCTTATTTTGCAATATATGGATTGTAAATATATTCATATATTTATATTTTGTATAGAAATCCGTATTGTATATTTGTTTGAATTGGAAATTATACATGTATGACCATACAATATTAGAAAGCAAATTTTGGCTGGCTTTATGCCGTAATTCCTGGTTGCTTGGCTTTTTGGCTGGTGCACAAGTGTCCGTGCACGGTGGTAATTACGACGCCGCGCACATCTGTGTGATGAAGTCAGCCACATCTCAGTGATGAGCCGGGTTCGGTGCTTGCATCACGCATTCCCCGCACCCACCCTCCACCCAGGCTGTGAATAACCACGCACACTTGATAGAGGAGATGAGGGAGGGAGGGGTGGGAGGGGAGGGCGGGAGAGTGAGGGAGGTGAGAGTGAAAGGTCATGAAAGAAAGCTAAACGGAAAGAGGAGAGCGAGCTAAAGCCACAAGCAGTGGGAGAGGAATATGGAGAGGCAAGAGAGAGATTGAGGTGGGAAAGGAGAGGTGGGAATAAGGAGAGTGAGAGAAACAGGGAGAGAGATGGAGAGGAAGTGGGAATTGGCGAGAGACCGTGTAGAGAAAAGAGGAATATAGAGGGGGAGGATGAGGTAGAAGAGGGGGCAGAGGAATACAGACACAAAGCTAGAAATCGATATGTTAAAAAATAGAGGAAATCAAAGGTAGAGAAAGGTGGAGAAAACAGGGCTTTATATAAGAAGTGGCTGGCCGGCTGGCTGGCTGGGAGGGACGGATGGATGGGTGGTCAGATCCAAATGGTTGCTCGTATATTATGTGTTAGAAATGGATTGCATAAGCACCGAATTCATTAGTTACTATTGTGTGTGCATTCTAGGATCTGATTTCGGCAGCAACGGGAATGAACCTGGCGATGATTGAAGATCCATCTCAGCGCAAGCGACTGCCCAGCTTTCTGCGTGGTCCAGCAGAGGAGAATAAGCCTGTGGCCTCGCCAAACTTTGTTGTCACTCAAGCCCTAGTTGCACTTCTTGCTGAAAGAGGTGCCAAGCTGAGACCAGGACCTGACAAGGAGGAGGAAGCCAAAGGTTTTTTTTTAATTGCTTTCATATTTGCTCATCGTTTTTTTATGGTAGCTGTTTTCGTTTTTAATTCAATCGTAGACATGCTTTGCAAAGACAACTTGAGTCATTAGTACACATCAATATTCATCGTTAATTCTAAGGCAAGTTAAACTTTGAACACATGGCATCCATGCAGGGCGGCTTGGGGACATTTCGACCACTTCTCTTAAAATCTACGATACGTTGCATCCGTGTGGTTGTTGGGAGCCTTTTGCACCCTGGGAACTAGTAACAATCAAACGTGACCTGAGGGGATTTGCAGTGACCCGGAGTTCTTATATACCCTTGCTGTGAAGGTATTTCTTCTAATAATTTTCCTAAACTCATAATAACAATAATTGATACAATCGCAACCACAATAGCTGGGTGCACACAGGCTGCATCTACAGTGGAATGGCAATGGTCGCTCACATTCCTTTATTTAGCAATATCGTTGAAATATCAACATTGATTTAAATTTGAACCCTTGTTGTAATTTGATTTCGAAATTGTCAGGGTGATGCTTGTGGTTGCAGAGATGGGGATACGTATAAATATATAAGGGCTTCACGTTGGCGAGATGTTAACTACCTCGCCTGGTGTACAGGAGGACCATGGATTCTATTCTGACCCTGATGCCTGTATGTGACACCTATATATTTGGAGTTTGCATGTCCTGCCCGTGGTCGCATGGATTTTTCTCCGGGTCCTCCGGGTTTTCCCTCCATATTTAAAAACATGCATTTAAAGTATTTGGTTGTTATAAATTTCTGCATGATCAGCCACTTAATTGAGCTATTAATTGTGGCCAGGTCGCTTCTGAAAAAGAGCTATATAGCTCAGTAGGCATTACCTGGTCAAATAAAAATAGTTTCTTATATTTATCCATGAAACTGAAATTAGTCGCCTGTTATAGGAGATACTAAATAGTATTTTAACACGTAGGCTTTCGCGACCAATATCATGCATAATAGAGGTTGTTTTGAGTTAAATCGCGAAAATAACTAAATGTGTTAAAAGTGTGGTCACCACATCTACGCATCCTATATAAGGAACAACAGTTCGACACAAATCTGGCTGTCGCATGATAAAGCCAGTTGTAATTACTGGCGAAACGTAGTACTCAGAATGTAAATATTGTGCTCTCCAACACACAGGTGTGCTGTACTAGTGGCGAATTGGCATGTTCTGTTTACGTGACAACACTTACTAGTTGGCTGTGTCGGGTAGTGGCGGGTTTTAACAACACATTTATTTGTCACCCAAAACCTCTTATGGATACTAAATATCATTGCTGATAATTTAAATGGTCACAAACCTGTAATTTTTTTATGTGTAATGCAAATCAATTTATGATGCGTCAGGTTTTAAAATCCAACCTTAATTATTATTTGAATGATCTTTTGGAGATTAATGCTTTTTCTCCTCCCGTTTCCCTCCCTCACACGAAGCGGGTGCATTGTCGCCTCTGAGTGTGGCTGCTTACTGTGCGACCCCCACTCTAGGTCCTCTGGAGCTGGCGAACGCGCTGGCTGCCTGCTGCCTGTCTGCGCGTCTATCGTCGCAGCACAGGCAGTGGGCTGCCCAGCAGCTTGTGAGAGCTCTGGCCGCCCATGATCGAGACAACCAGACCAGGCCGCAAACCTTTGCAGACATGACTGGGGACCTGCGCAAATGCCCCCAGATGAAGCTTGAAGCTCATCAAAACAGAGTGAGCGTCGGGTTTTGTTAAATCTTTTGAAATGAAAGTCTGTCCATCGTGAGCATGCAATGATGCATAGTTTAAATTGTAAATGTTGCGGGTTTACTCTCCAACACACCGGTGTGCTGAAGTAGTAACTAATTGGCACATTATGTTCACGTGACAAACCTTGCTCATTGGCTGTGTCGGCTGGTGGTGGGTTAATGACAAATTTATATTTAATCGAACCCATAAAACCTTAATTATGAATGATGCATAGGTTAATTGATTAATTTGAATCAAGTTTTATGATGCACATCTTAATTGTACGTTTTAAATATCGATTGCTTACAATGAAAATTATATTCAAAAGCTTGCTGGTGTTACGTCTGGCTTATTGTAGTAAACAAGACTGCACCAGTCAGTAGACAAATGAGAAACGATTCTAGAATTTAATAATAATAATTTGTCAAATTGCTTTGGGGGTGGGGACAAATAATTACTTGTCTGCAGGTCTAGGAATAAAGAATAGCAGCTTTATTTTTTATCAACATTCTTTTTTGAGTTTCGTAGTTATATTCCATAATTTGGAATGTTGATCAATTTCATGAATGGATTCTAAAATTAAACAAATAATTTTATTGCAAAGGAATATAAATGCTCCAGCAGAGACTGGCTTTCATATTTACTGCTCAGATCATGTATTGAGCAGTTATGTGATAACAAAAAATTCCTCTATTTTTCCACCATTGTGTCTTGGCTTGTTGGTGTTTGACGACCACGATGTTGTAGTCATATTGGCACGACCCACTTCCGCTTCCACGTTTTGCAGGTGACGAGCTGCTGCTGGAGCAACAAGAAGCAGCTCCTGGCTACGAGCGGCAATGATGGGACTGTGAGGATTTGGAGCGTTTCCAAAAACCAGTACACGCTTCAGCAAACCTGCGTCTTTCACAAACTGTAAGATCAACCCCAAGCTCCTAATAAGCATCTTCTGATAAATACTAAATGAGTAAAAAGTAGTTTTATTTTCTAATCGCTCCACATACGAAACGCGTATAGCTCCCTCGGTGTTATGAACTAACTGTGCTTTGCTATCGTGTCAGATGGTGTTATTTCATATTACTTTCACCGGTGCTTTTTATTACCTGTGGGAAAAAAATAGGCTTGAAATTTATGATGAGAAAGATAACACAAAGAGATGAGCATGTTACCATTGCATTTCATAGGTAGGTGTTGTGAAAATCAATGACCTGCACTACCTTTTGATTAAATTGTGTTCAGCTTTGCAGTGAGACGGCACCACTGGCAGATTTTTAATTCAGATTAATGTGTTTTAGTTTCCTCTCGAGCGATTAACTCGTGTGATTGGTTTACGTGTACAGTGTTAATGTTTCTTTGTGCAAATGCTTATGTTGCATACAGTTTGCATAGGAATTTTTTACAGAGATTTGAAGTGTGTGCTATATTGCAGTTTACGAGGTTATGAGTTTAAAATTCCTTTGCCCTGACTGTCAGTGTAACATAGAGTGTAACAGTTTTTTTGTGCCAATGCAATACATAATTACGTAAAAATGCATTCACAATGCAGACAAATATCCTCATCACCTTTTGTTATTGGCACAGCCTTAAAATGTAACTATTTATTTTAGAAAACATTTTTGGAATTGATCCTTCAGATCTGAAGGGTTTTGGCAGTTGCCTTGACTCCGTCACAGTTGGAAAATGCATCTCGCATTGTGGGACCTTGAAAACATAATGAGGTTTCAGGATGTTAGATTTATTTATTTTTCATTGAAATATAATGGGTATCAAATAAACGTATAATAACATAATAGTTAAATTTATTTACATCAAGGTAAAATTCCAATTCAAGCTATATGGGTATATTTAGAATTGTATATATTTCCTTAATATATATAATTTTAACTAAATTGAACATTCTTAAGTTTTTTCAAATATCCTATATAAAATGTATTAAAGTCCAAATATTTTCAAGGCGCACCACAGTAAAGTGCATTTTCCAATTATGAGCCAGTCACCGTGTCCCACAAGAATTCTCTGCTTTGAACAAACACCTTTCGTAAAACTTTAGCCTCCTAATTATGTTTGAGAATATATTAATGACGACAGTAGTCGACTCATGTAACATGTGCTGTAGAGGTGGCCGAGTGTCCTTGATACCTAATACCTTTCCAGAACACTGAGTCGATACCACTTCAGATATTTCGAATTATGGCAGTCATCAAAGATTAAACAAATTGTCGCACATCTCCAAATAATTACACAAAATAACATAAGTTACATAATCGGACCTCCTTGGTCAGTACCAAAATATGAGAATAGGTTTTTCCCCTTTTATCTGTCAACAAAACAGGTGCTAAGTTGTTAAAACACCAAACTGAAATGCAGACATGTTTCCTTGTCAAAGGTTTCAGTTTGGTGTTTTAACATCTTAACACCTGTTTTGTTGCCAGAAAAAAGGGGAAAAACCTAATAATATTTTGTTACGGGCAAAGGGGAGGTCCCATGATGTAGCTGCTCACCCCCAGCTCTCATTACTCTGATAGTGCATTTGTCTTTGTGCTGTACGCCTTTTGGCCTCCTGTGGTCTAACACCATTTGAGACGAGGCTCAAAAGAAAGCTGTCTCGGATGTGGATCAATCCGTTTCAAGGACAATGCATATATTATCAGTTTTTTTTGCATTCTGACCACAAATATTGTGGTTACTGTAGACATGATTCCTTGTAAAATGTTTCAGTTTGGTGTTTTAACAACTTAACACCTGTTTTGTTGCAAGAAAAAAGGGAGAAAACCTATTCTCATAATTTACATAATTTAAGAATATTTAACCTGCCAGGATGAAAACAATGAATTTGATTTGTCAAATGACTACCATTACACTTAGCTTGGTATAAGGGTACAGCATCTCGTTGAGAAAGCAAGGGGCTTAATTTACTTCAGTAGCAGTTCGCTTATGTATTATCCCCGAGGGCATTCATTCCATGTGAAATTTGATTTTGATGACGTAACAGCTGATAGCACCTTAGGGATGAAATGGGGTTGTGTTTTTGTAATTAAATGTGAAATGGAAGCACAAAGTCGTGCCATTTGCTTTTGCGACACATTCCAAAGATGAATGTTTGCAGAAAAAAAACATGGTATGGTACCACATAATTCCTTTCATCTGCATTTGCACAAAGTTAACCCATTGTTTGCCAAGATATTTGTGTTCTGAAAATATAGACTTGACCGTACCGGAAAGTGTCTTAACGGTACATTATTTGGTATCCTGTTGCAGTGATAATGAGGCGGAGGAGAGTGCCAGTGGCCTGGGGTCCCCGAGTGACCCACACCTCTCCCAGGTCTGCTGGAGTGTCAGCGGAAAATATATTGCTGCTTCTCTGGACAAGACTGTCAACATCTGGCCCGTCAATGGTGTGTTACTTTACATAATCACCCAGAATATATTTTAAGCAATGTTTAATATACTTCAGTTTTATTTGATTTTGTAAAATTATGGTGCAGGTTTTGGGTTTCACTTAATTATTTTCCACGAAAAAATTGTTTGTTATAGTTTATGGGATGGCTTTGCTTCTCATGGAATTGGCACAAACTAAAGCAGCTTGTATTTTTCAGTGGACTCGTTATCAAAGACTTATAAACGCACGTACATTTTCGTGAGCCCCATCAAATATTCTGAGCTGCTGTATTTTACTGTGCATTGTGTTTTTTTATTATATACGAGTAATGTTTTAAAATGCCCTACGTTTGCCACAATTATGGCCATTTAAAGTCAAAATAATTGAACTTTTCAATAGTCATACATTCTGCTATCTTTTCGAAGAGCTGCAGTTGGTGACATGTGTTTTATCTTCTCACAGGAGAGCATTTTGCTAGCTTCCAGTAAAGTAACTAAAAAGCTAACATTACAATTAGCAGTCACGATATTTATCACGTGTGAATATAATCTGGAAATAGTGATCCATAAATGTGAACTCTTGAACAGGTGGCCGTGGCCACGTGGATCTACAGCCCTACTGGGTGACTTGCCTGGCGTGGCCTGATGAGCAGGCCGCATTCGGAGGGCGGGCCAGTCTGTCCGTGGAAATGCTGCTGATTGGCCGGCTCGATGGTTCGCTTGGCCTCATCGAGGTGGTCGACTCCTCCACCATATTCCACCATTCGGAGCTACAGCACTGCTGCAGAAAGGATGGTGAGTGGGTACTCGGGACCGCTGTATACGCGGGTATAGTGCATTGTGCCTAGAATATTGCAAACAGAAAGTTTCGACCACGTTTTCCTGGTAAAGCTGGAAATTGTGCGGTTGGCAATTTCAGTATGGAAGTGTCGTGAGAGCTCATGCCTTTTTTTTGTTAAGTGTGCGTGACGCTCAATAGAACATTCTCCCTTTGTTCACGTGTCATTTAAATCGGCATTTACTGTTGCTTTTGCATTTTTAAAATGACTCTGCCTGTGGTGATTTTTTTATTTAATGAAAAACTCCAGGAAGGCTGTTTTTTTGTAAAAAAAATAGTTTTTAACCTTGTACTGTGTGCATTTGTGTGTGTGTGCAGTGGCCGTTCTTTGCATCGCGTGGTACTGCGAAGACAAGCCGTTTGCAGTTGGTTATGCTGATGGAAAAATTTTGATTGGAAAGAAGGGTTCCTTTGAAAAGCCCAGCGTGATGATCATTGATGCGTATCAAGTAAGCCATCCTGCTGGGATAGATTTTCCTCAACTGAAAATGTCAATACATTTATTCAAATCAAATGAGGGCCTCTTGAATCAACATGCCTCTTGCGAGTAAAATGTGTTTTTAAAAGTAAAAACTGAAGATTCCGTATAAATGAGATAAATTGAGCAAAAACTAACTTCAAAATTATACATGAATAATTAAGAAAACTATTTAAAATTGCATGAACCAATACCCAAGCTAGATATGAATTTGCAACCATTCAGTTGCAGTAGAGCTACTTTATGTTAATTAACTGAAGCGGCGGTTTCGGGTACATTTAAAATGCGGTTGGTGTTTTAATTTATTTTCACAAATGACAACTGCATAACACCATTATACAAAAGAGAGATGTTTATACATGTGATAAGTGGCTTGACTGTTGTAAGATTCCCACTGTTGTGAATACCATTATTGCATGTCAAAAAGAAAGGTTTTTGGGTTAGATCGCGTAAGTTTAAAGTGTGTCGTAACCCTCCACCACCCGACACAGCCAGTATGGTTTGTCACGTCAACAAAACGTGCCATTTAGTTACTGCTTCAACCCACCGGTGTGTTAGAGTAAATCCACAACCATTCGCAATTTGAGTACGAAGTTTCGCTGGTAATTACATGCAGCATCATCGGGCGTTTTTTCCAGAATAGTGAAGCAATACAGCTGTTTTTAAGGTCTTAAATAGAGCAAGAGCCAGTCGGGTGCGGAGAGCAGAGGGGGTAGGGGGTTTACAAAATAATAGATTGTTAATCATAGTTGATTAACAGTTTCATTGACTCTTTAATTTATGTGGCAGAGCTTCATGTACTTGCTATGTGTCTTAATGGGACACCAATTTTGTGTATCTTTTGTAACCCGTAAAGTCTAGGTGGTTGTGAGGCCCTTGGTTTAATTTGGTATTGCTCAGCTTTGGGAATTAATGCATTTGCAATGTTTGCAGTAGTCTTACATTCCAAAGTATTAGTTTGGTCTCGTTTAATTTTAACATAGGTACTTTCCTCCAGTAAATCTATGATTTTATTATCATAATCCGCTTGGGACATCACCACAGATGAAAGGCCTTTGTCAGTGGCCAGAATTTGGATATCTTTATTTGATCTCAGTTTTCTTAAGGCATTTGCCTCGCTGAAACTAATATTTATTTTTGGTACTTTGCTATTCTCAATTGTTTTAGCAACCTTTGCCAAGTCATCTGCCTGATTATGTCGAAGGTGTTCATGAGGGTTCCGGTTAACGAGTCATTAAATTACTCTACGCTGGTAAATAAGACATGTTTACCGAAAGATATTCCAAAACTAGCTGAGCATTGTCTAAATAACACTTATTTCTTATGCAGAGGTGATTTCTTTGCACAAAAGCAAGGAGCAGCAATGTGCTGTGTCCTTTGTCTCCTGCCATTGCGAAACCCATATTTTTGGTTTAGATATATGGATGACACTTTGGTTGTCTGGCCACATGGTAAAGATGCACTTAATTTCGAAATCATTTCCATTCGCAAAACCCCACCATCCAGTTCACCATGGAAGTGGAGGTGGAAAACACACTACCATTCCTGAATATTTTACTTAGACGTGACCCAAGCGGTAAAATAACACACGTTTACCGAAAGGAAACGCACACTGATGTCTATCATCACCCCGCACAGAAATCCTCTCTCATCAAGACACTCGTACATCGGGCTATAACTGTCAGGTGGTGAAAGTCTGAGGAGCAAGATGAAACATGTTAAACAAGCTCTACAGTTAAATGGATACAATAATGCTCAAATTAACAGAGCATTGAATTGCCAAACCAAGATCGACAAAAAATATATATTTCAGTAAAGTAACAAAAAAATCTTTTTAAAATTATGAGTATGCAGGCTACTTAAAGGTGTCCATATTTTGTTCGGGCAAATGTTTACAAGTTGTAATGACAGCCTTGACACTAGCCTATGAAATAATCCCAGTTCCTTCAGTAATGCAGACTCGAAGATGTTCTTACATTGATTTTGTTGCTGGGTTTTGTTCATGGGTGTGGTTGGTAACTGAAGGAATACATAATTATTTGTCACAATTGTATCCAACAAGCAATACTAGCCACCAAAGGTGTTTTACATTCCTGCCATTTCACCTTCAATCTGCTCATCTCTCACCCCCTAATGTCTGACAGGAGGCTGTAACGCACATTAAGTGGGATCCCATGGGCAAACTGCTACTTAGCTGCGCTGCCAAAGAGGAGAACGTCAAGATATGGGCACATGGCGACGAGAGTGGATGGCACTGCCGCTTTCTGTTGCCCCACCCTTCCGTTGTCAACACCGTGGCCTGGAGCAGCTTGCTTGGCAGGGGCCCAAACTCTCGGCTCATGCTTGCATCGTACGTCTCTTCCTGTTATATTTACTTAGCCTTACATAGGTCAAAGCTTATTTGCTTGAGGCCATTTACCAAAGAAGCCTTTTGTATGGATTTATAGCCTTAACATCATTCATGTATGTATGTTGAACTTCATTCGTACACATACGTAGCCAACCGTGCTTATTGGAGGTGTGATGATAAACACACAACTTTGGTCTCTGACAACACAGGCTTAATTCAGTCCTGAGCCTCTTGCAGCACATCTGTACATGGCTTCTTGCATGTGATGTGCGCACATGACACCTACAAGCAATAATGCCTTGTCAGATCCATCTTATCACCTATTTAGAAGGAGCTTTGATTAATCTCTCACGCAGAGCAACGTGAGGGAGATGATTCTTGGGATTCATCCTTACCCATGCAATATCACTCGCCCTTAGGACGAGTCTCCCGTATATGTAATCATTTTTATTGTGGACAAATACCCGTGTTAAGAATGTGATCTCCATGCCGTGTGACACAAGATGAAAAGGAGAGATGAGGCAAATGGGCTCCCATGCATGAGTGACATTGCCCGATCACAGGTGATGGTGGTCAATGTTGTAATATTTTTTTGCCGTCTAATGACAATACATGGGTTACATGCACTTCAGTGCATTGCAGAAATGTCACTCCTGTCACAATGATAGTTGCAAATGTAGTTTAGGTAATGTATTCATAATCCAACTTGTATACAAATCCTGTAGGGTATTTGTATTATGGGGAAATTGTGAATATTTCAGCAATTGACCACTGTATAACTAGATTCACAGATGGCAAATTAGAGGGAATCCAACTTGGCGAAATGTTATGCCGTTGCTTTGTTAATTCTCTTATTATAAAATGGTAATTATAGCAATCTTTTTCAAGAGTATAATGTATTTAAATACTTGGACAATGTAAGCAAATATCTGTCTGGACTGAGCCCATCAACTATTACATTATAACAAATGCCAAACATAAATAAGGACTAATTTTAGTAAATAAATGGGTTTTGCAGTCCTGATTGGAAGCTCTCTTTTGCCATTGCTGTCATTAGTATGTTTTTTTTAGAAGCACCATGTGTCGCAGTTTAGTGTAGCATGCATGAATACACACATTGTGTTTAAACGTGTTTCCACACATACCATCAATCGCGCTTATGCAGCCACTATTCCTTCCGATATTAGGAAGCCATTGGAGCTATGCACTTTTAATTTTATATTGAAAACTAATATGTTTAGAACTGCTTTTTGTATTTAACTTGTCCGTCCCCCGCACCTCCGATTTACTACGGTTGGCTAAGTACGGTGTGAAAGAAGTTCAACATACTTGCATCACATCAATCGCTGTAGTGACACTTGCACTTTTACCGTTCCTTCGAATACAGAGGCTGTCAGAGTGGGCTTGTGTGCGTATGGACAATCCCACAAAACACAGACGCTGAAGTGCCAGAGCCTCAAGAATCAGAAACGATATGTGAGGAAAAGCAGAAAATGGTGAAGGTAAGCTCAACGGACATTGTTTGGAAGCGTTCACCGTCGGGGTTTTCCACACTTGTACCACTTGGTCCACCTTTCTACAGTCTCATGTCTTCTTCATTCAAATGCAAAATGGCTCAGTTTCTCAATGTGCATGTCTGATGATCCGTAAAAGTGAAAAATAACTGTGGCTGGGTGTGAAGAATTATGTTTGGAAAAATGAAGTGTCACCGTCATGCTGTGATGGCATATTTTATTATTGGTATATTTTACACATTCCACTATTATCGAGTCGTAATGTAGTATAAGACAGAATTGGTAGTTAATTATAGTGTAATTATTTTTAAATTTTGACAAATAATATAATAAAGTGATCTATTTCAGCTAACCAGAGTTTTGATGAGTGTAAGAGATTCACATTTTTATGCAGCCTCTGCAAGAGGTATCTTTCTCACTCTGTTCACGTGTGTTTTTGTGTTTTTTAAACCTGTGCCACAAAATACCTAATTGCTTGCAAAGGTCAATCCCCAAAACATTTATTTCTTGAGTACAATTCTTAGGAATGTGTGTTTTGTGTGTGTTGTTCCTCAAGGCTCGGATTTAGAATGAAAGCATGCGAATTTGCCGTGTTCATACTGTCATCTTAATTGAGGGTGTGCTACGTTTACCCCAGACAAAATGTAAGCTTCCTTCATTAACAGACTTCCCAGCTTGTTGAGTGAAACATAAAATAGTCCACTTAAAACAAATATAGTGTGCAATTTCAATAACGTACGTTTCTATTTTGTCTGGTAATTCTGCAGGACTGGGTACACAGGAAGGAGGCGGTACAGTGTGCCTATCGTCTGAGTGGACACATCACAGCTGTCAAGATGGTGGCTTTTAGTGCTGATGGGATGGTGCTGGCGTCGGGAGGGGTTGGCAGCCTCATGAACATCTGGTCTATGCAGGTAGGAGCATAAACCATCACGCAAACTCTGGTCATCCTCGCAGCGGCTAGAGTCAAACCACCGAACAAAGATGGTCACTGCATCGCCCGCTTTCATATGCGCTTCTGCGGTGGTCTAGAACACCCTTCCGATATGAGGAAGCCACTGGAGCTATATGCACTTTTCAATCTAGATTGAAAACTAATTTGTTTAGAACTGCTTTTTGTGATTAGTTTATTGTCCTTCCCCTGCACCTCCGATTAGCACGGTTGACTATGTATTGTGCAAAAGAGGTTCTACATACATACATACATACAAATATGACTGCGTTCACAGTGCAGGCTTACAGTTGCCGAAAGATTTTCAGGACAGGATTTATAGGGCTATTTTACCAATGTTAATATAACTTTCTCAGTATTGGTAAATAAGTAGCCATGTTCTGTATTCTTCTCATGGCCACAGTATGACATCTAGATGCCTGGTCTACATACATATATCTGCTATTTATATTCCCTGTAAGCTCCACCTGTAAACTATTTCTCCATCTTATTCAATGATTTGCAACCTTTTGTCAAGCCACTGCCGGATGAAGGGATCTTCATGTCTTGTCTGTCATGTAGGTGTAGGATCATGCTTCGCTAAACTCGTCAATGCGGGTTTGTGACGGGGAACACCCAGAACCTTTTCTGATATCACTCACCACTGATATTAGCCATGGCCGGGAATTAAACTCAGCTCGTCATGTTTTGAGCACAGTGCTTTAACCACTGCGAATAATATTCCACGCACATCTTATTTACTTGACCAAATTAATATATTAACATTTAAGCATTCTTTTGCTATTTTACTATTTAAAAAAAAAGACCTTCGAATTTCAATTGCCTGAATATTTCAGGTAAGACTATTGGAGTAACAATGCAACAACAAAGATTTAAATGATTTGGCTGCCACACAAGTTTTGTCATTTTCTTTAACACGAAAGCTTCAAATCTAGAAACAATTTTCTACTTTTCAGGATGGGTCAGTGCTGCAGACAGTGGTGTCTGGGTCTGGATCAATAACAAGTATGGTTTGGATTCCTGATGTTGGAGTGGCAACATGTTCCAACCGGTCCAAGGTATGTTCCTTCAACAGCAGTCGTTTATATTTGAAATGGTGCAATGTGTTGACAAGTGTTTTACCAACCTATTTGAAGACATAGTCTTTGTATATACAAAAGAATATCTAGTTTTTAAAAATTGTTTCTTTCAAAAATACGCATTATGTTATTGACTGGAATTGGTGGTTGTATTCTTTGTCACGTTAACAAACCGCTGTAAACATCTTTTTCTTTATCATTGGCTCTAGATTCCACGTTTTTGTACCCTCCCGCTTAAAATGTTGTCTTGAATTAGTTGAACAACTAAAGACATTTTTTAGCTACAATCTTTATCAAATGTTAGTAATTAATAAGTAATCCTAGCTCTAACTTCTCACAATGTTTTTCAGAAGGTGGAAGACTCCTCACTTAAATTTTGCACGTAATAACGATTACGGAACGTTGAATGCTCAAGTTGCTTGACGTAGGCTTGTTTGTACACCGTTACAGGATGTGTTGGTGGTGAGCTGCATGGCTGATTGGGTGTCCAAGCACCAGGTCTTGGCTACTTGCCGCACCGCTCTGCGCAGTCAGGGTATCGTGGGCCTTAGCGCAGCGCCCTGCATGCGGGCCCTGCTGGAGAGGTTGCCTATCATGCTGCAGGAACAGTATTTCTATGAGAAGGTGCGTACATCGTGACATTTAATTTGCATCCATGTGTTCATTGCTGAATGAAGGCCTCCCAATGTCGTGTTGATAGTGCAGGTTATTTGTCTCAACTTTGCCTTGCTGATCCGTCGGGGTCTATGAAGTGCGGTGCGCACGACTGGTTCATATATCACTCTCCAATGATGTTGGTAGCAGCTGCGTATCGAACTTGGGTTTAGGGGTTTTTAGAGCAGTGCTAACGCACCCCCCATCACATGCTATGTAAAATAGAAGTTAAAAGAGATCCAGGAAATGATCATTGGTGCTGTATGTGAATAAATCTGTCACATTTTAAAAGTGAATCATCAGCCACTGCTGGTTGAAGCCTTCCCTAAGCTGCGCAATCTCACCCTTTTGCAATGTGGTTATCCACTTAACACCCGCACATTGGCTGATCTCATCGCTCAATCTCCTTGGTAGACAGAATATTGGTTATGGGCCATCCTTGGCTGCCACACTGACATCATTATGATCCCTTCTAACAAAAGGAATATATCAATATTTTTTCAAAAGGTATCTTCTCAAGAAATCACGTCAAGGGCTAAAAAATAATTGAGTATCAAATAAAGAGGGATATGTTTAAAATGAATGCAAATCTTCTTGGTTCTTTCGGTAAAGTCACTTAGAAGGGAAATTATAAAATAATAAAAATAAAACATAAAATAATTCTCACGACGTTTCACAACGCAAGTAGCCGTCCTCAGGTGAAGAACAGGTCTGTCGGGAAGACAGCGTCAGACGCTGTCTTCCCGACAGACGCTGTCTTCCCGACAGACCTGTTCTTCACCTGAGGACGGCTACTTACGTTGTGGCCGAAACGTCGTGAGAATTATTTTATTATGTTTCATTTTTATTATTTCCCTTCTACGTGACTTTACCGAAAGAACCAAGAAGATGAATCCCTGCAGTCACGAAAGCTTTAAATCGAAAAATGAATGCAAATGTTGTTTTTGTGTTCTATGGTGGTAGTAACCATAATTGACAGGAACCAAACATTTTGCAATATGTACACGGTGGAAAAGCTATTACTTCATTGAAGATTCTGTTGCCAAACACAACACATCCTACAAATGCTCGTGATGTGCGTAATGTATGTTGAATTTCTTTTGCACTATACGTAGCCACCCGAGATAATCAGAGGTGATAAAATGTGTCTAATATATACAGGCATTGATGTAATAATAAATGATATATTTTTTGTTCCTAATTTTCCCCAACCATCCTTACTCTCTTATCCACCAGCTGTTTGTGGTGTCGGGAGAACAACTGGTGCATAGTGCCTATATGCAGTGCCTGGCTTCGTTGGCCGTTGGGCTCAACTTGGAGGTAGTTCTGTGCCGTCCACCGCTTCCTCCCCACCACCGGAGCGTGACTCTGGGTGCCACCCCAGTGGAGGTGGGTGGCAACTGGAACCCCTTGGAGTGGACCTGGTTGGCCTCCTTTTCCACCACGGTGAAGACAGCCGAAGCGCTGGCACGGAGCTCTGCGTTCCCCGAAACGTTTGTGGTTCCCGAGTTGGAGCACCTACCACCTGAGGAGCAGCTCCAGCCACAGGTACGAGAGCATGTGGTGTTCATAGTGGGGTGATTCAAGGATTTCTCAACCCGTGACCCACCCTCCACTGCCTCCCAATCCAATCCCGCATCAACTTTGAGATCACCCCTTGCCATTTTCAAAATCTCACAGATGGGCACATTTATCATTGGTGCAGCATCTTTAAATTCACGTTTTAAATCCAAATTGTATTTAATTTTAGCCTCTGGCATTGCTCATGATAATTCTGTTGCATGCCAATAAAGGATTGGCACATGCCTTGCCCTTTGCCATCTTGATTTACATTTAACAAGACGTCGAAAGTTGTGAACACATTGCCATTGTTGTGTGTTATTATACCTATACATTTTTATCTTGAATTCGTCAGTCAGCTGTCTGCTTCTTATTCTGCGTCATGTAATTATTTTTGGGTTTTTTTCAAGATACTGGGCTGTTAGGTTACTATGCAATTTCGGTTACTACGGTGGTCTGCATGTTTTATATTTAACTGTCCCGGCAAGCTGCTGAGCTCTCTGCTCCTTTATGGTTTCTTGTGAAATAGCCTGCGATGGTGTAGTAACAGCACACGGCTTTATTGGACTCGTAATGGGATGAGTTGGAGATTTGCTGCTAAGGGCTCTCTGTAGTGTTGCTCATTGCACTTGGAATGCCAGGAAACACATACCTGGCTGTTGTAGATCACTTGAATAGTCTGCCAGCCAGCAAAGTGAATTCAAAATCAATAGGGTCATTTAAAAGAGAGTTAGACATGTTGTTTATGTTTGGCATGCATGGTGCATTACACTTCAGGCATTTATGGTTTACTTATTCCTGGATGTTTAATTAGGCACGATTTACGCTCCTGGGCCTAATGTGAAAGTTTAGGAAACTTGAGTGTGTAAGTCTATGATTTAGTAAAAGAATAGTCAATGTGTGATAATTGATACTGTACAGTACATTTGGATTGAAAAAGCACTGCTTATTGTATGTAAAAGTACTATGAATTGTTAAATTTGGTTGTGCTGTCATTACAAAATTTTTTCCCTTATACTTCACATTTATAAACTGTGCCCAATCTCATCACGTCCCGAAAACTAAGCATAATTAAGTCTTGTTAATCCTGGGATGAAGAGGGGCCGTAGGAGAGCAAGTGTTGTTTTAGACTTGGGCTGTGAGTTTTCTAATCGATGGCAACACCCCAATGGATTCTTGCTCTTATCTCTATAAAGCTTTGCATTTGAACCGCCGATATGTGATCGTTTTCTCAGAGTACTCCGGAGTCCTTGTGTGTGTCGCTCATGAATAGAATTGTCCCAATGCAGGATGTTTCTGAAGAAGTCTTTGAAACTCAGTGAGGCTATCCTGATAAAATGTGCTGCTTAAATAAAGAGCATATATGTTATGATTTTTTAAATATTTGTTTTTATGGTGTGTCTGTTTCTAGGACAACACTAAATGGAATGCATCAATGGATGAGCAGATAATGGCATGGGCTACAGCCAAACCAGAGGTGTATGCCACATCCATTACTTAACACTGATACGACGTACATTGTATATTTAAATATATTATACAATAACACATTTTGCGTGTTTTTTCTTCCTTTTATTAATTTGCCACATGGGGGTCACCCATGTGGGTGTGTTTTTTTAGAACGTTTTTCTAAGAAAAATTCTAAAACCCAAGAAAATGCTTATTGTTCATTAGCTAAGTGTTGACATTTAAAATAAAAATATAATCTTCTCTATTCCCCGAAATGTAATTAACAAGATATCACGTGGACGCTTTAAGCAGACGCTATTTCCTCGGTGATTAATAATTCTCGGCACACTGCGTGCCAACGTGTGGGGCGTGTCTCGTGGGTAGGACTGGCAGCTGGGCGGGAAGTGCGAAGCGTACATGTGGGGCGGGGGCCGTCACGGCCAGCTGGCAGAGGCCGGCCGGAGTGTTCTGACACCGACCCTCACGCCCTCCTTCTCGCAGGCACAACAGGTAATTGCAGTGCAAGCCAATTTCACATACTTTAACCCTTTCACCTTCCAATTCTCCAAGTTGTAGGTGGGCATATTTAATCGCAGGCAGGTAGTCTGACCTTGTGCATTTTATCAGTTGACCTGCAACGTGCTATTGTGCTAAAATGGGGTGGTGTGTTTGAGATGTTCATGTGAATGTGTTTTTAAAAAATATAATCCTATTACAGTAAATCTCTTGAACTTCGTTTGAAATGGGTTTGAAGCATAATGAGTACGCTGAATTTAGGATTTTAATCCTTATGGCTTTATTGACAGTGAACGATAAAGCTTCTGGCCAGACTTCAATAAAAGTATCATTATATTATGTATTTAATAACAATGATCCACTATTTTATCTTTCAAGCATACGCTTGCAGTGTTGATTTTATTAATTACTCCCACAGTCACTCTGTGTTAGAGCATGATAGATTATGCATTTGACATGCATCTCATTTGGAAAACAGTGGTCTCTTTGGAAAGAGGATTAGCCTTGTGTCTGTGTTTCTCAGATTACACTTAATATTTTGAGTCCAATCAAGTCCAAGCATCTTTTTATTCTAGCAAGCAATTGCACATCAGTCATCTTGATTGACAGCCCTGAGCCACTGGTGAATTTCAATGTTACCTTGGAAAGTGTCGCCTATATATTTATAAGCTTAAAAACTTGTTTGCGATAATTCTGTGTGTTAAATCTATCCATAAAGTAGTTTTTTTTTGTGAGATCGCATAAATATAAATGTGTCATTGACCCGCCACCACCCAACACAGCTAATTAGTAAGGTTTATCACGTAAACAGAACATGCCAATTTGTTACTACTACAGCACACTGGTGTGTTGGAGAGCCAAGCCACAACATTTACAATCTTGAGTACTACGTTTTGCCAAATCTGGCTGTCGCCTGATGAACCTAGTTGTAATTTCTGGTGAAATTTCGTACTCTGTTTGTAAATGTTGTGGATTTGCTCTCCAACACACCGGTGTGCTGTACGAGTAACGAATTGTCATGTTTTGTTTACGTGACAAACCTTACTAATTGGCTGTGTCAGGTGGTGGCGGTCCAACGACACATTTATATTTACGTGATCTAACCCAAAAAGAACCCTATATTGTGGATGATATTGGTCGCGAAAGCCTACATGTTAAACTGTGAAATCTTTATTTGCTGGTACTACTTTCATAGAATGGTTGTCTAAAATTCCAATGCGATGTACTGTCTTGATTTGAAGCTTTCTTGACTGCAGGAATCCATACTCTCTGGTTCGTTTGGTAAAGTCACGTAGATAGAAAAAATAATAAAATAAAATAAAACACGACCGTTTCGGTCGCAACACCAGCGTCCATACTGTGTTTTCTGAGTTTTTATTTGAAGAATATAATTTGTGGCACGCTTAAAAAAAATTACGCGATACGACACGTTACAGCATCAATATTGTAGATGCCGCCTGCCGATCAGACTAAGCAGATGTTCTTTATAACATTGTGGGTGTTTTTAGTGTTTACAAAATTGTCTCTATCAACCATGCCAGAATTGTTTTGTTGTTTATTTGTTTGTATTTTTCAGGTTGTGTGTGGGCAGAACTGCACATTTGTTGTACAAGCCAATGGTTCTGTGATGGCCTGTGGAGAAGGCAGTTATGGACGACTAGGACAAGGAAATTCTGATGATCTGCACACTTTAACAGTCATCTCAGCTCTGCAAGGTAACGGGTTTTTATGATCAGCAATTTTCATGCAATCTGCCATTATCTATTTTCTTTGCTATTATTCTTACAGCTCTGTCATGCTTGTTGTTTCACTCGCATGTTGCCGATACACGCATCAAGTCATCTAGAATTATGAATTCACCTTGTGGCCTCCAATTCCTTGGATGCAGATTAAATTTAATTATGCCAAGGTGGCTTTGCATCTGAATTCCCCGAGGTTCTTTGTATCATGCAGCGATGGCAAATTTGCCTGCATACTTTTAAATCTGATAAAGTACAATGAGGTCCCTCCTATAGTGAGTAAATATTCCTCAGCTTCTAAGTTGAATTTTATCTTGCGTGGATTGTCGTGTGTAAATACATATATGTTTATGTATGCCGATATATAAATTCAGTTCTGTCATTACATTTAACTATTCCAGTTTTTTTGTGTGGATCAATGTAACGACGGTTATGCAAATGCCACACAAACCTGCCAATCTGTTCAAAGTCATTGTTCTGGAAACTTTGGATATCCAAACGATAATGAATGCTTGGTTATAATCAAAACTGACAGCTCTTTCTGACCTGATTTTTTTTTGTGTGGGATAGGGTTTGTGGTGACTCAGCTGTCAACATCGTGTGGCTCCGATGGCCACTCCATGGCCCTGACAGAGAGTGGAGAGGTCTTCAGCTGGGGCGATGGTGATTATGGGAAACTGGGCCACGGCAATAGTGACCGTCAACGGCGACCCCGTCAGATCGAGGCCCTCCAGGGAGAGGAGGTTGTCCAGGTCTGGCCCTAATCGCTGTGTCCTTTGTTTTGGTAATGCTTAAAAACAAAGTGGCAAATGTGTTCAATATTTTTTTTGTTCATTACGTGTGAAAGTTAGGAATTGTATAATGTTCCCACCAATGTGACACAATTACAACATTCCTTTGGCATATAATACAATAATCATTACTGGATATCCTCCTCTGTTGACAAGAAGGACATGTATTGTTCTGAAATTGTCTTTACTACTCTGCCACCACAGGTGGCAAGCAAACTCAAAGGAAACTTTTAAGATGTGCATCTAATATTTTACCATTTTATGAAAGTTATTACATTTGGTAAACCTTGCTTTCAGTTTTGTTGTTCCTTACAAGTATAAAAATATACCTGAATTATAATTTATAATATATTACATCCCAGTCGGTCTTCAATATGTTTACATATTTATTGGATTGTTATTGATGTGATTTTGACATGCGTTCCCTATTTTTATGAAGCAGTCATTTATCTCAAAGATTTGTCGTATAACTGTCATTTTATATCTTGTGTCAATATTTTTTTATTGTGCTTTACATTTGTAATGTGGTTTAGTCGGTTGTGTTTTTTTCAGTTACACTCTTTTGTTTACCCCTGTCTTGGAATCTCAGTGGTCTGTTATCTGGTTATAAAAGAAGGACTTGCACTCCAGCATATATTTGGTAATTCTGTGAAACATTGTGGGGGAATACCACACATTTAACTGAATATCGTTTAATTTAATGTACAATAGTGTAGAGTACATGGCAGCATGTTCTTTACCTCAAGTCTCCAAGGGGCTGAAGTTGTAAGGTGTCTTTCATTTTATGACCCCAATTTTATTAGGAGGCATACAGTATTTTCACGTGAACACATTTAACCGGTCGGATAATGGGGTGGCAGAGCGTCTAGCCCACAATTGGAAGGTTGTGAATAAAAATCCCCAGTCATGTGTTGATTCAGCCCATCGATCCTTTTGTGGTCTATAAATTGAGTACCACTTTGCGGGAGGTCAAAAGTGAGTGTTCTATTTAGAAGCTGGTCTCAACCATAAACATGTAGAGTGTACCTGAACTCAGCGTTACGAGCACTGCCCAATGTTTGCTTTCAGCAGGCTTACATTGACCATGAGCTCTTGGATTTTGTAACCCCTTACCCTTTTCTTATTTAACAATAATCATCATTGTGACCTTGTCAGCTCTCCTGTGGTTTCAAGCACTCTGCTGTGGTCACAGCTGACGGAAAGTTGTTCACGTTCGGAAACGGTGATTATGGCCGACTTGGCCACGGCAATACATCCAACAAGAAGCTGCCCGAGAAGGTGACCAGCCTCGACGGACAACAGGTTGGGCAGGTAAAGAAGCCAGTTTTCTTTGCCCTAACACCAACATATGTTGGTCAATTTGGCTCTCATGGAATGCCCGTGAAACTGTCGCTTACGCCATGAATTTGTATTATGATGTAAAAGTGTTTACAACATGCATTACTAATGTTAAATGAGGGTCTACCGTACATCTTTGTGAATGCTGGCTACCTTCATGTCACTTGCATGATAGTTTTTGTGTGGCATTCCAAATATAAAAAGGTGACGCTATTTAAAGTGCAAGTATGTGGTAAATATTGGTCAGCAATTTAATGTTGTATATATTTTAGGTTTGCCAGAAATGTTGATGTTTAATGCAATGTGTGTGTGCAATTTTAAGGAAGTGCTTAAATGCAATTTTGTTTTAGGTGGCATGTGGCTTAAATCATACCCTGGTTGTTTCAAATGATGGCATGACTGTCTGGGCTTTTGGTGATGGAGACTATGGGAAGCTTGGTTTGGGGAACTCCACTGCAAAGTCTTCACCGCAGGTACGTGAACTCAACTATCGACAGCTGTCTGGTCAGCTGGCACCCCAAATATTGGAAATGTATCCAAAGAGCCACAATTGATCAATGCTGCAAACATGTATACCAAACAGCCAAATGGATGTGATTCATTCTGAACATCATGTACTAAACACATTAACTTGCATTTAATCAATGCTGTGCATGCTATGGAACACCGCAACCATTCCTACAATCAATACTGTTTTTTTATTCCATACACACATGACCAGACAGGTTTAACCATGTTGTTTTGTGTTAATCATTAACTAATGATGTCTCTTTTTAAACCACAGAAAGTGGATGCCCTATGTTTTATTGGAATGAAAAAGGTTTGCTGTGGGACCCAGTTCTCTGTTGCCCTTACAAAGGATGGGCGAGTCTTCACCTTTGGCCAAGGTTATACTTACATCTGTTTGCTTTATTTCCTGTAATTAAAGTGTGACATCACGTTATACATAGTATACACATGTAGATAACTGGAGGCATTACACAATATAATATCAACTTTGAGTGTTAATACTTGCATTTTGATTAAATGTCATGATAAAATTTAAACATAATTCTGTCGAGACAACTCTGCAGATACATCAATTGTTTTTTTGAGTTTGTGAAAGTGTTAATATGCACATTTATAAATGCTCACGATTGTCACGTTGGCAACTGTATTCATTCTTGCCCAATGCATTGATCACATTCTGACTGATAACAACATTTCTCCACGTCACAAATATGTCAGGTGGTGGTAGGTTAATGACTAATGTTATGCCAAAATTAGTGTTACCCAACCCAAAAACAAATATGAATCATTGTATTAGCTCAAAAACGTTTACATAGAACTTAGTTCCCATCGTACTTAGCCAACAGTGCTAATCGGAGATTTTAAGTTAAAAATGCTCTGCTTTAAAGGCTAAATTGTAGTGTATGCATTTTATGTGGATTTCTGGTCTATTCAAACAAAGTTTGCTCGAATTTGACTCGTTCATCATTTGTCCGCCCTTGCACTTGCCAGACCGCCTGATCGGGCTACCAGAGGGGAGGGCCAGAAATCACAACAGGCCTCAGCAAGTGCCAGCGTTGGCAGGCATCTTTGTGGAGGACGTGGCCGTGGGTGCTGAGCACACACTCGTTCTGGCTTCGACAGGGGACGTCTACGCCTGGGGGAGCAACTCGGAGGGGCAGGCACGGACAGAAACACGCACGCACTCAACGTCTAATTCTCACAAAACTACCACCTTGCCGTTATGTATACTGCACAGTCGTTCTTGGTAAAAATAGACTGAAATGTACACTTCTATGAAAAGACATTATCCTCTTTTCTCTCCGCCTGATGAAGGCCGCTTGTGTTGCGATTGAAACGTCATGGGTTTTTTGCTTTTATTATTTTCAATGTATTATTTTTATTTTATCTTTAATTTTATTTTCGATCTACATGACTTTACCGAAAAGAACCAATAATATGAACACATTATCCCTTCGGATATGTTCAATAAAAATTCTCTGTTTGAAAAACAGATTTGGCTGTCTATTCTAACAACATTTATTTTACAATTCTGAGTATTTCCAGATAAACAAGGTTTGCTAAGTTTAAATATAATTCTTTTTCATGTAAATCCTTTTAACAGGGTTAAAGGGATGTAACCATTTGGCTCTAGATCGAGTGCTTGACCTTAAAGGTGGTGCTTTTCAATCTCAGTTGGGGAGGGGGGGGGGTCATCTTGGTCCATCATCCATTTCTATGGTTGACAATACATACCACCGCTGTTGGGAAGTGAACAGTGGACATCATGCAGAGAGCATTGCCACTTCCACTAGAATGTATAATTTCTACTGCAGGCTGAAGACGACCACCAAATAAGGTCATCCTTGGCCCCATTGCTCATTGCAGCAGGCTGATGCTTTCACACAGAGTGAAAAAGGTAATAATGAAAAAGGTGTGTAGTGATAGGTTTGGTCTGAATATATTTGCGTGACTGAACAGCTCGGACTGGGACACACAAACCCCGTGCGTGAGCCAACACTGGTGACCGCACTGCAGGGAAAGAATGCTCGGCAGATTGCAGCCGGGCGCTGCCACAGTGCAGCATGGACATCGCCTCCTGTCTGTCCCAGAGCTCCAGGTACATGCCCCAGTTAAGGAACACAACCTCATTGCTTGCGGTGGTGTGAGCACAGTGCGTGCTTGTCTATTATATATACACCATATGTATGCATTTGTTTAAAAATTAAGGTACAATTGGCACTACAGGTAGGACGACCAGAGTATATGAATGTTTTATGTATAGCGTCTGGGGATGTAGGTAATTGGATAATTTAAAATGCACGTATAATTATCCTTTGTTTAAAAGATTGATACACTATGAATGAAATGTCAAATTGATATTTTCATTTTACTTGCCAAATAACAAAAGTGAAAATAATAAAATCTGTAACATTTACCGTGACATTTTTTTATCTGCAGTTATTGTTTTTCTGTGTTTTGGTAATAATAATGGTACATTGCACGCAGTGAATATTTTTTATATACTCTTCTAGCAATTGAAAAAGTACACAAGCATGCATGCTAGTTTTCATGAGGGTGCACATTTGTACCATATGGCCTTTATTTATATATTTATACATTCATACATCTACTTAAAATGTTGGAACTTTCTTCCTTGGAATCAACATGGCTAGCTTGCAAAGATATGTTAAATATTAGATGTTTTTCGTAGCTTGAGGTGGGTTTGGCATGGTGCAGGGCTTGCGCTTTTTATATTCATGTCTACCGTACGCATGCGTTTGTGTTTTTGAACTCAAGGAACGCCCGTGGCCCTGCAGTTGGGGCAACCAGAGTGTGTGCCGCCTCAGTACAACTCTCTGCGGGAGTGCAGCGTCGAGGCCATCCGTGCTCGCCTGCGCGTTCTCTACCACTTCTCAGACCTCATGTACACTTCGTGGAGGCTCATCAACCTCTCGCCCAATATTCAGGTTTCTGGTCAATCTCCCAACAAATCCATGGATGCATTAAATTATTTATTGCCAAAGTTATTGCCTCCTGTCGTTTTCCAATATTAAATGTGACATTTGAAGTCGGATTGATTTTCAAGAATTATTGGGTCCTTGCACAGCGTAACCTGTGTAATGTCATTCTTTTGCAGATGACCAACTCAAATGATGTCACACATGTTTCTGTTTCCCATGGGTGTTATTACCCTTTGACAATATCCAGGTTCTGTTCTGTAATCTGGTGGTTATTGACATTTTGCCATTGATTCTTTGTATTAGATTTTGCATTAAAAAGTACATTTAATTTCAGCCAGCATACATTTCTAACAATGTATTATTTTTAAAGCGGAACTGTTTACTTCAATGAACACTTATTATTAATATCCTCGAGTGTGACCGTATTCGCACCCCATTTCCCATGTTCCTGCTTTCAGTTCAACACATCGCGGTACAACGCCGGTGCATGGGGGATAGTGCAGGGTCAGCTGAGGCCGTTACTGGCACCCCGCGTCTACACCCTGCCCATGGTTCGCTCCATTGGCAAGACCATGGTGCAGGGCAAGAACTATGGGCCACAGATCACAGTCAAGCGCATCTCTACCAGGTCAACAGCTCGTCCTGCATAATGTGTGCCAGCTAGCAAACTACATTTCTTAAGCGTTCATGTTCGTTCGGCAAAATGCTGTTATCGTCTGACTTGCATTGTGATCTCTGGTATGTGTCCTGAATTGATATTGAATTCTGACAGTAAATCATGTTTGAACGTAATAGCAGCCCAGTCGCACTGTTTACCAAATGTGTAATGCGCAGCTTACTTACCCTGACAAAATCACTCAAACAATGATTAAAGTGGCGTGGGGAAAAGCAGTCAATCTTATGGTTAGCCTCTGAACATGTTAACTTTTTTTTTATATATATAACAATTTAGTTATGATAAGAATGGTCCCTGCTTTTTTTTTGTTTGACACACATTTGTATTTGTAGCACCGATTTTTGGAAAAACATCTGGAAGCCGTACATTGAATACAGATAATAATTAAAACACAAATTATTTATTAAGCATTCAGTTCAACATTTTATAACAAGTTTTTTTATTAAGGTTCTGTATGTAACATTGTTCCCACTGACCTATAACCCATTTGCAAGTTGACAATTTGGCATTGGTAATTTTTTGTTTATATTAACATTCCCAAAGTAACACTTGTCATGTTTTCTAGTTTTAATGTAATGAATGTGTAAAATGTTCTCAAATACTGCTCGAACATTTTTTTGTATCGGTAATTAAACACACACATTGAATGTGAATATAGGACGAGCAAGATTTATCCAATGTTCAATGGTGCAATAAATGAATGTAGTCTAGTTACGATAATTGGTTCTTTACCCTTCTATCTGGCAACAAAACTGACACCTTTTTGCAAGGAGTCATGTTTGCATAGACCGCAATACCTGCAGTCATAAATACAAACAAAAGACATAACTCTGATAATGTGCACTGTCCTTGAAGTTGATTGGTCCACACCCGAGACAGCTTTCCTTAGAGCCTAGTCTCACATGGGTTGGACCAGAAGACGCCAAAAGGCGCACAACTAAAAGACACTGCACCATCAGAGTATGTGTAGATGTTTGCCCCGAGCTCTCATACTCTGATGGTGCAGTGTCTTTGAGTTGTGCGCCTTTTGGCGTCTTCTGGTCCAACCCATGTGAGACTAGGCTCTAAGGAAAGCTGTCTCGGGTGTGGACCAATCAACTTCAAGGACAGTGCACATTATCAGAGTTATGTCTTTTGTTTGTATTTATGACTGCAGGTATTGCGGTCTATGCAAACATGACTCCTTGTAAAAAGGTGTTAGTTTTGTTGCCAGATAGAAGGGTAAAGAACCAATTATATTTTTACTGGCAAATGAGGTCCCCATAGTGTAGATGTTTGCCCCGAGCTCTCATACTCTGATGGTGCAGTGTCTTTGAGTTGTGCGCCTTTTGGCGTCTTCTGGTCCAACCCATGTTGAGACTAGGCTCTAAGGAAAGCTGTCTCGGGTGTGGACCAATCAACTTCAAGGACAGTGCACATTATCAGAGTTATGTCTTTTGTTTGTATTTATGACTGCAGGTATTGCGGTCTATGCAAACATGACTCCTTGTAAAAAGGTGTTAGTTTTGTTGCCAGATAGAAGGGTAAAGAACCAATTATCATATTTTTACTGGCAAATGAGGTCCCCATAATGTAGTCTAGTTACATTAACGTCTGAACTAATCAACTGAATGATACACATGTATTGGGTGGCTATCCTAATCGCGTTCCTTGTCTGTACAGGGGACGGAAGTGCAAGCCCATCTTTGTACAGATCGCTCGGCAGGTGGTGAAGTTAAGTGCGTCAGACCTGCGGCTGCCCTCGCGTGCCTGGAAGGTGAAACTGGTTGGGGAGGGAGCAGACGATGCTGGTGGAGTATTTGATGACACCATCACTGAGATGTGCCAGGTAAGAGTGCCTGATGGTAAATTTGGCAACCGGTCACGTAGGGGTCTGTTTTACAGCAGTGCTTCGAAACCTGTGGTGGGCCAAACATAGTGGAGCCCACATTTCTTGCAATAGCCACTTTGTTGGTGGTCTGGCTCGCTTGAATAATTTATGGCCCCGTGACATAATGCATAAGAAGGTGATTGTATACGAATGTCGTGGAGAAATTAACCACCACCACCTGTCGGATACATATTTTAAAAACAATCGCAGCTTAGTGTATCAACCCTGTGTAAAGATATTTCATAGTAATGCATTAGTATGCCTGTTTCTTTTCCCCTATTTTTATTTGATCTGTTGTTTTTTTTTAAATCGGTAATGACCTTTTTGTCACCTGAATAAACACCACAAGTTTACTTGCCCTATAATTTAACTGCAGTGGAATGTCTGGAATGTCAGTCTGTCAAAGGACAATATAATAAAGAAAGTGGATTATGTTAGGAATGAATACAACTACAGTAATAATTTGTTTTATGACCGTTAAGCTGTGTGTAACTTTTAACATGTAAATATGAAATGTTTGCACAGGAGTTGGAGACTGGTGTTGTGGACCTTCTTATTCCAACCCCAAACTCCGCTGCAGAAGTTGGTTACAACAGAGACAGGTTTGTTTTATCCTAAAAAAAATTGTAGCAGCACCTACTCGATCATGCACAGTTTGCTTCTGTACAATTAGAGAAATGTAGACTCATTTTGGAGGTCGTTTTACAATGATAACACTTTTCTTAGAATATTATTAAGTCTGCAGTGTTCAGAGAAATTAAGCATTATGTATAACCGCTTAATTTGGCACAGCTCTTGAGCATTTCCACACACAGCAGATCCTGACTTCATATTAAAATAATATTCTATTTATTTTGCCGGTTTATTGATAGGTTCATATTTAATCCGTCGGCAAGTCTGGATGAGCACCTTCTGCAGTTCAAATTCTTGGGTATCCTGATGGGTGTGGCAATGCGCACAAAGAAACCACTGGACCTGCACCTGGCTCCCATGGTGTGGAAGCAGCTGTGCTCCATCCCGCTTGGGCTGGAGGACCTCGAGGAAGTCGATCTGCTGTACGTGCAGAGCCTTTGTAGCATATTGCACATTGAGGACAGTGGCATCACCGAGCTCAACTTCCACGAGGTGAGGCTCTCTCTTCATTGTCCTGTTGGCCTTCCTCACAGCCATCATCGGCGTGGTATTCTGCTTTGAACATATCACCAAAGCACATCCTGTCAATTAGAAATCCAAACGAAAATGAGCCATTTGTGCAATAAAAAAGATATTCGATAGATGTGAATGTGAAACAAATAAGACATCAAATAAAGGTGATTAAATGAATATTACAACTTATATTCTTGGTTCTTTCGGTAAAGTTTTTTTATTGTTTTATATTTATATTACTTTATTATTTCCCTTCTACGTGACTTTACCGAAAGAACCTAAGAATATGAGTCCCTGCAGTCACGAAAGCTTTAAATCAAAATTTATATTACAACTTGCGTTGTGGTACAGAAACTATAAGCTGCAACGTAGAAAAATGTTCATTCAATGAGATTCCTTCCAACATATACATTAAAAACTCATAATTCATTGGCCCAATCCGTTGACATTATGGTCACAGTTTGGTACTCAAATATGTTATTAAATGCAACTGGAGCCTTCACGTATAAATCAAACGAAAATTACTTAGTTCAGTGATGCATGCCATCATTTCTGGACCATTGTTTTAAAAATTGTAACCCCGTATCAGAGTTTATTATAGGAAACCTCATACAGATTCACAGAACACTTAGAAGGCTGTTGAAAACGGTTAAACCACCAAACTATTATGGAAAGGTTATAGAACATTTTGATCGGTAAAAAGCAAAATGTTTAATTCAGCCATGAACCAAACTAAAAAGGCAACAGTTTGCACTATAAGTGTAATCTGTAAGAATTTGCTGTTTGAAGTTTTTGCTATAGTTTTTAGTGGCCTGCTTTCAGTGGTGACACAAATCACATGGTACGGTTCAATTAGTTGTCATTTGATCTAATGCATTTTAATAAATTTTTGTAAACTCGATTATAAGCATTATTAAGTAATATAAATCTTGTAAATAAATGAAGGATAATTGTTATAGTTATTACTAATTAATAAAGCATTCAATATTTTTAGGGTAATTGTAAATTTTCTTATTGGTTCATCATTTTTTTGTAATTATTCACTTTGTGTGTGATGTAGATGTTCAGAATGTAGTGGAAAACTCTGCATGTTTTGGCCTCAAACTTGAAATCTATTTTAAAACAACATTTTGCAACGCATCTTAATTTAATCATATATAAAATAACAAATCGATCTGAAAATTTCCATTTAAATGCAAGATAGTTAACCATAACAGTTGGTGAGTGGTGGCAATGTGGTTAGCACAAGGTGCTTATGAACAAGGTTGACCCGAGTTTGATTCCAGCCCATGTTTTAGCATCGGTGTTGAGTTATTTCAACTATTCTTGAATCCCCACCTTTTCACCACCAGCCCCGCAATAATTAGTGTGGTTAAGTCTTTTGAAACGACTCGCCATGACTGACACGGCACTTGGAAGGCGTTGGGAAATGGCTATAAAATTAATACAGTAATTATTCTTTGGTTCTTTCGGTAAAGTCACGTATAAAGATAAAATAAGAAATTAATTAATAGCATACTACGACGTTTGCTATTATTTAATTTATTAATTTATTATTTTATCTTTATACGTGACTTTACCGAAAGAACCAAAGAATAATTCCTGCAGTCACGAAAGCTCCAAAAATTAAGATTAATACAGTAACTTGGGTTGTGTTCATGCAAAACCTAAGATGTTAAAATGTGCTAATAAGAAAACCATTTATAATGTGTGGAATATATATTACTGCAGAAGTTGTCCTGAACGTATTTTTAAGTTGCCCCTGAAACTGTATTTCAGATGATTCCCCTGGACTCGTTTGTGGGACGAAGTGCGGATGGCAAAGTGGTACCAATCGTACCGGGGGGGAATAGTATCCCTGTCACCTTCTCGAACCGGAAGGACTATGTGGAGCGAGCCATCGAGTGCAGGATGCATGAGATGGACCGACAGGTAACTTAAGTCATGGTTATGCAGGCCTATTAATTTTTTACCTCCTGAGATAATGCAACCAATTTTAATTCGAGCAGCTTTCCGCAGACATTAAGAACGTAAACATACGATGGTTTTTTTACGTGCCCAATGAAGTAATGCGCAAGTCCTATTACATTTTCGAGCAGGTGTGGTGGCTTCATGCGTTCCGCGTCAGCGCTCGCTCATTTCTGCCTGTTTGGGGGGGGGGGGGGCTCCCCTTCTGCACCATCACCCTCGGCAGGTTGCAGCGGTGCGCGAGGGCATGTCCTGGATCGTCCCCGTTCCGCTGCTGTCGCTGCTGACGGCAAAGCAACTGGAGCAGATGGTGTGCGGATTGCCCGAGATCTCGGTAGGAGGTATTGCGCAAGGTGGTGCGCTACCGTGAGGTGGATGAGCAGCACCAGCTCATCCAGTGGCTCTGGCAGACGCTGACCGACTTCTCCAATGAGGAGCGCGTGCTCTTCATGCGCTTCGTGTCGGGACGCTCGCGCCTGCCTGCCAATCTGGCTGACATCTCGCAGCGCTTCCAGATCATGAAGGTCGATCGGGTGAGGCAGCCTGCGACGATATTATTTCTTGTTTCGTTGTATTTGATGAGGCTCCCGGAGTGTGCTGGAGGATATAGTGAAATTCCTTTTTTAGCTGTGGTCTTATTGTCCGATTCTGTTATCTGCAGGAAAGAGTGGATCTTTGAATGGTATTGTTATAACTTGAGTGTTCTATTCACAAATTTGTGGATGATAGAAATAAAGCTTACTAATAAATCTAACTATAAAACTTCCCCGTGATTGCATTTTTAATGTATGAGGAGTTGAAAGGTACATCCACCCTTTTATTTGTAATGTTTTGTGGGTAACAGGAGTTAAGGTTTGGGTTAATGCTTTTGGTTAAAAAAGTGACTCGTTGTGCTCGTTTCTTTTACTCGTTGTCTGCACTTATGCGGCCACAGTTCTGCGAGGTTGTGTGCCCTATGTACAATGTCCTGATTACAGACACTGCACTTATCACAAACGTTGCTGTTGGGTTGGTATTAGAACCAACACAACACTAAAAAGGCTTTGAAAATCCATTGCACTGTACATTTGTATCTGTTATTTTCTCATGTTAAATTTACTGAATACACCTGAACAAATATTCATGTCGCTGAAATACATTTCCATTGGGTTGTTCAACCACATTCCTGATGCTTTTGTTATAATTGACACTACTTATTATAATTCCCATCATTGTTGCAGTATGGTACTTGAGCAAATTTGATCAAATCACCCAGCCGTTGCTGTGGGCCCGCCTCAAGCATGACTCATCAATGATTAATCACCAAGCACTGCCCTCTGTCAAGATTCACTTACGCTGTGCCTTCCGCTTTTAATTATTTAACTGCATCCCATCCATGTGCTTGCTGTCTCCCCATGGCGCAGCCGTTTGACAGCCTCCCCACCTCGCAGACCTGCTTCTTCCAGCTGCGCCTGCCTCCCTACTCTAGCCAGATCGTCATGGCCGAGCGGCTGCGTTACGCCATCAACAACTGCAAGTCCATCGACATGGACAACTACATGCTCTCACGCAACGCTGACAATGCCGATGGCTCCGACACGGACTACTGAGCGTAAAGAGACGCATCCCCCCCCCCTGGGCCGGTGGCGCTTTTCTGCAAAGCAACCAGCTCCTACCCTTTCTACAATTCTTACGTTTGTTGCATTATATCCACAGACTACTGATGTTTGGACTGTGTTGTCTATCCACCCATCCACCATGCTGGCTCAACATTAACAGTATAAAGTGATTAAGGTAAATGTCCACCTGTGTCACTTGTTAATTTTTAGCAGCAGCCTTCTGGGGGGGGGGGGGTTTCTATTGTTTTTATTTTCATTGCAACCACCTTTGTATGGAATTATAGATCTTTGTACATGTAAAGTGTTTTAAACAAAATGTGTACTCCGATCGTAACGAAAGAGGTGAATAACCTTGCGTTAAATATTTTCCCTTATGACCGTGGATTTGTGTCTTGTGTTCTTTCAGACATTTGCATTGTGTTTTTTTTATGAATGCTATGCTGTGCATATAATGAGTCACTTGTTTATTGCTTCTAAATCAGAAAAAAAACAGTGACTCTGAGCCTGGTGATGGTGCTGTACTATACCATTGTGCATATTCACGTGAAGTGCACGTGTCATTTCCAACAAAAGAAACTGAGCCACTTATTTTTAAGTTTATTCATTTTTATTTACGCATGGAAAACACAATCTATATTGGAAGTCGTCTTAATTGCACAATTAACATTCTAACTTTATACCGAGGTTCGTGTCATTGAGAAACAAGATTACTCTTGGAAAGTGCTGATGGATAATGATAGTATTAAGTATTTAAAGTAATATAAAGTTTAGCGACTTATTCACCACACAATTATAGAGCGTAAAAAGTACAAAGATTTGGAAGTCAAAGGTGCATTACAATTTTTTTTTACTGTAAATGTTATTTTTAGACAAGCATGTCACTTTTCGCAGTGGCTTCCCTTTCACGAATTAATTTTCCATGAGATATGTACATTTGTGTATGAAAACATCGAAAGCAGGGAGGACAATTTGACATTTATTTTTAAAATATTTATTTCAATCTTCCATTCTTCTGTTTGTCACCCATCACAAAAGCTGGGCGTGTGATTTATGCCAAACGGACACAATAAATGCAGCATTCATTATGTTCACTCTGCGTGTCTTTTATTTTGACTTTAAGCTTCCCATAAAAATCAATGGATTCAAGTTACGATGATAATGGTTTCGGTAACATGGATTACATTGTTATAATGATCTATATTTAATCTCATTACATTTTCAACCACCCCCATCCCACCTTCCCCTCTCTTGTATGACCTCAACGTCCCCTGCTGCAAACCCTTTTTACTGGCTAGAATTGGACTGCCATGGACCCTTTACCCTGCTGTCTCTCTGAGATTCCACAGTAGAGATATCTCAGACCAGGCAGGGCATACACGTGTGAGTTGGGGGGCCTCGCTAACAGAAATTAAATTATTGATATAAGCATGAGGTTGGAAAATAAACATTCCTTCATCTGGAACCTAAGGTACCTATGCCCCATTTATTTTTAATTTGTGCCCAGGGGCTTGCTTGTGTTTTTTTAAGAGTAGCTGTATCTGTAGCATCCACCATGTCTGGGGTATGAAGTGTTAATCACGTCAACCTGAAAGAGGCTTCAATGGTATGTGAAGATGCAGGGAATGGATTATCACAAAGCAGCACGATGTTTTTTTGGGCAAATATGACAAGGCATTTCTAGATGTATAGGGGCCCTACCTTCCTAGTAGCCCAATGCCTCCCTCATGCACGGTTACGGTTGGCATCAGGGACCATCGTTGTCTGTGCAAGAAAGATACTCCAATGCAATACGGTGCACATGTTCTTTTTATTTAAAGGGTCCCTTTTGGGGGCAATTATAAAAACGCCTTTGTTAACTGGACTAGATTATCTGAGGTGGGGATTTTTTTTGGCCACTCGGCTATTGGGCAAAAAACACTCGTGGTTTAAAAGATGTTTCATTGGTTTGCTCAGAAGGGTTATCAATAACAATTTTTACTAAATCTTTGGCACCTGCCAGTCTGTAGGAGAAGCCCCTCACCCATCTTGAAAGTCCAAGTATAAACCCTCTTCCTTGAATATAGGCCTTCAAAATGTTCTTTACTGCTGGTAGAGCATATTTTTGGCTGGTTTTATATGGACAATCGACAAAGTTGAGGAAACCATTTGTGGATTATTGCTCCGCAGTCAACTCGGACCTTTGCAGCCTTGGCGTCCATGGCTCTAGTTTGCAAACCAGAGATTGATGTGGCTTTTTCTGTGGGCTTTTGGGATAGCAAGGCATGAAAGTTCAACGTATTGGCAGCCACATGCATCAGAGCAGCCTTGTGTGTTGCCGACTTGGGGAGGTATATGCAACGGAGGTTGCAGACTCTCAAACCATCTTTGCTCTGCGAGCACTAAGTGAACTGTAAAATGGCATTGCATCTGAAATGGAATTGATCACATCTTTGGGGGGTGATAATCCGGGATATTACCTCAATACATCTTGGGTGACCTAAACGGCACCTATATCTGTCCCTGCTCCATATGGGTGCATTTTCTGAAGTTTGAAGGGTTAAATTTTCTTCTTTCGTAACTGCTGGAGTGGATTTCCAGTGGTTTTAGGCTCGACAGTTATTTTGTTTGCCAGTATCAAAGTATAAAAAACGTTTTTTTACCCTTTGTGGCAATAAATCAGGGGTTAAGATATTCAAACACCAAACAGAAACCTTTTCCAAGGAGTCATGTCTGCATTAACCACACATACTTGTGGTGAACATGCAAAAAAAACATGCTCTGGTAATATATGCATTGTCTTTGAAACTGATTGGTCTACACCAGAGACAGCCTTTTTTTATGGCCCAGTCTCAATCGGTGTTGGACCAGAGGACGCCAAAAAGGCCTTTTGGTTTCTGTTTGGTGTTGGAACATCTTCACACCTGTTTTATTGCCAGAAAGGGTCAAACATGTTCTCATAGTTATTTTGTTGGTTCCAAAGATCCGTTAAGGTTCAGGACGTACGGATATTTCTGGGTGACTTCACTTTGGTAGTGGAAATTGCAGTGGAGATTGATGGCAGTCTCGGGTCAGTGATTGGTCACAGGCAGATCTAAAAACTAAGCTTCGTAGAACTCTGCAATATCGCTTGTTGGAATTAATAGACCTTTCGAGGGATCGTAAAATCCTTGTATGGTGGAATAATGTCGAAAAAGATTGCTATAATAAACATACATCGCTCCTCCTAGACCAGGGGTCGGCAACCAAAATAACAAGAAGAGCCATTTCTTTCCAATTCGGTACAAAATTCAGTATTTCGAGAGCCGCAATGCATCTGAGTACATACTGTACATACGTACATATCGTCAAGAAGCAGCCCGTAAAGAGCCGCATGCGGCTCCGGAGCCGTAGGTTGCCGACCCCTGTCCTAGACGCAACCTGTTGGCACAAGAAGCATTTCGCTTGCCACCCTGGGCAGATACAAGAGACGAGCTTGACCGTATGTTGCTTCGTGGGATTTGGAGAACAATAAGAGGGTGTTCGATCCCAGTGTGTGGTTGTTGAATGTGAGCACCTTCCTGCAAATGATAGAGGTTTGGAGTCCTTTGAGAGATTTGTTTACATCACCAGAGAATGTCAAGTGCCCCCTTTGCACTTCATAATTACAGGCAGCGGGGGGATGCATGCAAGTGATGGTTCAGTTCACCCAAGATTGGGGCTATATTGACTCTTTCCTTTCATTGTATTGCAAAAAGTTTGGATAGTGGATGCTATTTAAAGAAGGCTGGCCTGGGCTTCGGAGGACATCCAGCCCCAGAATTACCAATTAAATGAGGCCAGTTTTTTATTAAAAATATATATATTTAAATCTGATCACTTGTCTTGAGTATGGACTTATCAAGCTGGGAGTATCCCTTGAGGTTCAGGACTTCTTATACTGGTAGGAACCACCTGGTTCCACCAGCCCACAGGGATTATTGTGTCTGTCCGTCGTGCATCCAAAAATGGGAGGGGTGGGGCTGGATGGGGAGGGGCTGGGTTGGGAGGGGGTGGGGAGGGGCTGGGGAGGGGCTGGGTGGGGAGGGTGGGGTGGGGAGGGGAGGGTGGGGCAGGGTGGGCCTGGGTGGGGGGTGGGAGGGGTGGGGTTGGGTGGGAAGGAACTGGTCACCCCGTGGTGTCCTTATAAAATTCAACGTTTAGTCTAATCACGCCGGCTTGTGCCTGCCCTCACAGTCGGCCATATTTGCGGAATACACCACGCCGCCGTTGACCTTGGCCATTGACCGAGCAACCCAACGTTCCTACCAGCTCCCTCCGCAGGAATGTGTTTTAAGTCCAGCAGAAGTCCACAGTCATCCACCAATCATTGTAGAGCATTTTGTCACTCCGTGTGCAACCGAGAGTCATTTCACCGACGTGGTGTCCAGCGTTGAAGATCACGTGGCTTTTAATTCAGGCTTATGAGAGCACCCTCTCTTTTTAATCCTTTCAAGTGATCACATCTCTGCTGTCCAAGTGAGGACAGCAGTTATAATGAGTTTTGAAGGCCATGTGCCAATTTGTTCAGATTTTCCCGAAAGGTAGAGGTATCAAAGGCTACGCATGGAAAGCCAGCCTTGTGTGAGCACTAAACCACCGTGTTTCACTTAAACCCACGCAGAGTGGCTAATGGTTTGCCACCATGCCAATTAAAATGCTCTGTAATTGAAATGAGGATTGCAGAGCTTCCTTCTATGCGCATATCTCAGATTAGTGACCGAGTATTTCCACCTGTAACTCTTTTTAAACTGGAACACATTTTATTAATTTAATCGAACAATATGTGGGAGAGCATTATTTGAAAGCAAGCATCGTGAAAATAATGCGCATATACAATACATAATGTATACTGTATATGACAGACAATTTTTTGTAAGCGCATTACCTTAAACAAAAAGACTGGCAAAGGTCCCACAGCTTTTAGGTGAAATTTGAAAATGTAGAATTTTCTAAGCCATGTTATTATTGCCAATGCATGTTATTGCTTTCCTTTGAAGTCCATTAGCTAGATATTGAATTTAGAAATGTCTAATTCTCCAACATTTGTATTAGAAATTATACTGGTTATTGTTGGAACCCGATATCATGTATTGCGTTGTGAACAACCCTATTAACGTTTTAAACAATTAAATTACACTATTTTTACACAACAATTTTTATTTTATTCAAATTTGAAGGCTAAAAACATTGCAACCACTCGCAATGTTTTACCTGTGGTACGCCACGGGAAGGGGAGCAGAATCTAGGATGTAATGAATGGTAATGGAAAGGCATGGCAAAGAGAAAAGAAAAATACGAAATAAAATGAAAAGGATGGGAACAGAATGGAGAAGCGGGAGCAAAGAGTTATGAAAGATTAGGATCGGGAGGAAGATGCTGCGTGAAGCCCTCACTGTTGCTCCACAGAGCAGCGTCTGTTTTCACAGGGGGCGGAGAGAGGGGAGGGATCTATAGTGGGGTTGGCCACACAAGTCTCGCGATTTCGGGGACGCTTGAGCTGATTATAAAACACCATTGTTCTGCAGTGCAAGAATTGTATAAGTAAACATACATCGGCAATATTTTTGTTACTGCTTACAGTATTACTGTATAACAAAATAAAATGTCGTGACCGGCTTTTGCTACCTTTAAATATACACATATATAATGTACAATTATTGTTGATGACAATAGGTTTTCTTAGGATTACCGTAAGGCTGACTCTCAGCTCTGCTGTATGTGTGTTAGTAAACGGTACATAAGTCATTTATTTAAAGCGTGTTTAGACACAAAACGTTTTTATACAGCTCGTGACATTTAATTAAGTGCGCAGTTATGTTGTCACTACTGGGTCCTCGGTGAATGCAGATAAGCCCGCACATCGTCAAGATGTATTATTTGATCGTTATCTAAGCACGATATATTGTACATAAGTGGCCTTCTTCAAAGGTCCTAAAGACTAGAATTAACACAATGTGATGGGATTTATTCAAATGCCTGGTAGGTTTAATCCAATTTTTTTTTGTGTACTGGCAGCTTATTTAGTTGAGTTAAAAACATGTGTTGCAGCCGTAATCTGAGCACAAGCGCTGGGAGAGCTGCAGTCACA